GCGTCAAGAGTCAGCCGGAGTCGACCAGCTGGTCATCTCTCTTTCCTTTCACCTTCATTTACACAGCTGTGTGAGTGTGTTCATGTATGAGTGTGTGGGGGGCGTTAAAGCCTCTGTTTGGTGCTGTAAAATAGCAAATTATTCTTTATTCCACACCATGTTTGATAAGGAGAATCTGTCTACCAAATATTCAAAATTGAATCATCAGTGATAAGAGTCTTAGGAAATCTCTGAAAATAAGTCGGTTAATTGAAAAAATGTCCTATAAAACTTTTTTTGAACTCTAAACAAATCCACCAAGAAAATTCCCACGAAACTCCTCTGACAACCTTTAAATGCTGCTGTTACTCCACACAAAGTACACCCTTCTAGATACCCTCAAACTACAGTCTTGCCCCCAAATAAACTCCTTTTATAACGCCCCGCAAACTCCAAACAAGCTCCCCTTTCTTAATCTCTCCAAAACTCTAACTACAACAAACTACTGATTTCCACCGCATATGGAACGGCTACGAAAAGGCCGTATCCGTCGATCATAGCTGATCGTAACCATTCAAGTTTACGCGTCAATTTCCACTGACTTCTTTCTGTTTCGTTGCGGATCGCTGGACTCCACAGCTGATCGCAAGACTTCTATTTTTTTTTGGACGCTGGAGCATGCCGGATAAATTCGGCACAGATTAACCCGTGCTGGAAAGGAAGTCGGACAGACACAAAATAAAACATCTGGCTTCTTTTCAAAATAATCTTATATTCTTCTTTAGGTGGATTGTATTTCACACCATCCAAACGGGCGGGGACGAACAAGTGAAAGGTTTATAGACAGCATTTCATCCCGATGACACCATGGATGAGGAGATGCTGATTGTAGAAGTCTAGAAGTAGATTTCCTCCTGGAAGGACACAATCTACCGCTTGTATGGTTAGCCTATGTGGCTAGAGACAACTTGTTATTGTGCGATTGCACGTGAATCCGCAGGTTCTTGTGAGTTCTGGCGATACCTGCTGTCCGTAATCTGCCACGAAATTCGCCTCACCAACAGATCCGGTAGATATTGGCGGACAGCAAAAATCGCCCATCCTACTCTCCACAAACTACCCTCAAACTCCTCAAAAACTTCCCCCCTAGATCCCTATAAACTACCCCCTAACTTTTAAACAAAAGTCCCTCTGGATCCCCACAACTACCCCACAAACTCCCTTCAAACTACCCTCACCCTTCAAACGCTGGTCTTGTGTTTAAGGTCAGAGATGATCCAGAGTCGACTAAATAATCTTATACTCTTCTTTAAAAACATGGATTTTCTTTTTTTTTTTTCTTTTTTGTGGTCGTGCTTGTCTTTTCTTTTTTTTTTTTTCTTTTTTTTTTTTTTTTATATATATATTAGTTTGTAGATATTTATTTATTTATTTTTACATGTTTTACGTTTTCCCTTTTCTTTCCTTTTTTTTTTTTTTTTTTTTTTACTGAGTTCTGCTTATTCATCTGTTTCCACTCGCTCAGACCTTATTTATGTATGCAATGCTGTATTGTTGTTATGTTCTAAAAATGGAATAAAATCTGATTATTAAAAAAAAAAAAAACATGGATTTTCAGCCTGTAGTAGAATACGAGGAGTGACTCAGCGGTTTTGACTTAAATAGGGCGCACACCCACACAAACTGTAAAAACAACATGACTAGACAAAATAATGTAAAAGCTACACATGTCTGGAGTGTAACTACACACTGAGGAGGGCTGAGGGTTCGCAGGCTTTTATCCTGACACCTTCACTCTTGGCACTCAGCCTCACATAGTTGTCAATCCCTGTTATATATGTTGTCGTTCTGCTGTGATTATAGACTGTAGCCTCAATCCCCGCACCTTTTAATGTCAAGTAGACTCAGGATTTGACGAGCGTTTCTCCCGTTTTCCCACATTTGGAGCACATTCTCGCTCAGATAAAAGCCGTTCGTGCTGTTTTTTCGCTCTCTGTAAAGCTCCTCAGATAAAAAGCTGCTGGAGTCGTGAGGGAGGGCTCTTATGGAGTTGAAAAGTTTCTCTATCAAGAGGAGAGATGTCTGCAGGAGACCGAAAAAAAGATGAAATACTCTCCAAACTCTAAATAACAAGGATTCTGTCGAGTGTTGAGACTGACTCTGTTTAGGGTTTTTATGTCTGATATTAACCTCGGCAGAGCTGTGGATTTTTTTCTCCCACTCAGTGAATCAATGCAGCTCCAGTCCTGATAATTACTGTTCCTTAAAGGGCTGAAAGCAGAAAAAACAGCAATTAAGGAAAGAAATGGGCAACTTAAAGGGCTGCTTTAATCTTATCTGACATTTAGACGCACATTATAGACAGACGTCTCTAAAACCTAAAACCTTAAAGAGAGGATTAAAAATTTGTGTATTTGCTGGAAAATTTCATATCCGATCTGGTGAAACATTAACAAGAACCCCACCTGGAAATCTCCTGAGAGGATGTTTCTGTTTTTAAATCAGAGGCACTCAGGATTTTTACGACATTATCCCTCATTTGTTAAAACTGAAAGCTTCAGATAACAGAGAGAGTGCACAGGCGATGTAAAAACACTCTCCAACTGCTCTTTCATTGTCATTAAAAGCTTCCCAGACGTCATTAAGCCCATCGCATTCCCTCTCTAAAAGCCTGTACACACGTTCAGTGACACCAAACAAATCCACAGCCGCCGTCAGGTCCTGTAAGAGGTCCCAAAAAGGCCGTTTACAGCCGCTCTGACATGAAGCGTATTGAACAGGCAGAGCAGGCCGGTCGTAAAGGGACTGATAGAGCAGCACCCCGCTGACTGCGAACGTAAATGTAAAGAGGATAGGATGAAGACGGGCGCTCGGAAATCCGCCTCTTTCCACACAAAATGAAAAACCAAATATGGAGTTAAATCAGTTAAATAAGTAACAGTACACCCGGTGCGATCTTGTTTGTGCACACACGAGTAATATCCATGTCCAGACCTCGAGCACACACTCTCACAGTGATGAAAGATGGTTAGTCGGAAACTTCTAGGCCTGCACTTCTCTGTCGTGCCGCTCTCAGAGCTGTCAGTGAGGTTCATTTTGAGATGTTTGTGAGTAGTGACCGGTCTAACGTTACCGCATGCCTCAGTGAAAACCATGTTAGATATCCAGACGTGACGATGAGTTTTGTGCATGTTTGAGGGCTGAAATTGTCTCTATTTTGTTAGATTTTTGCTTTTCTTGAGAGGACAGGACAGTTCCCACTGAGCTGCTTTTATATGTTTCTGTTGCATTTTGGGATTTTAAAGCCACTCTTACATCCAGTGCTTATCTGTACCAACATATATCAACAGCCTTGTAACCTAGTTTTAGATGTCTCAAAGCCAAACATGCTATTTTGATATGCTAATAGCATGTTTGCGTGTGTTTTTTGATGTCCAAGAAGTTTAGTGTTTCATATAAAAGTTTTAAAGCATCTTCAAAGCCCGGTTTCTTTAACTCTTTTAGCCACCGTGAAGCAGCTACTTCACATTTCCTCCCCGTGTATAAACAGATCCACGGCTGCAAGAGATACTTACACCGCAGAAGAATCATCGGTATGACGGTGAGGAGAAATCTAACGTTAAATCTTGATTTTTATTGAGGGGTGATTTGTCACCTGCAATGTAAAACCATGCAAACGTTTTCCACTCGCTGAGGCCAAGCCGGCGTCATAAAGCACCAATTTATCACACACTCCCTGACCTCTTCCTCCTTCCTCTCCCTGCTCGGCATCATGGGAGCGGGCGGTTTAAAAACAGAGGTATTTACGACTCAGCACTCTCCTCTAGAGTTCCTGGAGCTCCACAAACATGTGGGACTGGCAGTGTGACACCAGCGGCTCGGGTTAAAGATAGACCGGGTTTTTGGCTATTCTGTATCAGGGTGCATCTGTCTGTCTGCACACCTGCCTGTCTGTGTGTCTGTCTGTCTGTGCAGGGGTACTGTGAAACTTTATGACCCGAGTATGACTGTAATAAAGAAATAATCACTCATATCAGCTTTTGTTAAACTGGATTACTCGAGCGCTTCAGCGTCCTTTAACTCTTAGTGAAGCTGCATGTGCAGACCTAACTGTAAATTCACTCTGAGAGGAAGAAGAGGTGCAGATGAAGCTCACTGAATTACCCTGTTGTGTTTTATTTACTGTAAAAGCATACCCTAATATACTCAGGGGTGTATTTAAGATACACAGGGGTTGCAGGGGCCCTCTGGAGACCTAATCGGCCACCCTACAATCCTGAACTTATGACTGTTTTTCTCGTCAAAATCAGTTTTATCAGGCTACTAATATCTTTCTCTGATTTTAACTGAAGCGCATTTTCTTATCTAAGAACTTTAAAATGTAGAAAAGGACGTAAAACAACAGTGGAAATCTATTTCAACAGACACATGTAAAGGAGAGCTTCATTATGAATTGCAGTTACTGGTAATGTTTATGGAAAAGAACGAAGATCATTACAGTTGTTTTTTTCTTGGGGTCTATTTCTTTTATTCAGTCAGTCAGAATTTAAAAAAAAATACTTCTGAATTTCAGATAGAATTCTAAACTTTCCTATAAGTTGTGTGATAAAAGTCAGACATTTTAACAATTTTAACGTTGAGGTCAAAATGCTGAGATTGAACTATTTGGGTCAAAGTGATGGAATTCTTACATTTGAGTCAAAATTCTAGAACTCTTACAGTTGATTTAGAATTCTAGAATTGTTGCTTTTTGATTCAGAATTCCAGATGTTGACATTTAAATCTGAATTCTGGAATTTTTACATTGTCAGAATTCTAGAATTTTAGTATTTTGACTCAGAATTCCGGAATGTTCACATTTTACTCTGAATTCTGGAATTTTTACTCAGAATTCTAGAATCTTAGCAGTTTGACTAAGAAATCCAGAATGTTGACATTTTACCGGGTTCTGGAATTTTTACATTGGACTCAGAATTCTAGAATTTTAGTATTTGATTCAGAGTTCCGGAATGTTGACATTTTACTTTGAATTTTGAAATTTTTACGTTAAACTCAGAATTCTAAAATTTAAGCATTTTGACTCAAAATTCCAGAATGTGGACATTTTACTCTGGATTCTGGAATTTTTACATTAGACTCAGAATCCTAGAATTTTTAATATTTTTTTTTTTTGTAATTTTTAGAAATGTTTAGTAATTCTAGAACTCTTACAGTTGACTCAGAATTCTATGATGTTAGCATTTTGACTCAGAATTCCAGACTGTAGCCATTTTACTCAGAATTCGAGAATTTTTAGTTTTAGACTAAGAATTCTAGAATTTTTGTATTTTGTGTTATGCACATCTGACAGCAGAATGAGAGCAGTGTTCTCTAAGGATAAAAAATGAAATATCTCTCATAGATTTGAAGAACTAATGGCCTGTGTCAACCTTTCACTCCCTCTTTATCTACACACTTCTTTCACTGCCTCTCTCTGCCCACTGTTTGTACTTCCATTTGAAGCTCTTCGCAGCTTGAGCCAGAGCTCAAAATACAAGAATCTGTCGCCATCTTCTGGTCAAAGTGTGTAACTTTGAGTTATTGAGACGCAGGTGAAAATGATTCAGATAATTGAGCTAGAGGAGGACTTCCTGTTTAAAAAAAGAGAAGAAAGTGTGGAGGAGGAAACACAGCAGGAATCTAGGGTTTATCAGATTTTGAACCTGCAGCTTTTCTCCTCTCTTATTCTAAATCTGGAAAGCTTTAACCATGTCGGACAGTTTTTTTAAAATCCGGAGAGTGAGCGGGCACACAGGGAATTTTATCCCATCCGGTCGGCAGCTTCCAAGAACTCCTCCTTTAGCGGATGTGAGGAGACACCTGGATTTCTGTGATGAGGAAATTCAGCCCAGTGTGCAGGTACGCAGAGATTTTCCGTTTTCAATTCAGATTTATCGACACAGTCAGATCTGATTTCTTTTTCTTTAACAGGCAAGAAATAAAGATGAAAACAATCAAGAGGTGATGTTAGGGTCCAACAGTTTCCCAACAAAAACAGGTACGTAGACGTTTAAACATCTGCTGTTTAACTCTTCATGATGAACTGCAACTAAAAGAGCTCATCCTTCAGAACCAGAAGACCCACAGTCCATGCTGAGAGGGATGAAGGGTTACCAGCTGACCCAGACTGACCTGGAGTTTATCGAAAAGATGAAGGAGGAAAAACTTGTGAAAAAGCTGCAGGTGAGTCAGGCTCGCTCTGTGTCCTGATCACTAAAAGGAAGTTATATATGTTTCTTTGATTGCAATTATCCATGTTTGGTTTAAGGTATCAGGATGTGATTTGTGCGTCTGCAGACTGATCTGGAGGAGATTCAAAAGCTGTTAAAGACGGAAGTGATGGAGTTTGAGTTAGTGTGTGCAGCGAGGGAGAAAGCACAGGCCGAACTTCAGAAGGTAAGACTCTGTTTCAGTCACCTCCTGAAGTCTTATACCCTGTAGAGGGACAAGGCTATGGTGGCCCAAATGTGACACACATGAATATTATTTAGACATTTCTGTAATTTTTTTTAAAAAAGTCTTGAATGATTTTCTTCAACATTTCAGGTTTTGAGAAAAGATTTTTAAAAAAAACAACCCAGTAACAAGAAAACATTGCCAAGATGAAATTTCCACTTCTTTACATAATTTTTTTTATTATTATTATTATTATTATCATTATTATTATTATTATTATTATAATTATTGATCAGAAATTGAGGAAAAAATCCAGAGAAAATGAGCAGGAGTTGTTTGTTTTGTAAAATTTGCTGATTTATTTTGGGGTTAACAAGACATTTAAGGAAAGGGGAAAACTGCTGAAATAACTATCATGAGGAAAAACTGCGTCCAAAACTTCATCATCAGAACCAGAAAACTGGCATTTATATCATAAAATTTCAAAAATTGAGTCACTGTGTTGAAAAAACAACCAGAAATGATGAGCTTTTGAAAGAACAACAGAGGTTTTGTTTTTTAAAAATGAGAAATCAAATTGATGTTTTAAGAAAATTAACCAAATTGACTCTGTAATGGGGGAAAAGTTCCCTTTTTTATGTCTCAACGATGAGAATAATAGTTGTGATCTTGATAAAACAGCCGTAGATTATTAGAAAATCAGCATTTATGCTTCAAGATGGCATAAAAAGATATCAAGAATAAAAAAAATAATGAGGGGAAAAGTCAATAAATCAACGATATTGCAGGTTAAACCAATGATGTTGCGTTAAGACTCTAAGATAAATGGGGATAATGGGGGAAAAAAATAATTCATAACAACAACAAAAAAAAACTGGTAAATAAAATGTTTAAATCAGTGTCCACTCAGGGCTTCCGTACATATCTGACCTTTTTACCATTAAAACAGCCCTCAAGTCCTGGCTGCTTCAGGAGAGGACAGATTTCTGTACATTCGCACCATCTTTAAACTGAAAAGTTCCTCAAAAGAAGAAAAAGTCTCAGTCAAACATCCTGATTTTGTTTTGAGTCAGCTCCCCTCCCGTGAAGATCTCATCCAGTGGATGAAAGTAGTCCTCGAAACCATGCCGCTGTCGTCTGATTTAACGGACCTGGACGCCCTGACCCTACTCGCCACATTGACAAAAGATGACGTCCAAAGAGCGGTGGACAAGAAGAGGAGTGAGCTCGCTAGGATGGAGAAGATGGTGGCAGACAAGTAAGATCTGAACTCCTCCCACTGAGCTGCTGAAGGTAGTTCCTTTTTCAAGATGGCGTAATCGTTTACTGATGCCTGTTGGCCAGATTCGGCAAAATTCGTCTCCTTTTTTTAAAATGTTTTTTCTTTGCTAACTTCCACATTTCAAGTTTATACTTAAGAGTAAAGCTAGACACTGAATAAAAAGCTACAAACAAGTTTTACTGCTTGTTTTTTTTTTAGCTGGATTTTGCACCAGGGTTTCAGACTGTCCTCCAGCTTCTACAAACAATTATTTGCTATGATAGTGGCCCGTGAATGCCTGCAAGAAGTCCTGGTAAATGAGTTAAGTAGTAACACTAAACTCTTAAACAGAAAGAAGAGAGAGGTTCAGGAACGAGGGCAGCTGGAGAAACGAATCGCTGGTGAACAGGTAAAAGGTCTCTTCATTACCTTCAGATATACTTGTTGTCAAGTCTTGCACTACCTTGTGGGTCACCAGTGCTAATTCCACTCAGTTCCATAACGAGACAAAAACTTCTCACTGGAGCTTTTGAAGTTGAACTGTTTTGGTAATTCTTCACATTTTTCCCAGATGAAGATTCAGAGTCTAATCAGCCAGTTAGCCATCCTGAAATGTGAACTTTCACAACAAGAGGTGAGACTCTGATTTTGTTTTTCCATTACTTGACTGGGCTAAAACTGAGCAATTGTCAGGATTTATTGTCCTCTTTTCTGCTTTCACAGGAAGCCTATAAAGCTCTTTCAATGCAGATCAGTACCCAAGAAGCCAAAAAAGCTAAAGTGGAGGCAGAAGACGTCAAACCCTCAGAGGAACCGCAGACCGCCAAAGCGAAAAGTCAAGGAAAAGAAAGAAAAAAGGCAGCAGAAAAGTTACAAAACACAACAAAACCGACCAGGAGCAAAGTCCCAGAGGCTAAAACGGACAAACTGAGCAGAAAACAAGCAGCTGCAGAGCAAGTGGAACACCCAGGTCTGAGGAGATCCAAGAGGATCGCCAGTCGGAGGTGATGGGTTTGATGGTTGAGTAGCGCTAGAGTGCTTTTGTTTTTTTTTTCCCCCCTTCAGACTGAAAATCTCATTAACTTGGTGAAAGCTCGTCATAAAATCTCCCACAAACATCTGTGAGTCCTTCAGCGGGAACTCTTCCCACACTGGTCATCTCTTGGCGTCTCTTTTGGTCGCACTACAACATCCCAATGTTGGATAGATCCGTTTATTTAGACCACCTTTCAATCTTTACAATGAACCCTCAAACTTTTTAGCTGGTCCTGTTTTTGTTTTTGGCTCCATCTTCTGGTCAAACTTTAAGACTTCACGTCACTTTGAGAAAGTGAACCCTTTTGTTCGTGTTGTTGCTGTGTTCATGTTGTGACTGTTGACATGTATTTCTGCATTGTTACAGATCATTATTTTTCTATGGCTGAACCTTTTTTGATATGTTTGTTGAATACTTTGTAAAAATCTGTATGAAGTTTTACTTGATATGAAAATAAAACGTAACTCCAGAGGAGACGTATGCTGATCTGTCCTTTAAGACATATAAAGATACTTGGTTAATGGCCAGATTTCCTTTCTCAAATATCACTGAAACAGGAACTGTTTCATATATCTAAACCCTCCAAAAAAGCTTGAACCCCAAACTGTAACCCAGGACTTCCACCACATCCTGAATGGCGATTATTTTCGCTGTCTGCTAATTTCTACCGAATCTGTTTGTGAGGCGAATTTCGTGGGGGATTACAGACAGCAGAAATCGCAAGAACTCACAAGAACCCGCGGATTCACATGTAATCGCATGATAACAAGTTGTCTTTAGCCACAGAGGCTAACCATATAGCAGTAGATTGTGTCCTTCCAGAGGAGGAAATCTACCTCTAGACTTCTATAATCAGCATCTCCTCATTTATGGTGTCATCGGGGTGAAATGCTTTCACTTGTTTGTCTCTGCCTGTTTGCATGATGTGAGATACAATCCGTCTGGAACATGGAGTGTTTTATTATGAAAAGAAGCTGAATGTTTAATTTTGTGTCTGTGCCCGACTTCCTATCCAGCACGGGTTAATCTGTGCTGAATTTATCCAGAAAAAATAGAACTCTTGCAATCAGCTGCGGAGTCTGGCGATCCACAGCAGAACGGAAAGAAGCCGATGGTAATTGACACATTAACTTGAATGGCTACGATTGGCAGACACAACCTTTTCGTAGCCGTTCCGGCTGCGGTGGAAATTGGGGTTAGTCACTTAAAGCCGTACCTAATATAGCGAAAACTAACATATAACAATGGGACTAGATCGAGAGCTAAGTGGGCATGAGTGCCAAGCCTCGATCAACAACTTGACTCAGAGCTGTGTAAAAAGTAACACCCTGGAGCTGTGGCTTTGTCTTATACCTCCAGATAGAGGGGAACTGACAGCAGGACTTTTTCTGTAAAGACTAAAATTACAGGATGTTTATTGGCCAGAAAGCTGTGTAAAAAGTAGCACCCACTAGCTGTGTATGACTTCTTTTATTGGAATAGCTGTCAAAATGCACAACTAAATTTTACACTAAGCTGTGTAAAAAGTAACAACCCAGCCTGTGTCTTAATATACGTTACAGGAAACGGACAAAAAGCAGTCAGAATAACTATGAGAGAGTTTGATTGTACAGAAATTTCGCTCCGTCTGTAATAGCAGGTCAAGGATCAGGGTCCGTTTTTAGCTCGAGCTCAGAGATGTGAATGCTGATCAGGAAAAGGCCTGGGGTCTAAATCTGTCAAAGTGAGTTAAACATGATTTATTTGGTTTGTGCTTGTAGAGGGAGTCAGTGATGAACAGCTTGTCTCAAAATTAGAATTTTTGCAGCAGAAATTTAATCTCAGATGTTAAAACAGAGAATACTTTGATTTCTGAGGTATGATGAAATGTTTCCCGAACTAAACACAATGTTTTCTCACACTTCGTTTCTCTTTGTCACATCTGGAAATGACTTTATTTCCCTCGGGTAGATCTTGGACCGACTCGCGTTGCAGTTTGGGTGAAACATTGTTAATCTTACATCAACACAAAATCAATCCCTCGAACACAGAATGAAAAAGGAGTCTCAAAAACTCCATGAGCCGGCTCTCCGTTGGTCTGGATTTGGGAAAACAGCGCTGACAGTTGGAGGGTTTCGAGGCACCTTCTTGAGTTACAAATTAAGTTTGAAGTGATGGTCAGATTCGCCCATCAAACTGCCAGGATTCGCTTCGTGAACCTGCAAGTCTTGACAACCTAAGCTTCGTCGATCTGAGAGGCTGAAGATCTGTTGTACTTTTCCACCTCTGGTCTGTGCCATTCAGGAGGCTTAATTTCAAGATGACTATAATCCCAAGAACCTGACGGTGGATTTCCCCCTTTTCCCCTTGAAACTATGTGCACATGCGTCCAGTAATTGGTGAAATATTTGTCCGATGGTCAAGCACAACAACCAAAGATTAATCCAAGCAGAGGGAGGGAATCGTGGATCTGTATCCTGCCATTAAATTTAATGGTTCTGTGTCCAAATTCCTTCATTGTGATTTTATTAGAAAAATAAGGGTCGAGTTTTGGCTTCAAAGAATTCCTCACCTTTTTTTTTCTCTCCTCTTTTTCCTGTATGTTTCCTCCTTCATGTTTCTCTGCTTGTGTTTGCCAAACCCGGGGCCCTGAACGGATTTTTGAAATCAAGGCATGGGAACGTTACCTCGAACTCGTCAATCTCAGAAATCAGATCTTGTTTACAGTCGGAGTCCAAGCAGACAGCTGGGATCCAGGCCCGAGGAATTGTGGGCCGTGGATTACATACAAATTGCTTGTGTTTTTGCCCTGTGGCTGTGAAACCTTCCCTGTTATGAAATTACCTCTGAACAAGTTTTGCTTTGTATACATTTGTCATGGTATTTGCCGAGTCAGTCCAACCTCTGATTGGAAGTTTTGGTTTTTGGTCGACCAAATTGGTGAAATACTATCATGGTGTTAGTCCTAAGAGCAAAAATGATCAAAAACTGACTTTGATTGGTAAATTTTAAACTCATAAAAAAGCTTTAAATGAAAACAACTGCCTGCCGAGTGGCATTGTGCTAAAGTGACCACTAGAGGGCTGCTCTTAGGATGTCACAACACCCACAACAAAGGTGGGGTAGGCAGGATTCTGTTAAAGAAGCATCTTTTTTTTGTGGTGTTTATACAAAAAAGCTTTTAATTTCAATCAATAGCTATTAGTTATTGATGACATTTGGTAATATAACGATATCGCTGTAAAGAAAGCCATTCTCCGCCTCCCCGACCTGGTTGGTTGTAAGGCAGACGCTGCTCCCACGTGTCGTTCAGGAGCCCAAACAAAGTTAGCCTACTACAATATTGGACAGTAGAAACCAACCAGAAAGTACAGAAAATTGTCTGAATCGTTCTTAAGCCACGACCGCCAACACAAGCAAGAAAACGGAGTAAATACCGGAGACTCTGGTGGAATAACAGACGCTTAAAAAGGAGGTAGACCACCCAGGCAAGAGCCAAAAAGCCGGGTCAACAATAATGAGGGACGCTTCGGAATCTTAGGGACCCTGTAACCTTTCTGCTGGACAGGTAAACCAGGACCTGCTGCATGTTGTAGCGCCGCTAAACTGTTTAGCTGGAATCCTGTCGTCTGTTTGTGGGCGGGGCTTGCTGGAGCAGAGTCGGAAGGGGGAGGAGGAGCTGACGGGAAAACTGGTTGGGAGGTGTAGTGTTTAAATTCAAGATTTCTCCCAAAAACTGTCACTTCCTCAGATCCTGCCTACCCCACCTTTAAACTCTGATCTAGTGTATGTGAAATGGAAAGAAAGAGCATTTACTCTCTTTGTTTTTATTCTCGTCCTGGCTCAAAAGTTGAAGTTATATTTTCTGGACTTATCAGCAGACACCATCATACAAAAGCAGAAGCAGATGAAGTATATTTCAGGCATAAGCAGGCGAACATCTGTTAAAACACTCCTGTCCTGATCCTGGACCAGAACCTCTTTGGTGTGACAAAGTTATTCAGCGTCAGACTCTTTGCGTGTCATCCTTTAAACTGTCCGTCGTCCCCTGTAACACTTCTCTGTTTGGCTTGGACACCGGTCCGTCCCCCGTCCCCCTGCCAAGGAAAACTCTGTGAACGCTTATTAGCGAGAGTGAGGGCCCAGACCCGGGGAGGTGAGGCCTGTGACACACGGAGGGTCTGGCAGGCTGATGGATCCAAACCTCAGTGTGGGGGCAAAGTGTGAACCCTGCCACTTACTTCTTGGCTCGGTTTTTCGCAAATACAAAATGAAGAGCGAGCACTTCAGGGGGATAGTTCTCTTTAATGTGGTTTGGAAACCAGGAGGATTACCACAGACAGGAAAGAGCTTTGGTTTAATCATTAGAGAGAGAAGTCTGAACCACATGGACTCTGGATAATGTCATTACCCTGGAAAAACCTCCAAATCTTTGATCAATACGTTGTTGTTTTTTTAAAACAGCAAGAGTTCAAAAAACATGGATTTCATCTTGGCGACGTCACCCATGTGTGATAATATGGTATAAATGGACACTTTAACATGGGTGTTAATGGAGATTTATTGGATTTTTGGGATAGCCTCTAGTGGACATTTGGGGAACTGCAGTTTTTTTTTCCACACTGGATGTTGCCAGTTGGTTTCCAGTATTTGTCGACTAAAACTCAGTATTTCCTGTCCTGTTCCAGTGCCATTGACGGTCAAATGTCAAAGTCTTAGCTCATCGGGACCGGTCTCCAACCCTTTGAGTCAATCAAGTCTTTGAATACCATCGTCTTTGGTGGTCTCAATGAGGCACATACTTGATGTTAAGATGACCGCAATGGGCCTGTATCGTCATGTGAAAAATGCTGTAAATACCAGTAGTCCCAAAACCAGGCACACTGCCTCCACACACACCTGAAGTCAATTATTCCCCCGCCTGCTGGTTCTCATGTAACAGAGTCAATTTTACTTCAATCAGCTGACTGTGAGCTCTTACACTCGGGGTTATATATGAGCTCACAGCAGACTTATTAGACAGAGGGTTTGTTGTTGACATCATTGGATTATGTGAAAGTTTTTGTTTATATATTCAGATTTTAAGTTCAATAAGTGCTTTATTGTTACCAAAAGTATAATACAGCTCCATCCCAATATGTTTGACATATAAACAAGCAAAAGGGTTTGAGTTAGGACCAGGAAGTACCTAGAGGGAAAGGTTTCAACAAAAACGTCTGATTCCTTCACCCTCAGACTTCCATATTTTGCAGTGTAGTTATAAAAGGATCCAGACAGCACCGGGGAGAACACAAACATTAGTTTTAACAGTGGTTCCTCTGTGGGTTATTACAGCAGAGCGGTACAGTGTGGACTCAGGATTTCACCCACAACAAGAAGTCATGTCCGTGGGGTCGAACAAATGTTACGTTTGAACTGCATTCAAGTGTGAAACCCCGTTTAGGTTCCCACGCTTATACAAACGTAATCTGGATAAAAACAGGACAGATTAATGACGCGAAACAAGCATCTGTCAGAATGAGAGTTTCCAAAATGAGACAGGAAGAAGTCTTGGCCTCATGAGGAAGCTTTGCAGAACTTTTACAAAACCGTTTATGTCCATTCAGACTGTCCTGATCCTACGAGTAAAAATCATTTGGTCAAAATCTAAAAGTATATTCTCAGACGCGTTAAACAAAAGCAATCATCAACTCTGACCCTTGGCTTTTCATACACCTCCCTCCTCCTTCTCCTCTCCCTGCTCTCCTTTCTCCATCGTCGGCTGTATGACAGTTTGTACTGTTGCAGCTTTCCTTGAACTTTCATTAAAAGAAACAGGTCACGTCAGTCCTCTTTCCGAGACTCTAACAATTCTTTGAGGTCTTACAGCTCATATTATATGTTGATGTATTAATTTGAACCTGCTGCACATCAGATCCATGTCTGGTGGCGTAAATTTCAAAGAGCGGGACGACAGATGAGACTGTGAGAAAGACAGAGTCTAAACAGAGACAGAATAATACGATGGTAGCCAGGACAGAAAAGGAAAGGCTGGAGACTACTGTTGGTCTTCGCAGTGGGTCTCAGCCTCCCCAGAAGCTCGGCTCTGGACCCTGTTTGTCCAGCTTTGACGAACCGAGCGCGCTCTCTCTTCGTTTGCCAGGAGAGAAAGTTTTTATTGGCTCGATCTCGTCACATGCAGAGACATTTCAGACTGGTTGTGTTGACTGAGAAAGAAGTGGCTGCCTGAGAACCACTGATGGAGCTTTATCCAAGTTTACAGACGCCAAATCCAAACATTCACAAACTGCCTGAGTGACTCGGTAACATGGAATTTGTTTACAGCAACATTTCAAAGACACAAAATAATCAGTTTTTCTGTAGTTTAGCTTACGTAAGTCTGTGTTTGGCTGAAAATTCTCTCGAACCAGTGATATACACTCTAAAAAAGTTAGTCCAAGCAAAGATTAGTACTGTGAGCTAACAAACATGTCCCCTTTGACCCTGTTCTGCAAGGAACAGTCCTGTCAGCTATACAGTGGCCCTAAAAGTCAGTTGAAAAAATTTTTTTGTGAAGACAAACAACAATTTCAAAAAATGTTTAAATCTTTCATGGATACAAAAATATTTTATTGAAGATGCAAAAGAAAAACAAACAAAAAAACATTTTACAAAATATGAAAGTTTTTTTATAGAATAAAAAGGAATGTTTTACTGGACACCAAACTGACATTTTTTGCCTTTTCTTAATTTTCCTTTTTTTTTTCTTTTTGCATTTTCACATCTTTTTCACATCATATTGAAACATTTTGAGTATTTAAAAAAGTTTTTCCATTACATGAAATATTTTAGAGTTGTAAGTTATTATTTTCTCCTGGAATATGTTTGCAGTTTCTTTTTTTTTTTTCTTGTTTTTTGTTTTTTGTTTTTTGTTTTGCACTTCTTGATATATCTAATTTTTTATGAAAAAAAAAAAGACAATCCATTAAATATTTGGGGTTGCATTTTTTTAGTTTGTTTTGGTTTTGTTTTTTTAGTTTGTTTGTGTGTTTGTTTGTATGTTTTTTTTGTATTTCTTGGAATATTTTTTGCCACTTGTGAAAAGATTTTACATTGCATCAAATATTTTTAGATTTTAGAATTAGTTTTGTATTTCTTGAATTTTTTTTTCTTCTTCTCAAATATTTTTGCATTTTTTTGTGCACTGTATTTTTGGTATATAAAAGTATTGGATTTTAGTAAAATGTTTTTTGAATTAACTTAAACGATTTTTTTGTGCTCATGAGTTGTTTGTGCAGGTGGCCTTCAGAGCCACTGTAGCCTGTAACCAATGTAAAATCAAATAATCAACACGGGAAAAAGGTGAAGAAAAAAAAGCCCCAAACTTTTACATTAGTCAACCAAACTAGCATGAACATATTTTGTCAGTATCATAAAATTGTTTCCCTTATTTTGAAATACCCAATTTAGGTTCTCTGGTTTTAATTTCCATCATTATTCAACATTTTTTTGGAATATGGTCTATTAGCTAACACTCCAGAAGCTTCCTCCACTGTTGCTATGATAGAACACATACACCAGTGCTCCTCCATTTAAAATTATGACACATAATGAAATATTGTAATGTGTTTAAGAACTTGAATATACACTGGGAGTTTTGTAGATGAAATAAGAAAAACCCCCAAATTATAATCCCATTTACAGAGCATGTGATGTCATGTGAAAATGGTGGATCGCTTCTTTGCGTCAATCTTGAACAAAGTATAGACTTTTTTTTGTCTAAAACCCATTGAGCTCAAACATTGGCCAGACTGCACCCCAGATGAACAGACAATGACTCAGCGACTTTTTCAGCCATGAGCAAGCACCTTAAATTGATTAATTTGCTTCCCACCGTCAAACAGCGGGGGTTTCCAGTCCGCACAGATCTGGCTCCCATTCCAAGGGCAGCAGAGGAATGAAATGCAAACCAAAGCGTTTGGCTGGGACCTGCAGCCAAATAAATAAAACATTTGAGAGGGAGGTTCTCCTAAAGCTGTGGTATTCTCTCCAATACGTGCAGTACTCCTGACAGACAGAGGTTACCTTCATGTCCAAGGACGACTAAGTGCTCTCAGAGTCGGATGACTACATAGTTCCCTAAAAAGCGGGGGAAAGTGGTTGAAATCTGTGCATAAGCCACAGAAAAGAGTCGTAGTCGAAGAGTTTGATCTGAAATTTCACACACAGACTGGGACAAGGAGTTACTCTGGTTTGGCTGAAAGCTCACGACAGGAAACTGTTTAAAGACTCTGATAAAAGTAGATAACATAAATTTAATCGGTTCTTGCTGACATTACGAGATTCTGCAGTGTCGTTTCCTGCCACAAATATAACCTTTTTTCTCCAGTAAATCCTTGTTTCCCAATTCATTCCGAGTAGTGTTTTAAAAGGAAAAGCAGCTAAAGCTAGTTGTTTCTTTAACGCATAATAACTTATTAAAATTAAACTTGTCAGAATAACTATGACAACAGAAAGCATGTTCGCACTGAACTTATTTGGCGTGTATTTTGATTTTACAGGCCGACTCATATTCCATCTGTTAACATGGAGGAGGCGTTATTTTTGGTGCCATTTGACCCCGGAAGATGGAAATCCTGAGAAGCCTCTTGGAGTCTACCCTGAATGCCACCTTCCGTCTGATTCCTGTCTGGAAACTGCGCAATTTCAGGTAACCCAAGCACAAACTCCAAGATGGCTGCCCCCTGTATCACCTGTTCTTTTCACTGCATTTATTCCCAACTTAGACTTCTTGTACATTACTTAAAAGTGGGGTAGGCAGGATCTGAGGAAGTGCCAGTTTTTGGGAGAAATCTTGAATGTAAACTCTACCAACCGGTTTTCCCCTCAGCTCCTCCTCTCTGCTCCAGCAAGCCCCGCCCACAAACAGACACTCCTGCTCGCTCATATTGTTCCAATTAAATTCAGATATAATGCAGATAAATAGTTCAGATAATTACAAATGGGGCCCAGTCAACGTGAAAGTAAAAAGCATTGGTGCTACTGTAGATGCCAAACAGACAACCAGCAAACACAAAAAAAGATGCTTCTTTAATGGATTCCTGCCTACCCCACCTTTAATCAGTCACATTAATTGTATTGTGCAAGTTTTAAATATTGACATGTCAGGTCTATATCATGTGCAAACCATTGCTTCATGGGTTGTAATTGCCCGATATAGCTATATTTACTTTCGAACTTTGTTGAACACATTCATTCTGTCTCTTTTAAAAGCAGGCTAAAACTCTATACAGGAGCTTTAATGTGGCATATATATCACATTATCTCTAATGGAAACAAATGAGGGTCCAGGTCCTTCTAAAGTTACATATATTGGCTTTAAGTCTCTTATTGTGGAGGCATAACATTAAAAATGACATGTTTTTCCAGAACATTCAATCTGATTGCTGTCTGGCCCAATGAAAAATATTTGTAAAGGGTATTTGGCAGGCAGGTGTGTTCAGGTGTGTGAGCCAGGCTGCAGCCAAGCAGTGCGTGGGAGTAATAGGTGCATTTGATGACTGACAGGCTGCAGAGAAACTGAAAAAAGTTCATGTTTAAGGATCATATTCGCCTCTTTTTGTGATGTGATTTCTCGGATCTTGTTGTGGGGAACCCGTAACACTCCTGCCCAGAAACGGAGAGCGAACAAAAGCTCTATTGATGGAGAGGTTTGGAGATAGATGAGAACACTGTGTGGTTCCTCTTAATGAAGTTTTAATGCTTCAAAGAAAGTGGACTACCAGAACACACATATACATTACACCGAGCAGACCAGAGAGGAGGATTTCCAGCTGTACGTCACCATAGAAAAGGGAAATCGAGCCACATCTGGGACATGAGGCTGTAAAGAATCTATCTTTTGTGCTGCATTGTGGGAAATGTAGGACATAAATCAATATTGCTATTGTAAGATGACGACTGGCACTGATGGAAACGTTTACATCGCAAAGTGATCAAATCTCGTCAAAAAACTGTAAAATAACAGCAGAACCAGATCTGATCTGCAGCCAAGCACTAAAGACTTTCATTATTCGAGGTCTGTTGAGCCGAGACGATTGCATCATGCTTAGAAAAACATCCCGGCGTTCAGCAGGTCGACATGTTTCCACTTCATTGACACGGACGAAGCAAGAAAAGAGGTCTCACAGCACAGCGAGGAGGCGATTCCCCCCGAAAAAATAACCCGGCCTTCTCCGTCCCCGCAAACTTAACGACCTCAGGAAATGTTGGTAGAGGCAGTTGGAGGCTAATGAGCCTTTTCCTGTGATATCACAGGGAAATGGCGCGCTTAAGTCTGCTCTAGTAATTGGCCTGACTTCACCGAAGGAAAACACAAGATGGAAAAATGAAAAAACAGTCCTCTGTTTCCTCTCTGAGAAAACTAGCTGTCATGACTTGTGCTATTGTTCGCTCTTATAATCCTGCGCTAGCTTTTTTTTTTTTTTTTTTACAAATGTTAGCTGTTTTGTTACTACTGTAGCTAATTTCTTAGCTTAATGCTGATATTAGCTATTGTGATTTAGTTTTAACCTGCTTGACGCCAACAATATTTGTATTGACTGAGCTGTATGCCTTTATTAGCTGTTGCGACTAAGCTGCCGCTAGCTCAGTGCAAGTACTAGCGACAATACTACCTGTCGTGGCTCAGCTTTGTGCTAATATTAGCTGCCCTGATTTAGTTGCTTCTAGTGTAGTGCTAATAGTAGCAGTCTTGACTTAGCTATCGCTAGTTTTGTGTTAGTACTTACTGTACCGACTAAACCGCCACTAGCTTATTGCTAAAAGTAGCTGTTGTGATTTAGCTTTTTCTAGTTTTGTGCTAAAACTAGCCTGTTTAACATGAACATTAGCTGTCATGACTTATCTGTAGCTAATTTTGTGCTAATGCTTGCTGTTATAGCCCTGCACTAGCTAGTTCTTTTACAGATGTCAGCTGTTTTGTTACAACTTAAGCTAATTTCCTCTGTTGATGTTATCAGCTTTGAATCAGCTGCTGATAATCTAAGCTATTGTGATTTAGCTTTTGCCTGCTTGATGCCAACAAGATTTGTAATGGCTAAGCTGTATGCCATCATTAGCTGTTGCGCCTAAGCTGCCGCTAGCTCAGTGCTAGCATTAGCGACAATACTACCTGCTGTGGCTTAGTTTTGTGCTAATAATAACTGCCCTGACTTAGCTGCTACTAGTGTAGTGCTAATAGTAATAGTCTTGACTTAGCTATCTCTAGTTTTGTGTTAGTATTTGCTGTACAGACTGAACCGCTACTAGCTTAGTGCTAAAATTAGCTGTTGTGACTTAGCTGTTGCTAGTTTTGCGCTAAAACTAGCTGTCTTGCCTCAGCTGTAGCCTGTTTAATATGAGCATTAGCTGTTATGATCTACTTTGTAATCATGTGATGCTAACAGTATCTGTTTTTACTTGGCTGTGCCTGTTCCAATGCTAATATTAGCAGTTTTGGCCCAAATGTTGCTCGTTTAGTTCTAATTTGAGCTGTTTTGTGACTCGCTTTGGGTGGTTTTGTGCTGATTGCATCTATGAGCATTTTAGCACTTAACCACTGAGCTCTGCGCAGCCTCACAGCTCCAGTGGTACATTTTTTAGGCCAATTAGGGGGTTTCAGGATTTTCCTCCACAGCTATCTGTCACCTAGCTGTGCCAGTTTCAGTACAGACACTCTCAAGAGTTTGGAGGGTAACTGAGAGCACTAAATGATTTTCTTGTGGAAAGTTTTGGCCAAACTTGGTGCCTCTCACACGGCTTGTTTCTCTGCCAAACTTAACCAAACATGGAGAGAACTGTGGAGCTGGAGAGCAGGCTCAGAGACAACCGGATTAACAGACAGACAGAAAAATTCAAAGCCTGTCATGAGAGAACAAACTGGTCTCTGCCCAGTAACTGTTTCCAGCAGTTTGCTTGTTGATGAAGTCCTGCAGACGGCTTATGTTTCTACCTTGTTCGCTGTATGGATGTTGGGATTTGGATCTTATACCAAACACAGTTCTGCCCCATCAAATCCGGACCACTGGCCTCATTTTCCCACAGCTGTACCTGATATTTAGCTTGCATCCAGTCCTGTCATGACATCATGTAACTACAGTCAGGACTCGCATCTGTTGACAGATCAAGTCCGAGTGAAGCCAGACTTCAAAAAGGACAAAAACCAGATCCGGACTCTGTTAGCCATTTTTATTCAGAGCTCAGGGAAACATACCTCACAGATGTTACTTCCTTCTTTCTAATGACACAGAAAATAGACTATTACCAAAATAAAGGCGACTAAAAGAGACGGGAAACTCCTCCATACAAGCTTGACGTATGAATCCTTCAATTTCTTCTGATGGTAGAAAATCCAGTGAGAGCTCTTTAATCTTTCCACAATGCTGTAAATCTGATCGCCTGAATGATGGATGAGCACTGAACATCGTAAGGATGTGTTTTTGTAATTGACTCACAGAGGATCTGACTCTGACACCTGTAGGATTTCACCAAATTATTCCTTCACTATAAAAAGTTAGGTACATTTGTTGTAAACGATACAGGCTGCACTGAAAAAAGTCAGCATCAAAGTGCAAATAACTGCAGTTCCCCAAGTGTCCACTAGAGGCTGACTCCAAGAGCTCCCCAAGGTTAAAATGCTCATTTTTACTGCAGAATTTGACGTATTTCCAGCCTGGTATGACAAGCTTTTTTTCCACAACATTTGGACCTTATTTTTGTAATTATACGTTTTCCTAACATAAGGACTTTATTTCTGTAACTATACAAGTTTATTTCCGTCACTCTACGACAAGATTTTCAAAATGTCTTTCATGACAACATGACTATTTTCATAACGTTAGGACCGTACTCTCGCTACTGTGCGACCCTCCCTTTATAACACTAGGGCTTCATTTTTCACAACTGTAACTGTTTCCACACTCCAAGTGCGAGTAAAATCATTGGCGCAAATGAATTACATTTTAAGTCAATGTAAAGACGCGATTAGATGCTCCTACGACGGATATTCGCGTCGCAACAACTTTGCTTACTAGTATCTAAAATGGAGGACAATCTGATCGTGTCGCTGTGTGGTTGCCCTGAACTATATGACACATTTTCTTTCAATTACCAAAACTGGAATAAAAAGGAGCTCGCCTGGAGGCAACTGAGTGAGGAGGTCGGATTACCTGGTCAATTGTAAAAACCTTTGACTATCACTTGATCCTGCTGGTTGAATTGGCAGGGATTACCGTTGAAATTACCATTGACGCGCGAATGAAGCGAGTAAATACAATTTATTTACGTGTCTAGATTTGTGCGAATTAAGCGAGTAGATGACTTTACTCGCGCTTGGCGTGAATGCCCCACTAGACTTTGCTTTCATAACATTACGACTGTATCTTCATAGCACTTATTGGCGACCACCGTCGCTTAGCTCCAAAGGGCCAACTTTTTATCTTATTTACCGATTTTTTTATCTCGATACTTGTGAAAGTGGTCTCTACTTTTGGAATTTGTGGGTAGATCAAACTATCAGATTTAGAGAAAGTTAACTCTTTAAAAGGCTTACTGAGAAAACTCAAAAGAAAATGAGGAAGCCGAAGTCAGTGTACAAACACCTGTTAGCATTTCTCATGACGCTCAGCTCCAGATGACAGAGGGTTAATTGCAGAAGAAGGATCCAGGAAAAGGGTCAAATTAAGGGAATTGTAGATGTGAGCTGCAGATTTATGAAAACGTGAACTGGGAGTTTGCTGGTGGAGGGTCAGTATTTCCAAGCAGACTGAAACAGGGAGTTAAAAGGTGAGAATAAGACTGTTTCTGTCCGTGCTGAAGGCTTATTTGTGAGGTAAATCACACTCTAACAAGCACGTGTTCACACAGTTCGGTTCCCCGCATGGAGCTGACAGTAACATCAGTCTGGAGGGAAACTCAAATGTTTTCTTTAAAAGCAGGTCCTGCACGGAGGAAACGTGTTAAAGGAACGAAAATAGCAACACAAACAAAAAGTCGACCAGTAATATCTGAAATGTGAACCAGCTGTGCAGAGTGTGAACGCTCCCCTCTCGACCTTGGCTTATTACTTCCATACAGTCGAGAATTCGCAGAAAAGTTCAATATTTTCATCGTCAAACACCCGAAGTTCAGGGAAGAATCACAGGAGGAGGCCGGGCTGCAGAAACCTGAATTCCCAGATTGAGGATTTTTTCTGCTTTTCGTCAAATTTGGGCTTCAAAAATGTTTTGGGTGGGTTGCAAATATTTCGGTTATGCTTTCATCAGGAAAGTTAGACATTCGACTTTTTCCTTTTTCACTGTTTCAGAGTTTGATTTGAGATTATCACTTTTATTTCTGATGTCTTCACTGAGGATGAACCTTTGTACGTCTGAAAGTTTGATTTTCATTTCTCTGATTGCAATTTCCCAAAAGTTTTGCAGATATCGACAAAGATATACCTGAGGTTAAAGTTGCCCTAAATCGTTCGTCCTTATCTGCGTTATCAGATCACTCATGGACGTCTTTCATCACCTTGAAGCTGCTTTATTTCGCTTCATGGACCCTGTGGTTGGATTGTTTTGTAGACTACTGTGTGTGTGTACTGTGGTAGTCTTCTAAAACCCCTCCTCTCAGCTAGATCTTGACCTCAGCCAAAACCAAAAGCGGGACCCTGCCCTTAAATCTTCCTGCATGCGAAGAATGCGCCGAGACGTCCAAGACAAACGAGAATCTTCCTCCTCGTGATCTGCGATTGTGCAGCTGAATGGGCTTTGTTTCTGTCTCCCCCTGACCTCTCATGCTGCAAACGCTCGTTCCCCCCTTCTTCTCCCGTACTGATCCACATTTTTTTGTTTTCCTCCCTCCGTCTCTCACATACATGCACAAGATCCAGGCCGGGGCTGCGGCTCCACCCACCTGCAGATAAAAGCCAAACCCTCACCAGGGCTGCTGCTCAGCGTCTGTCCTAAACTCCTCAAAGCCGTGTGAGACTCTCAGCCTGCAGCGCACGCGTTCAAAGGTGAGTGATGCATCAGGGTTTGAGGATGATCAAGCTTTCTGGCACGCTTTTCTTTTTGCTTTTCCTCTACTTTAATGAAACATCCAGAACAGTGACCTTTTTTGCATCCTTGGAACAAGTCCACTTTCGGGGTTGAATTTGATCTGGAAGACGAACAGAAGTCACCTTTTTGACCTTCAACCTGCTGCTGCCAGATCTCCAAATGCAAAGACGCTCCACCTGGGAAGAATCACCCCGGTTTCAGCTTGTAAAAATAAAAGCAGCATCTTGACAGGATTTAAGCGAAATTTAAGATGCGATAGAGAGAAAGGAAACCTTTTTTCATGCAAACTCCAGCCTCAGGTTTGTCTCCTTCATAGATGCAGGAAAACAGAGTCAGGGTCGAGTTAGGAAAGAAGCTCTGCGGCTGCATATTTGCTGAGAAAAATGAGTCAGGGATGGAAAGTTTTGGGGTAGGGAGATCTTTTACAGAGCTGTTTCTTCATATTTTCTGCCGTAAACATGCTGAAGTAAACGTTTTCGACTCTTAGTCAGATTTAATATCCTCAACTTTAAACCAATTCACTTCAAAAGCTGCATTATTCTAAAGTGCAAACTGGAGGAATCTGAAAGTGCACCTGCTGGGAAACATGCATGAATCCTGATCAAACATGCATGTTGGACTTTTGCATGCAGCTTACATGCAAAAGCAGGAGCATGCTTCGCTGGAATTGTGCAAAAAACTAATGAGAATTCCAGTGATAACCTTTACAGTCAAATTTAAGATCCCAGACAGCTCGGTTTTGTGGATCTCACAGACTTTTTATTGATAGTTTGCAGCTGTTTACTTGCAGCTCTTAAAAGAGGAGGGGGAAATGTGGTCTCTGAGGTCCAACAAGTGGCACAATTAACTGTCTGATGGTTTCTGATTACCGTAATCCTCGTAAAAACCCCGAAAACACCTTCTGCATCAGCTAAAAGTGAAATGCAGAGCAGTAGACACTGGTATCATAGCTGTGCAGATGTGCAGAGGTTAAAAGAGTTCAGATATTCACAGTCGTCATGCTGATGTTTCATGCAGCAGTGTGTTTTGTGTATCCCTGATTGCTTTAGAGGAGCTAATCCGCAGTGGACTCGGTCCAGACCAAGCAGACTCTGCAGCATTTTTGGGGTGTGTTTGTTTTGTTTTTCCAGGACTGCACGCTCCTTTTCCACTTTGGACGCAGACGCTGACTCCCCGCTTAAAGTCAGAGAGTCCAAGTGTGTTATTTCCATTCAAAACCGCCTCTTTATCAGGCTGAAGCCCCCCTTTTGTTGTGTTTTTAGGATCAGGGATTGAATATATTCATCGTGAGTCCTCGCTGTGCAATTTTTGTCATTTTTCTGTCATTTTTTTTCGGGTCCGGCAGCCTGAGGGGAGCTGCAGCTTCTCACGTGAACTCTCAAGTTCTTGGTCTCCGAGTTTTTGGCTGAAAGTCTTCAGAGGGAGAGGCGGTCCAGTAAGAGGAAAATTATTTTTCAAAACCACTCAGCACACGAGGAGTCGACTGCATTTTCCATCTCTTTAATAAAAGCGTGTGTTAATGCTGGGAAGCAGGGTGAGCAGCACAGACGGGTGGCTTGAAGATCTGACATGAAAAACGACTGAATCTCTGGTTCCTCTTGTTTCCACTATTAATGCTGAATTCATCACCTTTTGGATGCAACCGCAGAAAATCTAAAGCAGCACCTGCAGAATCCTGCGTAAGAAGTTTTAACTACCAGGAGTGGATTCTCTGTCAGCAGTCTGTAACTCCTGCAGATTTGTTGCTCTGTAAATGTCCCCCGACAGTCTTTTCCCCCTGCAGACGCCCTCTCAGACTCCCTCACAGTTCTCACCTACTGAACAGGAAGTGTTTATGCAGCTCAGAGGGAATGTGGGTCTTGATCCTGCAGCTGCAGCCGCTGTGATTCCAGGCCATGTGTCCCTGCGCTCGGCTGCTACTGTGCAAATATGAAGTTTTAACCACTTTCAGGCTGCGATTTGGCAGATTTCGCTGTTTTAGACTCGAGTGTGTGTGTCTGAGCTGGTATCTGTCCTCCTAGAGTTCAAGTTTTGATGGTATTTGTTTGCAGCATGGGGCAGTTTGGTCTGAAAACATAACTCTCGAGCTGCTGCTTTAAATTTTACAGATTTACTGCAAAGTATCTCTTATCTAAACTCCCGAGTAGACAGAGTCATACTTCTTATTATCCCTCGTAAATACTGCACTGCAAAAACATCTGGACAGCGGGGAAAGGGAGGATCGTATTTTTTCTCTGAGTGGCATATTTTACAGTGTGACTGTATAACACATCAAGCTCGGTGGGACCCTCGTCATATCTCATTACTGTCACTGAATACAGACACGTGTATGCGTGAAACAGGAGGATGATCTCGGACGTTTTATGATGCCAATAAATCGACGTGTGTGCAGGAGTAAATATCAGAAAACGCTCATTAAAGTGAAACTGCAGTAAACCCTGAAGCACCCTCCCTCAACGCTCCAACAGCCACCACAGTTATTTTACAATATCAACTCGCTCAGCCGTCCAAAACGTCACCCATCACGTCTCGTCTGGAAGGTTTCATTCGCCCTCTCGGCTCTCTGTGTTTGATGTTTTCTGCGTTTCAGCTTCAAAAGTTTAGTTTCAGGAATTTTTGGGATGTTTTCAAAGTGTTTGTGGTCCGTTTGTGCCGCTACATATCAGGGGAATTTGTTCCTTTTATAAAAGCAACTGGCAGAAAAGAGGAAGTGTTTAAATCCTGTAGTTAAGCAACAATGCAGAATCGTGTATTTTAATCGAATTCAGTCGGAAGTTTGAGTTTGAAACCCTGAAAAAGAGCAGGAGTTTCACCTGTAACATCCGCTTTAGCCAGACTGCCATTTAAGATCACTGAGTTCTGATCGACTGGACAAAATTCGGTTCACAAGAAACTGACTATGGAAAGAAGAAAAAAGTGAGGTAAAAAGTCTGAATTTCTCAGGAAAAGGTGGGACAAATCAATTTAGCTGTAAAGGGGAAGAAAAAAACTGTCCAGTGTGCAGACAGATTGAGCAATGACTGACTAACACGCCCAAAATTAAAGACTTGTCCACATTTTTTCATCCTAATTCTATCATAATTTCTTGTATTAAGCCAAAAAGTCCAGAAAAATGTCTGATTTGGAGATTTTACATGCTAGAAACTAAACCAGATTTGCTTCTAATGAGTGAAATAATCTGAAAATGTTGAATAAGAGAGGTTCAATTTCAGGGTTTCAAGTTTAAACAAAAGTTTAGTTTCTCAAAATGAGAAAATGTCTGATTTTTTGTAAAAGTTTGGGCTTTTTTTTTCACCCTCCAGGATATTTGTCCTTTTAAAGTTCAGAGATTGTTGCTTAGATGGCACGGCCTGAACCTCTTTTGTAGATGTCATTTAAAATTGTGGCATTGAACGAGAGAAGTAGTTCAATCCTGTAGTTAAGCAACAATTCAGAGTTGTATATTTTCAATCAAATTCAGGCAGAAGTTTGAGTTTGAAACCCTGAAAAAGAGCGGGAGTTTCACCTGAAACTTTAAATCCAAATCATGCAATAACTTGAGACTGACTGCTAATTAAGATCACTGAGCTCTGATAAACTGACCGTGGAGAAAAGTGAGGTAAAAAGTCTGAATTTGTCAGGTAAAGGTGGGACAAATCAATTTAAAAACAGTCCAGTGTGCAGACAGATTTGCAATGACTGACAAACATGCCCAAAATTAAAGACTTGTCCAGATTTTTTCATCCTAATTCTATCATAACTTCTTGTTTTAAGCGAAAAAGTCCAGAAAAATGTCTAATTTTGAGATTTTACACACTAGAAACTAAACAGGATTTGCTTGTAATGAGTGAAATAAGCTGCAAAGTTAAGTAAGAAAGGTTAAATTTCAGAGTTTTAAGTTGAAACAAAAGTTTAGTTTGTTAAAATGAGAAAATGTCAGATTTTTTGTAAAAATTTTGGCTTTTTTTTCTTTTCCTCCAGGATATTTGTCCAGAGTTTATTGCTTTGAGGTACCGCCTAAACCTCTGTTGTAGATTTTGAACCATGTCTACTTTAAGAGTCACAGTTGGCTGCCGTAAAGCGGTTGTTTTTGCTGCAAACTGTCTGGAAGTTGAGATTTAGAGCATTGGTAGTTGAGTCTGGCCCAAATTATCCTGCATTTTTACAGACGCAGGAGTTCGCATGAATACTTTTCCTTGTTGGATTTACAAAGTGGTCTAAAAAAAGTGCATGACATCCAGAAAAGGAGCTCCGTGTGTGTTTTTAACAGAGCGAGCAGCTCTTTACACAGTACACAAAACGTATTTATGCAGCTGCAAACGGCAGAATTCCCCACTGGAGTCTGTGGTGGAAGCGTGGTGGAAGTGATCAGATCTGATCATTGGCCAAAGCTTGTTACTGCCTATGAAAATAATCCCTCTCTGGCTGAGTGTCCCTGTGAGAGCCAGTGCAAATAAGACAGAGAGGCAGAAGAAATGTGGCAAAAACCACATGAGGTCCAGGCGAAAACTGGGAGAAAGCCTCTGAAGTGTTTCCTTCCTGCTGCGCCAGATAGTGGAGCATGTCATGTGAAATAAGCTTTCACCAGAGTAAATACGCCGCGATCCAAAAACGCTCTCTCCTCGTCTTTTTTCGCTTCTCTGGATGTGAAAACAACTCCTGCAAAAACCTGAAGCGCTCCTAGCTTTCGACTCCTTTTTAGTGCGAAACCAGACGGGCTGTTTTGACAGAACTCAGAGCTAATAGGAAAATAATTCTCCGATCTTCGCCCTGAAATGAAAATTGTGGCCAGACATTGAGTTGTTTGTGGTCCAGGAGCTGCAGGAGAAGGAAAATCTGTCATTGAGGAGTGCAGGGGAGGCCTGAAAGAGAGAGAGAGAGAGAGAGAGAAAGAGAGGAGGTGTTGTAGCAATCGTGTGGATGTAGAAGTCAAAGGTCACACAAGCATCGCCAGCTTGAAACACATGTTCCCGTGTTTTTTTAGGATCACTTTTTAATGCTTTGCTTCCTCAAAACAAAGCTTTCCAATCCACCTCCAGGTCGGCAGGCTGGTCTAGTTCGAGGTCTCCAGAGGCGACTCCGGCCCCGGCTCTGTAAAGAGATCGAGTAGGTGTGAAGGAATGTGAAGGAACCAGAGCGGGCAAAGCAAACCTGCATTTTTCGCTTCATTTTCCGGCTTTTTATAAAAAATCAGAGGTGCACCCCGACCTCTGGGAAAACGTAAATGCTGCCTGATGATTGATCTGGGATAAATCACCTGCTAAGAGACAGAAAAAGCAGCAAACGCAGAAAAGAAAAACAGGTTCAGGTCCAGATTCTGTCTAGAACATGAGCTGAGGTTAAAGCAACAAGAGCAGAAAAAAACAGTCCTGATGCACCAAACTGAAGTCTGTTATTATCACACTGAAAAACAGGATAAATCAGACTCTAAAAACACTTGAAGAGGAGTAGGATATGGTTTCTGACAGGGTAATTTTGTGTTTTCTTACCATCCAAAGCACATTCATGCACTGGAAAAACACGAGTGAAACGTCCAGACAGATTAAAGTATCAATGATCTGAAAACTTGACTCAAAAATGGAGTTTGGTGCCCTCTACTGAGCAAAATACTTGTATTTCAGCATTAATCTCTAGTCTGAAATAAATTTTCTGTTACAGTTAGCCTGTAAATGATGCAAAAATGTAACACAACATGTAAGTCAGACTGAAGTCATCAGAGGCGCTCGAAAATGTCAGAAATTTATCTTAAAATATTAAACCTCATTTTTATCCAGGGCCAACACTCACATCTGCAGGTGGTTCAATAGGCAAATACAGTGGCCATGAAGGTCAATGGCACAAATATTTCAGGAAAGTGATTAAAAGTAATCATAAAAATACACAAAGATATTTCATGAAATAGACAATATATTGAATTAATATCCTAAAAATATTTTATTAAATGCACAATGTATTAAATAACCCCCCAAAACTTTTACAAATAGCAAAAATATATCATAAAAGTGTCAAAAAATGGTATAAATTACCCCCCAAAAAAAATATTAAAACACACCAGAAACATAAAAAAAAACATGTCTCATAAAACCCCCAAAACTTTTACAAATCACAAAAATATATCATAAGATTGTGTCAAAAAAATGGCTTAAATCATTTAAAAAAATCATAAAACACACCAGACTTATTAAAAAACATCTCATTACCCCCCAAAACTTTTACGAATTGCAAAAATATATCATTTAATTGTCAAAAAAAAATGGCATAAATCACCAAAAAAAATCATAAAACACAACAGAAATATAAAAAAAACAGGTCTCATAAACCCACCAAAACTTTTACAAATCGCAAAAATATATCATTAAATTGTCAAAAAATGGCATAAACCCCAAAAAATCCTAAAACACACCAGAATTATTAAAAACATGTCTCATAAAGCTCCCAAATTTTACAAATCTTAAATAAGTCATAAAACTGAAAAATTCCAAAATTGTTTTAAAGAACCCACATTTTTCTTTACAAAATTCTTAAAAAATTCACAACCCCCCCAAAACACTTTACACAACATAATTTTATTTCATAACCCCCTGCAAATTTCAAGACTTTTCGCATTTCAAAAACTTTTTCATGTCGTTTGTTTGTGTATTTCTATATATCTTATATTCATGTGAAATAATTTCATGTTTTTGAAAATGTTTTTGTGTTTAACGGTACTTTTTTGTTGCCCTCCTAAAATATTAGCTTCCATTTCCCTTAAGGGCCACCGCAGACTAAACCTCTAGTATATCTAATCCATTGTTAAAAAATGAAAGTAAGTCCAAATGCAAACACATCTAGATCATATTTATGCTACCATCAGTCAAGCTCCTCCTCTCCAGGGTGGCGGCTCCTCTAATTAACGCTGATTGGTTCCTGTTGAATGCTATTCTCACTTAAAATGCTCGTTCGCACCTTTTTTGCTTGTATCTATAAATTTCAGTGTGATTCACCACAGAGAGGAGAAGTGCTGTTCCTCCTCATGCAGGTTAGATGATAACAGCTCACATGCTCATGCAAACAAATGGTCGCTCACACTCAGGTGACTTCTACAGAGGTTGTCCTGGCGCTCACGCTGCCTTCTGTCAGCTGATTGTAACATTCCTGCGTGTGTGCATGAATTTTTTCACACTGCGCTGATAGAACAGTGACATTGAGTGAGGAGGTTTGTTTTTTCAATTACTCAGCTTTTTTAGACGTTTATTTCTATTTCAGGCCCCATTGCTGCCGCAGGTGATGAAAAAAGACTGAAAATGTACAGCCGGTGAAGGAGAACAACATCTGTGCTGTTGTTGGGATTCAGTCACAGCTTTTTGGCACAAACTGCACAAACGAAGTTTAAATCAGTCTGAGCTGGAGCGTCAGCCAAAATTCATGTCCTGTAATGTTTGCAAATAGCCTTATAAAATAAAAACATGAAAGTCTGTGATAATGTGGACAAATTTAACATGAAACAACATATATACAAGGGGTAAAAACTGCAAGTGGACATCATTAAGGGTTAGTTAGCTGTTTGTACATAATAGACATTAACTAACTGGAATTTGGCAGGACATTTGCCCAGATTTTCTCCTCTGTAGCATTGATTTTTGACTGGTATTTTTTTAAATGGTAGCCGTTGAGGGATCCAAAGAAATCAATACAATTTTTGTTATTTCCTTTGTTTATTAAAGAGGCCTAACAGCATGAGAGAGCATGAGACCATTCTTTTAATCTGAGACATCACTTGAGACATCACTTTGTCCACAGGGGGCGCCAAAATCAACAAAGGTTCCTCACACTAAAATGGAGATTTGTGCTGTCATGCACAGTGAAATACAAAGTTCTAGTTAAAGTATCTTTGGGTCATTTTGGGTAAAAAAATGTGGAAGTCTTTATCTTGTTCTAATGTTTGTTTTTTGCCCCGTCCTGAAGCACTGTTAGCTGCCTTGTTTGGAAAGAAAGACCCTGTAGAGTCTGTTTCAAATCCTGACCACAAGCAATTAAGACTGGCACCCGAATCTGTAAGCAATGACATGCCTCTGTTCCTCATGGTTTGTTGATCGAGTGGTAGAGTCCCTCCATCTGGAACCAGTCAGGAGAGCAGCACAGAGGAGAAATGGAAATTTGATTATTTTCATGATGGAGGTGATAAAGGACTCGTGGCTCCAAACCAAAGCAGGGTTGGCGAATAGTTTCAGAGGGACCAGCGTGGTCTCAGCGGGGCTGGAGAGTCTCAGTCATCGAGGGAGGGCTGAGGAGGTGTTCGAAGACTTTTAAGTGGACTTTTTCCAAAGTCGAGTTTATAACGGAGTGGAATCGTTGTTAAAATAACCAGCGCAGATGTTTGTGAAAAGAATCCTGTTTGGTGTTTGTTGTTCAGACCGCAGTGAGTTTAAGGAAGATAAGTCCGGTACATAGTTATTGTCTGGCAATCAAAACCCACATAAACAAGAGGATTTAGTTCCTCCTGACATCCTGTAACAATCACACTGAGCAGGGAAACAATGCAGCTTCACATCATAGGCAAATGACACACCAATTTATGTACACAGAAGGTGGAACCTTGAAGGGAGCCGCATCCAAGGCAACGGTGTGTCATGTAGGAATAACAGACTGTTGCTAAGGGGTTTCGACCAATCAGAAGTGCCATGTAATAAGATTAACTGAGATGACTATAGAAGAATAATGTCCATTAAACTGAGGTTTTCTTTTATTGCAACCAAATAAAAAGTTAAGCTGTAGACTGAGTTCATGTTCAGAACCTTGTTAGCTGTTTCTGTTGTCTGTATTGTCTTTATTATTTTGACACCCCCGACCCCACCCTCCATTCAGCTCCTGCAGTATAAAAGCATAAATTTCACCCCTCTGATAGCACCTCAGACTCAAACTCCGCCTCTGTCTGAAATTTTGGCCCTACTCTCGAAGAATCAGACATTACATGGAAATCTCTCCCTGCAGGGCTTTTACTTCAAATACCTCGATAAATCAAACCCTATCATCACATCATGTTTTCTGATCAATACGATGTAATGGGAAGCCGATGTTTGACCCCGAGCAGATTTGAGGGAAGACTCTATTTGTTGTGTTGAAGCTTTGGCGTACAGAATAATCAGAGCAAATCAAACACACAGACACCATAATTTAAGACTTTTCATAATTTCACTCTCTTGGCTGGACGTGGTTACTTCAATTACTTTCCCATTACTCTGTCTGGAAAGCAAAAAATGACTGATGAGGTGGGCTTACTCTAATCAGAGCGTCTCTGCTTGAAGTCACTTGGAGCCACAGCCGAATAAAGACCAACAAAAGGCACTGAGGACTCATGCACCAGTGGAAAACCCTGCGCCTCTGGTTTCAAACCTTCGACTTTCAGCATCCTTGAGATAGCAACACCTTCGCGCCAAACCATTGTAATGTCTGATAACGTGAAGAGATCCAAACCTAAGGTCAATCCCACCCTGAAAGGTCTCAAAGCTAAAGACTAGGAACTTTAACGAGTGGGGAACTACCTGTCTTAGAGAACTGGACACCTAAGTACAGGCCTAAAGGTTAAACTTGTCCCTGACCTTTCCCCTCCTGTGTCTCGGACATGAATCCAACTCTCTGAATTCGCTCCGCTTGTCCTGTAAATTAGACAGGATGTGTTTTTGTCAAGTAGAAACCTCAAACTCTGACGTAACCTCAGAGTTTTTGAAGCAACATGTGTTTCCGAGCTCCGTCCTGTCCTCACTTATCGTTTTACCGAGGTCAGCTCCTCTCCTCGCCAACCATGTGTTCCTCTTTTGTCAGCGGTAGAAAATGTTGCATTATGGGAGTGTGAGCGGTGTTTTGACTGTAGCAATGAGCGCTTTATCGGCCCCATGTGTGAAATCATGTTCAATTTGGGAGATCAATACGTGAGGATCAGTTCTTTAGCTGCTTTCAGATTCGAAAAAGATGCTTGACAAATTTGCTCCAGCACTGGGCTCAGGGAAACGTACGAAGAGCGAAGAAGCTGCTTTCAATCAGGGTTAAAATGTGATTTTCTCTTTTTTAACACAAAATCAGAGCTCAGCTTCAGATTTCCAATAATCGAATTGTTGTAAATTCACAACAATATGAAGTTGTTGGTGTTTGCACCTTTGGAGAAGCATTACAAGCAAATGTTTCAGATCACTCATGCTCCCTGACATGATGCTGAGAAACAGTTTTATGTTTTTCTGTTCTCTTACATTATTTTCTATGCTCCTGTCTGTCTCCGCATTCCTCCAGAAACAAGGTGTGTCTCAGCATAACTCTATCATTTCCAAAATATGTCCACCGTTTGGATGGCAGCTCGGTGTTACAAACCCCAGGCCTCTGTGAAAGGTCGCAGCCTGACATTCATCCAACCTGACATTCATATTTCTCACAGGAGCCCAGCAGGACTGCAGCTCACACCTGGCTGGATCCTGTGCATGGCCACTGTCCCACTCATGCCCTGGAAAAGACCCAGAGGGGCAGTGTAAGGTAGAGGAGAGCCAGGGCGAAGGGAGCAGAGACCTTCAGTTTGGGAGCGGAAAATACCTGAAAGTAAGATCATTTATCATTTCGAATGGTGGAAATGTCTGTGTTTTATCCCCATAACAGAGGACCAAAGAAAACTGTGGCTCCTTTATACCTTTAACATCCATGTCCTGTCTGCAGAAAGACAGAATAACGCTCTCATTTGAACATATCAGTGCTGCTGCAGCTCCTAAATGGTTACTATCTTCATTGTGGGTCAGATACTTGATTACATATGGGCAGAACTGGCAAATGTTCCTCTAGAGGGCTCGCCAAGTTTGTTTTAGTGCTTTTCCGCCTCTACATCCATCTGCAGGCTCTCACCTTAGACAATGTTTAGGAAGCCAATCAGTGCAGTTCCTGGTAAGAAACGTTCCTGGTAACGTTTCTTACCAGGAAGTTAGAAACCCAGAGGCTCCAGATCCTCCTCAGATCCTGAATCATGTTTTAAAATGTCCACAATCCCCTTTTGACTCATAAAAAGTTGAAAAAAAAACCCTGAACTTTGCAGAAATATGAGCACCATGTTCTCATTAGGGGCTAATGCTCTGTTTATTATGCAGCTGGCATTCTTTGTGCATACTTGCACTCCCATTTGTACCTGAAAGTTTCTGATTGTTTCAGACTCGTGTGCTAAAAATATTCCACAGCCTCAAACTGCTTTGCTTGCTTTTATAGATAATTGCCTTGAAAATATGTAAGCATGTCTTATTAGCATTAATATATCTCTCTGACAGCCCGGGCAAACAAATAGCAGAGCACGGTGAAAACATATATCCAACCATCAGCGCTTATTTTCACACTGTGTTCCTGGCAGAACTTAGCAGATCCCTTTAGCTCAGACTTGTTTAAAGGATTAAGGACTATGTTTAAATGTGACCGCGTCCCCTGAGGCGCCTCTTTATTATGATATATATGTTTCAGCAGCGTGAGCGCCGTGTAATTCACTTCAAGGATATGAGACTCAAAGGCTTTGACACAGTATGTTTGAATAAACGAAGGGGAGGAAGACAAGAGGGAAACTCAAGCAGTGGAGTGTTTTTGTTTGTCTTATGGTCTGACCACAGCGGGTTTCAGAAGACCCTGTGTGCTGGCTTTTCAGATCCTTTCTAGACTCAGCTGAAGGGTACACTCTGCTGGTCATAGAATGAAATGAAGGACCATATGTAATTTAAAAAAAATATATATCAGTGGATGATAGGTTTACTACTTTTTATTATAGATTCATCTTTATAGCATCTTTATTGCTCTAGGGGGAGCTCTAAAACAACAACCACTAGATGCAGAGCTGTAAACATATGGAACTGGACGCCAACTGTCAGCATCTACAGGTCAACCGAAGAAAAGTTAGGCTGCTAAATCAATATTACTGAAAAAGTAATGCCTGCACTTCTTTTCCTCCTCTCTGCAGAGAATGGCGGCTCCACCACTCCGCTCTCTCTGTCTACTCATCACAGTTAACCACCTGTGTTTATTCCACCTGGTCCATGGCGGGGCATACTATCCACACAAACAGCCGCCACCTCAGCACCAACCCCTGCCTCAGTACAATGACGGGTACCCTCCTCAGCAACAGTTCATGGGGAACGAGATGCCACACTTGCCTTTTGGCAAAGAGGGGGTGCCACAGTATGGAAAAGAGCTTCCTCAGCTGCCTCTGCACATGGGCAAAGAGAGGCCGCTGACTGAAGGCAAAGGTGAGCTCAGCCAGTCAGCTGTTGTTTGTTGCTCTTAGATGAAAAGACAACCATGATGTTTGACTGGAGGATTTTAATTACCAGCTAAAGTACAAAATTCATTTCCCAACTTTACCACAAGAAATGAGTTTTTTTGGACGAAATACTAACAAACTCCTCCCTCCTCAATATGTAGCCTTGCCTTAAAGATTGCATTACTAAAGAAGGTGCCAGAAACATCTAGTTTAAAACCCACTAAGTGGGAGCTTTCAAGCACAAATTTTGAACCTGAATTGGAAACCAATGTCACCATTGTAACCAGTTTTAGACAAGCACACTGTCTTGTTTAATATTTCCTCAATCATTGAGTCAAGTGTTCCCTTCATTCACAGGACAGACATTCCCCAGAGGAGCTAAAGGTCCACTTCCTCCTGGTCCTGGTGACAAGGGTCTCAGAGAAGGACCACAAGGAATTCAAGGCCCCCCAGGACCAACAGGACCAACAGGGCCACAAGGCCCCACTGGGCAACCAGGTCAGGGATTACCAGGGCTCCCAGGAAAGCCAGGGCCCCCTGGTCCTCAAGGCTACCCAGGAATCGGGAAACCTGGCATGCCAGGATTGCCTGGAAAACCGGGGGCACCTGGGTTACCAGGTACCAGAGGTGATCTTGGCCCTGCTGGAGGTGAAGGGCCAACTGGGCTTCCTGGGCCTGCTGGGCTCCCAGGTCCACCAGGACTACCTGGAATTTCAAAACCTGGAGGTCAAGGGCTGCCTGGACAGCCAGGTCATTTTGGGGAGCCTGGCCAAAAAGGTCTGCCTGGGCCTCCTGGTCCACCAGGACCCAAGGGAGATAGAGGACTGGGTCTGCCTGGTTTGCCAGGTTTGAAAGGACCCAATGGACCACCAGGACCTCCTGGAAATGCTGGACTCCCTGGGATGGAAAAAGCCGGCATGAATGGTCTTCCTGGACAGCCAGGAATACCAGGAAAGCCTGGTCCCTCAGGAGAACCTGGAATAGTTGGGCCACCTGGTGAAAGAGGCCCACCAGGCCCACCAGGCCTACCAGGAATTGGGAAACCAGGAAAAGATGGTTTGAGAGGACAACATGGTCTGTCTGGGGGAAAGGGAGAAACAGGTCCCCCTGGTTTACCAGGAGGTCCAGGCTTGCCTGGCTATGGTAAACCCGGATTTCCAGGACCTAAGGGTCACAAAGGTCATGCAGGTCTCCCTGGACCTCCAGGATTAAAAGGTGATAAAGGTCATGGAGGTCTTCCAGGAGTTATTGGCCCCTCTGGACCTAGTGGTATGCCTGGCCCACCAGGTCCTATAGGGCCTCCAGGTAGTATTGGCTTTCCTGGGCAAAAAGGGGAAGATGGTCTTGCAGGATCAAAGGGATATCCAGGAAAGAAAGGGGACTTTGGTCCTCCAGGTCTTCCAGGACAACCAGGTATGTCAGGAGAGGTTGGACAACCAGGACAAAGAGGTTTTCAAGGACCCATTGGCCCTAAAGGAGAACCTGGCATGAGGGGTTTGCCAGGTGCCCATGGTGGTGCAGGATTACCAGGGCCAAGAGGAGAGGGGGGACAACCTGGCGAGAAAGGCCACCAAGGACCACAGGGTATTCCAGGGCTTACAGGTCCAGGGGGACCACTTGGACCTCCTGGACTACCTGGGCCAAAAGGTGAAACAGGCTTACCCGGTAAATCCGGATATCCTGGTGAAGGAAAGCCAGGACCTCCTGGTCACATTGGTCCTCAAGGTAACCCTGGTCCTACTGGCCCTGCTGGACTTCCAGGGCAACCAGGACTACCTGGACCTCCTGGTCCACCAGGACCTCCTGCTACTCCTGATCTGGAACAGATCCTCCCTGTGTCCGGCCCAATCAATGGGCAAAAACAAGGCTGGAGGAAAAATGGAGGAGAGATCAGTGGAAATGCCTTGGAGATGCCTTCTTTCACAGCCATGCTCACAAATCCATTCCCTCCTGTTGGCCCGCCTGTCATCTTTGACAAACTCCTACATAACGGCAACCAGGACTACAATCCCCAGACTGGTATTTTCACTTGCAGTATTCCAGGGGTCTACTATTTTGCTTATCATGTCCACTGTAAAGGGGGCAACGTTTGGGTGGCACTGATGAAGAACAATGAGCCAGTGATGTATACATACGATGAGGTCAAGAAGGGCTTGCTGGATCAGGCATCAGGAAGTGCTGTACTTCCGCTGAGACAAGGAGACTCTGTGCATATACAACTGCCATCTGACCAGGCTGCAGGACTCTATGCCGGTCAATATGTTCACTCCACATTCTCTGGATACTTGCTGTACCCCATGTAAGGAATGTGTATCATAAAGGGTTACAGAACTGAGAACTTGATCATAAACTTAACAGCATTGAGGACCGTATCAACATCAGCTGTTGACAAGGTACAGCGGGAGTCAGATCTAAGGTTTTACAATGAGCGAAGGCAGAAAAACAAGATAGTTGCAGCATATTTCATTTAATTATCTTTATTACTGGCATTACATCTCATATTAACAAACATCAGTGGAGTCTCAATAATGTTCATAGGACCAGATTAAGTACAGTGTATAAAATTGTGTTAAGTACTTGGTCATCAAGCTTTTTTGCGAAGGTTTTGGCTGCCAGAATTTGTGTATGCTCACGTTGGACATTTATTCTTATATTCACACACCGTTGATCAAGATAAAATGGCTGGAAAATCTCTGGAAATTAAGTTCTTTTTAATTGAAGAACTGTAGTCACTTTTTACTATTTCCTTACTTAACAGTTATTTACTGTTTATGAGGCACATGAGAACATATCTATGTCAGTTTAAATTCACTCAAACCTTCTAGTCCATACTTTGGGGTCCACAACTTCCAGTAAGTTATTTTAGGTCTTTTTGTGTATATTTAAAGTTTAACTTTTTTAATGAGGGTGACCCGTAAGGTAATTTGGGTCTCTGCAGTTGTCAGTGCTTGACAGTTTACCTTCAATTTGGCAGTCAAACTATCATTTTATTCTTGTCTTTTGACCAAATTTTTTTAATTTTTTCAGCTTTTTTAACTTATTTTTTTGACTACTGATTTCTTCAGATTGTTTTTATTTCTGTGTTTTGAATTCATTCCGAAAAGCCGGATATCACGACCCCAGTCTGATGCAAGACAAGATGATGAAAATTCCAAGGTATGATCATGCTTCTTCTCAATATACAACCAAATGTCATTTCCCCTTTTTGTTTATTGTTTTTTAAAACTGTGGATGTGCAATTTTTACTCTTGTTTTCTCTTTAAGTTGGACAAAGGTGCACAACATTAAACAGTGCCTAAGTGTGTGAAGTTTTTTGATTGTTTAATAAAAGAAAAAAAATGTCTCAGTATAGTTTTTATTATAGTTATACATCAGAACATATAACATAGGCCCATCAAACAATCATTTTCTACACATTTGTCATTACTTCTCCCCTTTTTATAAGTTACAGGAAACAAGAGGATCAGTCTCACATCAATTGCCTTCATACCAAGACAGGTTGATTTTAACCAAATAAATGTACGACTCAGTCCCCCAGAGGACCCACCCATCATCATACTATTTTAAACATCATAACTCTGTTTACAGTTGAATAAAAGGGAGAGGGTGGTCTCATTCTGGGGTACACCAATGACTCTCCACCAAATGAAAAACCTATAAAAGCTGTAAGCTGATTCTGTGTCTAACTTAAGAATAAGAATAACTTTGTTTTACCCTTGAAGGGAAATTCAATTGTCTGTCATCTCAGATGTCATGTGTCAAAAAGTCATCTACTCTTCACAAAGGAGTTTTTAAGTCTAATGGCTGTTGGTACAAAAGATCTTCTGAATCTTTCTGTCCTGCAGCGAAGAGAGAGGAGATGTCCACCATCATTGGCCCTTTGGTCCATCAAGGTGTTGTGAAGTGGGTGATCCATGTTCTTTAGAATAGTCTCCACCTTCCTGGGTGTACATTTCTCCACCACATCCTCCACTGAGTCCAAATTGAATCCAACTGCAGAGCCACCAGTTTTATTTATTTTCATTATTGATCTTCTTAGTTTTAATTTGTATGATGGAGTGTAAGGGCCACATTAAGAAAAAAAATTAAAGACTTTGAGATTAAAGTAATTTATTTATGAGAATAAAGTCGTGATAAAGTAATTACTTATGAGAATAAAGTCGTAATAAAATAATTACTTACTAGAATAATGTCGTAATAAAGTAATTACTTACGAGAATAAAGTTGAAATAAAGTCATTACTTATTTACGACAAAGTCATAATAAAATCATTATGATACTAATGACAATGTGGTGCTGATGTGCCAAAAGATGAAGTATCTCCTTGTTTGAGAAACCTATATTCATTTTTACAAAATGCTCCATGGCTTTAATTTCAACAACTGTCATCTTAAACAGCAGGTTAGAATATAAGGACTTTGTTCTGACTTTACTCTCGTAAGTGATTACTTAATGATGACTTTATTTTCGTAACTACTTTATTATGACTTTCTCATAAGTAATAATTTTAGTACAACTTTATTCTTGTAAGTAATAATTTTAGTACGACTTTATTCTCGTAAATAATGATTTTAGTACGACTTACGTGATTACTTAATTACGACTTTATTCTAGTAATGATATTATTACGACTTTATTCTCATAAGTGATTACTTTATTGCAACTTTATTCTTGTAAATAATGATATTATTACAACTTTAATCTTGTAAGTAATGATTTTAGTATAACTTTATTCTTGTTAATAATGATTTTATTATGACTTTATTCTTGTAAGTATTTTAATCTCGAAGTCTTAAATTTCTTTTTAACTTTATGTGGCCCTAATACTCCGTCATGAATTTGCACTTACCCACTGTGACATTCTTATTTTTTATCTAAGTGCAATTAAATAAAAAGAAATTAAAAACACTTAACAACGTGTAAAAAAGAAGGGGAAACAACGTTTTCTTAGGCAAGAATAACAGCCATCTGTTTTATATTCATTGCGTGCTGACGTATGAGATAGACGGACCAATCAAAGTTGTGAACGTCATACTTCTGGTTTCTCGGTGACTCCCCCCTCTTATGGACCCAGCAGCAGCAGCAGCTCTCAGTTAGCAGCAGCTCTCCCTCCCTCCCTGTGTGTTTGTGAACCAGCAGAGATTTAACACCGTTTATGAACGACAAGTCATAAAAGTAAGTACAGTTATTCATGTGAAATACATTCTCCCTGATGTTTGGACAGTTTAACAGACGGTTTGGAGGCTTAGCCTAGCATGTAGCTCCGGAGAGCTACAGTCACTTTGAATGACTTCAGTGAGTTAGCATGAGCTCGTTAGCTGAGCTTTCCTCTCTCTCCATACTGTCTGAGAATAATTCACATTTATCTGCTTCAGTTTATGTCTGTATCTTTAATCCTAACAGATATATATATTTAAGGACATTTTGAACAGGTTTTGGTTAAAAAGAGGAAGAATTATCACCGTGAGGTAGTGTAAAGTGAATGGAGGACGGGGCTGACAGCTGCAGAGCTGCAGGTTTGAGGTCATTTTACATCAAGTCTGGTGGCTTAATGAGCAACTTTGACACATTTTTATCAGGATTCAAGCGAATCATATTGTGTCTTTACAGTAGTGGCACTTAAAAACTAATTATAAATTGCTAACTGTTAAATCAGGGTAAACATGAGAGCATTGTAAAGAAAGAAACATGAAAATATTGAGTTTACGGTAAGATGTGATCATATTTTGCTGTGAAATCACCATAAAAAATTACCTAGCAGTGTTAAAAATGTACCTAACTGCATAAGTTGGTCAAAAACAGTTGCTGCCTCCATACCATAAACCACTGGTTCTCAACTGGTCTCACTCTGGGACCTACATTTTTCCATGGTCCTTTAGTCACGACTTTTATAAGATTCAAACCAAGCAAATTTATTTTTTATTAAAAAAAAACTTAAAAGCATCAAATATTTAACATAAATACACCCATTTTATTTAGTAAAGTGCATTTCAGAGCACAGGAACTGAGGACGACAACTGCTGAAGCTAACACTACACTGACATCGTCTAATTGGACTTCATACTGACTCAGACGCTACATGGTCTAACCAAATGACACATTAAAAAGACACTTCTTTTTTTTTGCAGCGGGCCTCATTTTCTTTTTCTTTTTTTTTTCCAGCAGTGGCGGTTCTCGGCCACCGTAATGAGATTCTCCAAAAAGTCTAAGTGCAGGATTGATTTATCAGCACCACCATGAGGCTCATAAAGCTGAGATGGTGCGTGTCAAATGCTGTGGATGACGTTTTCTCCCGCTCCTACACTCAGGAGACAGAGAAAAAGTTTTTCCATCACAGTAGCTCCACTTTTCATGATTTTGGCTTGTCTTAAATGTGTCACTCTCCACTCTCAGGAATCCACCATGGCTTCTCGAGCAGGTCCCAGAGCAGAGGGCACAGACGGGAGTGACTTCCAGCACCGGGAGAGGGTTGCCTCTCACTATCAGATGAGGTGAGTTCTTCAGTCGAGCCATAATTGTGCATTTTGTAGATCTTTTTAACTGAAAGTATGCACTCAGTCATTCCTAACTCGTCTTATTTTGCTCCTTCAGCGTCGCCTTGAAGTCTGAGATCCGTAAACTGAACATCGTCCACGTGCTGATTTGGGTGCTGATGGCAGCGCAGGTAAAGGCCTCCTTTCGTTAAAGCTGTTTTTTCCTCGTTTGAAGTGTTAGAAAATTAATCTTCTGTTCTTTGTCTTTCTCAGGTGATCGTGAGCCAGCTCAGCCTCGTGTCCCACAAGATCGTCGCCTCTCCGTATCAGTGGGAGTACCCGTACCTCCTCAGCATCATCCCCACTGTCTTCAGCTTCTTGGCGTTGCCCCGAAACAACATCAGCTACCTGGTGATCTCCATGATCAGCGCGGGGCTCTTCTGCGTGGCACCGCTAATCTACGGCTCCATGGAGATGTTCCCTGTTGCTCAGCAGCTGTACCGGCACGGCAAGGCGTACCGCTTCATCTTCGGCTTCTCGGCCGTGTCCGTCATGTACCTGGTGATCGTCATCGCCGTGCAGGTGCACGCCTGGCAGATCTACTACAGCAAGAAGCTGCTGGACCAGTGGTTCACCAGCACGCAAGACAAGAAGAAGAAATAAGAAAACACAGAGATCAGATGGAAGATTTTCAACCTGTAAATCAAGAGACCAAGAGAAGAGACTCTGAACAGTTCTGTGGTCCTTTGTCATTTTTCTATGTTTCTATTTGACGTGATTGTCGATCGAGTCTGCAGTAAAGAAGGGACTGATGGAGACTGGTGCCAAAACTCCTGTACCTTGTTTTCCCAGGTACTAACAGGGTGAAAAACTGTAATAAAAGCTGTAATTATGTTCCTGATTTGGATTTGAAAATAAATTTAAATATTTAAACACATTTGAAGGTCCTCCATGAATATTATTCTGTATCTCTGATAAAATATCAGCGTCTGTTTTTGCTTTATTGTCCTCTAACCGCTCTGTCACTCTAGTGTGAAGCAGGTGAGTTGTGTTTACACAAGGTAGGGGAAGGTTCCGCCTCCTTTTTCTCTAATTGGCTGTGAAATGTCATCACACGCTCAAGCAGAGCGCGGGATGTCGCTTCTGTTCATCGAACAGAACATTAAAAAAGGAGGACTTGAGCACAAACCAGTCTTACAGTAACTACATGTCAACATTGAAGCCAGGGGGGAGAAAAATGTTTATTGTGTGTAATAAATTTCTAAAGTTTGTCCACAGCTCCATAGGGATCGCTGGAAGAGGCGGGATTTATGACCTATACTGCAGCCCGTCACCAGAGGGTGCTGTTCTCAGAGTGGCTTCACCCAGCGAGGAGCCAGACGGCGTCCATTCTATATAGGAAAAACTAATCGGAGCCGAGCACTCCTGCGAACTGGCATAATGTAAGATAGGACAACAGGGTCATTTAACTATAACAAACTGTATTTTGAGAGGCAACTGTGAAGGAGGCTTCTTGAATGTTGATGGGGGGATTAAAGGGACATTATTTGCATCGATACAGTGTCTTTGTTTTTAGCTGGTTATAATAATCTTGGTGCTACAACCTCACCTAAGTGTTTTTAACTGTACTCAGGTGTGTCCGCTAGGTGGCGACCGTCCGCCTGCCGTGCCGTTATCACACCGTAGAAGAAGAAAAGCCCTCTCCAGTTGTTGTTGTGGTGTCGGTGATCAGCTGACCCTCACTTCATCATCTCTCTCCGGAGAGACAGAAAATAAACAACGATGGCGTTCATCACCGCCAACTGGAACCCTTTAGGGGAAGCCTTTTACCGGTCAGTTCATCCGTGTTTACCGGTGATAAGACAGCTAACAGTGAACGGGTGTGACGCTGCTGCTCGGTGTTAGCTTGTCAGGCTAATCACATGACACGGCTAGTTCAAGCCTAACGTTATTCATTCATTTTAAAGTAGTATTAAAGAGGGACTGAAGTTTACTGTGTGTGTTTGCTTGTTTGCAGTAAAACAGAGCTGTATGAGATGTGCTGGAACCTGAGGGATGGACTCAGAGACTCTCTGGTGGCTACAGCCCCTTATGGAGGACCTATAGGTACAGATATATTCATGACACTATGATGATGTTTCCTTATGGAGGACCTATAGGTACAGATATATGTATGAAACTATGATGATGTTTCCTTATGGAGGACCTGTAGGTACAGATATATTTATGAAGACATGATGATCTTTGAGTTTGTTTGAAGGTTTTAGAGAATTAACCCTCTCCGTTTGTGTCAGCTCTCCTCAGAGAACCTCACAGACGATCTCCAAGTTCTCGTCCTCAGTTGGAGATTTATTTTTCGTCTGGCGTGTCCGTGGCGAGTTTCCCGGTGAGTCTTGTCCTCGTTAAAGGGATATTCCAGCGTAAAATTAAGTTAGGGTCAAACACACAATAACACCGAGTTAGACGCAAATAATGCTCAGAACAGCACCTAACTTCCCAGCCATAGTACTAGCCACCAAATATCTTTTTAACTTTGCCTGATTTCTTTAGCAAGGGGGCTAAACACAACTCACCTACTCTCTTCCAGCAGCTGTTTGTTTGTAGCGTGACCTCAGGCCAGTCTATTACTGACTACAGCGGGGTGACGCAGCTCAAGGAAGAACATTTATGATCATTTCTTTATCATTTTCTTGTGGCTATAGAGTGGCGTTTTGGTTGAGGTTTGTTTATGGCTCCTCAAACTGTTGTGTATTGCTATCCTGCGGTCGTTACTAAAGCTGGTATAACTAGAGAAGCAAGCTGTTGACAACATTCATCTCTCGATGGGGTGTCTAACTCGGTGTTCCGATGTGTTTGACCCTTAACTTAATATCCCTTTAACTTGCTGTCTGTCTCTCAGTGGAAGAGCGGCCCTGTGGTCCATCTCGGTTGGACTGTAAGTGACGAGCTGTTGTGTATCCAAGAGGACGGCTCGGTCCTGATCTACGATCTCTTCGGGTCCTTCAAGAGACACTTCAACATGGGCTTGGTTAGTACCTATGAACAAGTTCACTGACTCTCTGGTTGAGTTTGGCCTGAGACAGTTTCTCTCGTTTTTCATCAGGAAGTGGTCCAGAGTCAAGTGTTAGAAGCCAAGGTGTTCCACTCTCCCTATGGGACAGGTATCGCCATAGTTACAGGCTCCTCCCGTTTCACCTTAGCGACCAACATTGAAGACCTGAAGCTGCGCAGGCTGCCTGAAGTCCCAGGTAATGCAGGACTCACCAAATCTGACTCTTTTAAGATTCAGCTCCCAGATACTGACCCGTCTGTCTGCAGGTCTTCAGGGGAAGCCGTCCTCCTGGCTCGTTCTCTCACAGGACAGACAGACTAAAGTCCTCCTCTCCGTCGGTCCTGATCTCTTTATCCTGGACAACACGGCGTGTACGGCTGTGGTGAGTCATTCAGCGAGAATGAGAGAGAAAATAGTTACAAAAATAGGTAGGACACCTGATCACCCTCACCTGTCTGTGCCTGCAGGTCCCTCCAGGTCTCAGCCCTCAGGCGGGAAATATCATCCAGATGTCAGTGTCTTTCAGCTACAAATACCTGGCCCTCTTCACGGATACGGGACACTTGTGGACAGGTTCCTCCAACCTTCAGGTGAGCTGCTTCCCTGTTCAATCAGGTGTTTGTTTTAACCTGAGAGGGCGGGATCTGTGTGGATGATTGACAGGTGGTTTTCTGTCTGTAGGACAAACTGAGCGAAGTCGAAACCAAGAAGTCAACTCCTCCCAGACAGATGGTTTGGTATGTACACCTGTCCGTCTACCTCTCTGTAGTGATGGACAAATGAAGCTCTCTGAAGCTCTACTCGAAGCTTCATTCAGTGCTCACTAACCCCATCTGTTGCCAGAGTTAAACTGTGACAGCTGAGTCATTCAGAGAGATTTCAAATGTTTTCACGGTGAAAGAAAATGAATGGATAGATATTATCACAGTATAGAATAGTGTTTAATCCCCGACAATAACTATAAAGTCTGTAGTGTTTGATATAACTCTGCTCTCCCTCTTTATTCCTTGTAAATATTTCCTATCTGTTTGATTGTTATTTTGGTTTGTGCTCTTCATGGCTATCAGTGTTCATTATTTATTAAACACATTAAGTGGTGTTGTGTGTTAGAAGTGCAGTGCTTGGGTAACAGTACAGTATGTTGGGAGGGGAGCAGGGAGTGGAAGTAATCATTTCTTCTCTTTCTTGCTCGCCACATTAAACTACTCCTACTACTTCCACTACTTACCGTATTTTTCGCACTATAGGGGCACTTGATTATAAAGCGCACTAAGCCGAACAAAGTACTCAGACAAGCCATCAGGCTGTGCGGCTTTGTAGTTTACCGAAGTCACAATAAAAAATGTTGACAGATTTTTGAGCGCTGTGTACAACATAAAATCGGTTCGAGGTCAGTAAGCACAACCAGAATTCATACATAAGGCACACTGAGGATTTTTGAGAAAAGTAAAGGATCTTAAGTGCGCCCTATAGTGAGAAAAATATGGTACCTTTTTTTTTTAAACCAAATCATGTCAAGCATTTAAGTCTGGTGGTGTTTATGTTTCATCTCTTTGTACAGATTTTTTTAATTCAATTTTTAAATTCAGACTGGTTTATGTTCAAGTCCTTTTTTCTGTGAAGCTCCGTTTTCAAAAGTTATTAGGGGGTTCATGTTTTCTATGATTGACATTTGATACAGCCTATGGGCATTCAGGGATTGCGTAGCTCACCTGGGGGATACGCTGTTTGAGCCGAGCGTCATCACAGCGACTCTTGGCGACTCTCCCGCCAAATGTGTTTTCCATAGTACATACAGTCTATGGTCCCATCACTACCTGTCTGTGTGCACACCTGTGTACGTAAGTATTTCTGTCTCATTAACCTTACCCTATCTCTTTACCTGACCAGGTGTCGCAGACCAAAGAGTCAGCAGCCCTCTGTGGTACTGATGTGGGACAAACTGCTCATGGTGGCCGGAGTCTGCCAGGACACCATCCAGTATCCTTAAAATGAGACCTGAACCACGTCAGACTGGATCATTGGACTGGACTGGACCCTAATTTCTTTATACTTGATGTAAATGTTTTTAATTCTGATCCAAACCAGTTCAAACTGAAAAAGTACCAGATCAGACCAGATCTTTACTGGTTCAGAAAGGATCGAAGCCAGTTTAAACCCAAACTATTGAACAGTTCGGTTCCTTGTTCAGATTCTCATGTTGCTAAGAAACAGTATCTCATTGACCCTTGACCGTTGACTCCAGGTTCCCTATTGAGGATCCGTGTGTTTTAGTTGGAGAGCTGGACGGGGTCCGGATCATCAGCTCGTCCAGTCAGGAGCTGCTTCAGGAGGTCCCTTTGGTCTGCCAGGACATCTTCAAGATCGCCTCCATGGCTCCTGGAGCTCTGCTGCTGGAGGCCCACAGAGAGTACGAGGTAACACACCTGTCCGCCTGAACACCTGAGTGTCTCATCAGCCGTCTGATTGGCTGAACGCTTGTCTGTCTCCGTCTCTCTCTGCAGAAGTCCAGTCAGAAAGCTGACGAGTACCTGAGGGAGATCAAGGAGCAAAGCATGCTGGGAGAGGCAGTGAGACAGTGTGTAGAAGCAGCAGGACATGAGTATGACTCCAATACCCAGAAATCCCTGCTGCGGGTGAGAGCACAACTTTTATAGTCACTGTGTATTCATGGGCTAATGGTGCATTCAAGGAAGTCAGAAGTGCTCGCTGAAAATGACATCACACCAGAGTTACCAGCGTTTCAGTTACCAAGCCGGAAAAAAGCAAAATCGGAGGCGGAAACAAAATGGCTACATCTACAAAAGTTATTTTGTCTTTTCCGAACATAAGGCAAGCGCTAAAATAACTTTCGTAGATGTAGCCATCTTGTTTCAGGCCTCCGATTTCGCTCTTTTCCGACTTGGTAACTGATACGCTGGTAACTCGGGTGTGACGTCAATTTCAGCTCAAAATTCTGACTTCTGATGTAACTCGAACACAGCACAAATCCTGGTAATCTCAGGTGTTTTTTTCGGTGCAACAGCTGATCGTTTTCTCTCCACCAGGCGGCGTCGTTCGGGAAGTGTTTCCTCACTGACTTCAACCCGGATGTTTTTGTGGCGACCTGCAGAGAACTCCGAGTCCTGAACGCCGTCAGAGAGAGCGCCGTGGGGCTGCCGCTCACATTCACTCAGTATCCTCCTCACCGGGTGCATTATGGGAAATGTAGTCAGCATACATCTCAGTTCATTTCAGATCATGTCTGTGGCGATAAGCCCCTTAACCTCTGACATCAGATTCAAACAGATGACCCTGCAGGTGCTAATTGACAGGTGAGTAACCCCCTCCCCGCTGATCCTGTTTGTTTTTCCGCACCTGTCCGTCTCTCACCTGTCCGTCTCCATCCTCCAGACTTGTGTACAGACAGTTTTACCCGTTAGCGATAGAGATCTGTCGTTACCTGAAGATTCCTGACTACCAGGGCGTCAGCAGGGTGCTCAAACACTGGGCGTCCTGTAAGGTAAGCTGTCTCACCTGTCTCCGACTTCGAAATCGTGCTTTACCTGTGTAGTGATTTGAAATGAGCCTCATACGGTCGCACCAAAATATATGTAGCGATTTGAAATGAGCCTCACAAGGCCGCACCAAAATAATACTGCAGCGATTGGAATTTATAATAAATGTCTGAAGATTAATAATCTCAAATTATGACATTTATGCACTCGTTAAAAGGGGCACCACCCACCCTTAATGGTGGGAAAATAAAGAAAACAAAAGTTTAATTCAGAAATCAAACATCAAGTCAGTTTTAATTAATCAGTCTTAATTAATCAGTCTCATATCTTAAGTCGAAATTCTAATTTCAGGGACTCCACTTCTGGAAGAACACTAACAGACCAGAACTTAGAAAAATAATTATCTGTTTATTACAGGATAAATGATGGTACAACACACATGCAATAAATGATGATAAGATAATGAAGATAAATAATAATAGGTGAATAAATAAAGATTCTGAGTCAGGCTAGGAGCACTAAAGTTAATGATAGTGAGTGAATATGCGCTAACATATTAACCTACACTAACTTTGGTGTCGAGATAAACTCGGGTGTAGATTTGGAGGAATCTAAGATCACCAGAAATAGGTGGATATCTGAGTTATGAACGCGTGAGACAGCATCAGCCCTGTCTGGAGCTCTGGAGGTTTGCATACTTAAGTGAGACTGGTCCTTGGAGAAGATGGAGCAGGTTCCGAAGGTCCGGGGCTACTGGCGGTTCGAGCGGTTCAGCTCAGAAGACGACTGAAGTCAGCCAAAGGATGAGCCAGGAGTTGCAGCACTCGGGCCCGAAGCAAAGCCAGCGCCTGTGGATCCTGTGGATGCTCGTTTGGGTACTTCTTTGGTCTCACTCAAAAACTCTAGCACAGAGGATGACCTGGGCCTGCTGGGTTGCGTTCAGAGGTGACTTTGAAATCACGCAGAAAACTCAGAAAAACGAGGCTCGAAGAGCAGAGAAAACTTTCAAAAATGGCTTCGCGAAATTAAAGAAAAATCAATCAAAGGCTTAATCTTGAATTGCTATGCGCACAAAAAGTTGAAGTTTCAAAACTTGAACTAAGACGATGTTAAAGAAAAATCAACGTGAATCAACACGTGGCGTAAAACTTAGAAGACTAAGAAAAAGTTCTAAGAGAAAACAAAGAAACGCACCACAGAAGGGTGTGGACAGAAGAGAAGGGGCATAAGAGCCGGGGACAAGAGAGTCAGCAGAAGAGCAGAAGCATAAGAGAGATAAGAGATAAGAGATTGAGCAACCCCACTCCACTGGTTTTATCTTCTCACACTGGGAGTGTCTGAGGAGAAAAAGGAGGGGTCATCGGGTCTCTGATTATTTGATCTAACTTATTCTTTTGGCTGGTAAAAGAGTCAGATCTGATACTCACTCACTATGATTAATATCATTGAATGCTTGGTTTCATGATAAATAATTTGATACTAAACACATATGAATGAAGTGTAGGATCACATCAAACATTCTCATTATGTTTTAAGTATCACATTGAACATGCTAAATTACTCTGAAATGAAACAGATAGTAACACATAGAAACTGTGAACAACAAAAGAGTAAACACATGTGAATGAACGTCATCATGATTAATAATGGATTCTAAATACTCACATTCAGATTATTCAGTGACATTATAACCACCTAATGGTTAAGATACTAAATAAATAACTAAAATATAAACCAAACATTTCTAAACTATTTCTGTTACTTAGAGTAAACTTAGGATTCATAGTCAATAAATTTAACTCTTAAAAGTTCATGAAACAGTCTGAAAAGCTGTTGGTCTAAAGAACTAAAGAATAAGGATTTATTCTGTCAGATAAGATAACTTGGCTTCTGAAGCACATAGAAAAACGGGAAACATCTCATTTTAACACAAATTTCATGATTAGACAGATTAGTACATTGCTGAATGCATAAGATGTCATGATCAGTCATTTGTATTCTTTCACCAAAGGAATGCAGTCTTTATCAGTGTATGGTCGAGCAGGGTTTTACGACCGAGGTCTGGAGGTCAGTGTCCCCCCTTATCCTGGGGTCCGTATGTTCACACACTTTAAGACGCTAAATCTCAAATGGGAGATCTGGGTTGAGACGTTAATGTTTATTTAGATGGTCAGTAATGGAGTCAGTTTGAAAGGTAATAAAAACTCTGTCTCTGTTCGCCGAACTGACCAATCCTGAAGAGTCAGAGGTTTAGTCAACCTATGGTTGGGTCACTTATTTAACCTGAAAGTGCAAACACGTCTGGAAAGATTTATATCCTGTTTCCTGGGACCAGATAAGGAAACTTTCCTGTAAGGAATGTGTGGGTTTCACATCCAGGGTTGTCTTGATTGCTACAGTCCCCCCTTCGTCACGGTGGTCCTGTCCATGGAGCATCGGGACGACGAGTAGACAACCATGAAGCAGCAGCAGGTGTATGCAAATAGGACTGATGCGTCTCGTCATCACTATGTGAATCACTAGTACTGCTTTGAGATAAAATTAAGCATGCATTAAGCTATCAAATAAAATCGTCTAGGTGTTAGACTTTTCTCAGTTAACTATTGGTAGACTAATGTGAAAGAAAATCTCCTAATTTTTAGTATTAATGAGATTTAGAAAAGCACTCTTTAGTCTGAATGCTAACCGGATCTAAAGCTATAGCTGTTTTTCATGCTTGCTGGAGAAGTCTGAAAGTTCAATTTCAGTTTCAAAAATGGTTAAGACTTAGGTGGAAAAGAAATGTCTGCTATAGACATATTAACCATCTGTGTATGAGCATAGTCAACCTGAATCACAAACATCAAAAGTTTACTGCACAGAGTTTCTCTTAAACTTTGTCTGTTAAACCTGGGGATGATGCTCTTATCGGTTTGACTAATTATCTGCTGTTGAGTCTGAAATTTGTCAATCTGAGTCTTAGTGACAGAAATTTCAGCTTTTAATCTATTCATGGGATATTTGACAGCTGACAAGCTGACTATATTGACAGAGGAGAGACAAATGCTAACAAAGAAAGCAGCAACTGGTATTGCAGTCATCAATGTATCACCACAGCATTTGGATATCTTATTGGAGTCATTTAGCTTTGGCTAGGTGACTTCTGCTTTCGCAGGACTCACACCTTCATGACTCCACAGTGTGTTAATCTCAGTGGTTAGCTGAGTTGTCATGTTTATTCACCTTCGAAGTGGATGAAACCGATTGAGGTGGATAATAAGATCGTCGTTTCTGAGAGTGTAATTTACTCTGATTCTGCCAGTCATTCACCCCCCTTTGGCAGTGTTGATGGTTTTTCCTTTGTCTGGGATAAAACCCACCGTGACGGGAGTCTGAATAACAACAGTTGGTCTCAAAGTTTACCTGGCATTGGTCTGTGTCAGACCTGGGCCTTGGTATGTAACTTTGACCTTTGTGAGTTTGTTGAGGTCGAAAAGGTTTTGGAGGCCTGGTTAACCACTCATTTGGAGGCTTATCGGAGCCTGAAAATACACAATCTGAAGCTTCGTTCAGCTCCATGGGCAGTGATTTTGTCTCCATAGCCAACAGAGTAACAGGCTCTGCTTTCTTAGCCAAAGTTTGTCGTTGTTTGGCAAAACCTTTTACAGCAAGTTCACGAAGCTGTCGGCTAGTCAAAGTGTTTGGACAAGCTAAGACGCCAAGGTGATGACTGGTGGTAGGGTGGAGGTTCTGGACGAACAGCGTTTTGAAGTTCAAGTCCTCCTCCATTTCTGGTTCATTTCGGAAACCAAAGTAAGCTTCGCGTAAGCGGTTGTAATAATGTTGGGGAGGTTCTGATCTCCCTTGTTTAATAGACAGAGCAGCAGAGAGGCCTGTCTGGGTCAAATAGTCAGAAAACTCTTCAATTAATGCTTGGCAGAGCAAGTCATAATTATTTCTGACATGATAAGGCTGTCGTTCAAGGAAACTGCTAACCTCTCGACTTGACGTCGCCTTAATAAGGTAGATTTTGTCATCAACGGTTGCACCTGGAAATTTCCTCAGGTAAAAGTCAATGTCTTTCAAGTAGGTGCAGGTGTCAGTAGCACCTTGGTGCTCAGGTTCAAAGCATGCTATGATGCGAGCAATTTTGTCAAGATCCCTGTCTGAGGGAAATGGTAAGAAGCCATCATGAGGAGGAGAGTAGGACTCTTGGTTTAAGGATGACCTCTCAGGGTCAAGCAGGGTCCTGTCATGATGCTGAGAGAGATACTTAAGAGTTGGTTTGGAAGGAAGTGATGGCGCTCTCTCAGGAGGCTGATCACCTATCATTTCTTCAAGAAACGTTTGCTCCATACGTTCTCTTTGGGCTCGACCTGACTGGAGGGAGCATTGTAACTCTCTTTGGGCATCTTCAAGTTCTTTGTCTGTCTTTTCTCGCTGTTCTTGACAAAGAATTAACTGTCTTTGAGCTATCTGGAGCTGGTGCTGTAAGGTAGAAGTTTGCTTCTCCTTAACTTCAAGAGCTTCAGCACGCACTTTGACCAGTGCTTTCAAAGCTTCTACATCTTCTGTTGCTTGCTCTAGTAGGGATTCGGACTGTATCAGATCCTCTATGGTCTTAGCAAGCTGCTTATTCGTGTCATCAAGTTCTTTCTCCTTTTTGTAAAGGGTTTCATTAAGTCTTTCAATCTTGTCTTTGAGATCAAGATTTTCTTCATGACTTATTAGTGAGGGAAGCTTTGACGCTTCACATCTGGCACTGTGTTTTTCTAAAACACTTAGAGACTTCTTAGTCTCTTCTAGCGTCTTTTTCAGAGCGCTATTTTCGTCTTTTTGCGCCTTTATCTTTGCTAAAGCGCATTCCAGCAAGTAGTCTTTATACTCAAGCTGAGAAGACATCACGACAGACATGCATCTAGTGAGCTCTTTGTCACGAAGTGTCGTGGTTAAGGCTGTTTCCAGTAGGTCAGCCATTGCATCCTCCGGATTGGAGGGTTCGGCCTTTTGAATCTTAGTCATGTACTGAGGTATCAGCTGACTAGTCAAGTTTGCCAACACTGTGTGTATGTCCCTCAGGGGGTCTCCCTGGCTGGACTCTTTTGTGTTAGGCATGTTTGGTTTTGGTAAAGAGGTGCAGGTGGTTGGTTGATGAGTTTGAGTTGACTTAAAATTAAAGGAAGAAGCAAAATATCAAATTAAGTGGGTTAATCGACTTAATTTATCAGTGCTTGATAAAGAGGAAGAGCCTATCTGAGTAGATCTCTAATGGAGAGAAAAATAACATAAAGTTAAATTCATTTCAATGAAAATTGAAATAAAACAAGGTGAAATAATGTTAAATTAAATTTAACATCAGATACATAACCATTGAATAAAGGGCTCAATTTGTCTCCGTGTTGCAGAGATCAGCAAAGCTTAAATAAACTGCCTGATGCAGTTGGATGAATCTGAAACCAATGAAATTGTCAATTTAAGGAATTAACTCTAAAGTTAATTCACAAATTGCAATAAATCCAAAGATTCAACTACCAAATCTATCTGGAATGTTAAAAGAAATTTCAAATATTAATTAATTTGTTCATTAATTAATTAATCTTATGAGTAGGGTTAATACATTCATGTATTATAGGGAACAGTAAAACTGCTCACTGGTGTGATAAGTAACAACAGATCAGGTGATTGATTCAAGGAGTTACTTCATCAATACATCAAAATCAATGATCAGTGATTTAGAATAAGCACATCAAACTTCATCAACCAAGTCAATCACTTGAATTATGTCTGTAGAGTGTTACACACTGACTACAGGGAGGCAGTACAGCTGGCTGATACTGCAGGCAGATAATAGCAGTGTTAGCTCAATACCAAAAGCAACCATGTGGGGCAGTATGGAGTTGGGATAACTGCACAAGCACAACACAAGTGGAGAAGAAGAAGAAAAGAGGAAACAGTCATCCAACTAGCCTCTTGTGGCTGTGTGAAGTTGGGAAGTATGAAGGAAGGGGCCTTTAGGCTCTGCCTCCTTCAAGGGCCTTATCTGCTTAAGGCCAAATGGTCAGTCTCTCCACTGACAACAAAGGGTTAACATTTCACAGCAGCTGTGTCTGCACCCTCAAACATAGAACTTTACACCATCTGCTCAGGCAGATTGGTTCAATAAAATCATTTACAGGAACAAGAATCAAAGTGACAAATTCTTAAACAGCAGATTCAACTGCAGACTTTAAAATCACAAATGCGGCGATTCGTGATCACGGATTTTGTCTGAATTCAATCAAACAACAACCTCCCACTGTTACAGTGGTTTCCTGTGACAGGTAGCTAATCTGTCAGAGGAAAGGAGGAAATCTGAATCCCATATAGTTACTAGAACTTCATAGCAGACTGTAGAGACAAGAATCAAAGTGACAAATCCCTCAACAGCAGATTCAACTGCAGACTTTAAAATCACAAATGCAGCGATTTGTGAACACAAATTTTGTCTGAATTCGATCAAACAACAACCTCCCACTGTTACAGTGGTTTCCTGTGACAGGTAGCTAATCTGTCAGGGGAAAGGAGGAAATCTGAATCCCATATAGTTACTAGAACCTCGTAGCAGACTACAGAGACTTCAGGGGCTTGAAACCACAGCTCGGAGCATCGCGAACACTGGGTTCAGCCAAAGGCCTTAAATACGAGCGTACGGCGACGCAACAATCGTGCACTTAAATATTGGACAGTCTAGACAGAGCAGAAGAAGCAGTCTCACTGCTACTCAGAACAACATTTCACGCTGTCCAGCTCAAACACAGACTACAGGCATGTAGTACAAAAGTGTGTGAAACACAGGGCATAAAGGTTTTATGCATAGATCAGGAAAACATCAGAACTTAGTCAAGCAACTTCAGCAAGCATAGCATTGATTGTGATTAAGTCTAAAACAGCCTGAAAATAAGTTTCTCTCATCAATTTGGAAGGCTAAGTTTTAGGTTGTCTGTTAGTATCCAGAAGTTTTGTTTGAAACGCCTCACGCAGGGGCACCAAAATATATGTAGTGATTTGAAATGAGCCTCATACGGTCGCACCAAAATATATGTAGCGATTTGAAATGAGCCTCACAAGGCCGCACCAAAATAATACTGCAGCGATTGGAATTTATAATAAATGTCTGAAGATTAATAATCTCAAATTATGACATTTATGCACTCGTTAAAAGGGGCACCACCCACCCTTAATGGTGGGAAAATAAAGAAAACAAAAGTTTAATTCAGAAATCAAACATCAAGTCAGTTTTAATTAATCAGTCTTAATTAATCAGTCTCATGTCTTAAGTCGAAATTCTAATTTCAGGGACTCCACTTCTGGAAGAACACTAACAGACCAGAACTTAGAAAAATAATTATCTGTTTATTACAGGATAAATGATGGTACAACACACATGCAATAAATGATGATAAGATAATGAAGATAAATAATAATAGGTGAATAAATCAAGATTCTGAGTCAGGCTAGGAGCACTAAAGTTAATGATAGTGAGTGAATATGCGCTAACATATTAACCTACACTAACTTTGGTGTCGAGATAAACTCGGGTGTAGATTTGGAGGAATCTAAGATCACCAGAAATAGGTGGATATCTGAGTTATGAACGCGTGAGACAGCATCAGCCCTGTCTGGAGCTCTGGAGGTTTGCATACTTAAGTGAGACTGGTCCTTGGAGAAGATGGAGCAGGTTCCGAAGGTCCGGGGCTACTGGCGGTTCGAGCGGTTCAGCTCAGAAGACGACTGAAGTCAGCCGAAGGATGAGCCAGGAGTTGCAGCACTCGGGCCCGAAGCAAAGCCAGCGCCTGTGGATCCTGTGGATGCTCGTTTGGGTACTTCTTTGGTCTCACTCAAAAACTCTAGCACAGAGGATGACCTGGGCCTGCTGGGTTGCGTTCAGAGGTGACTTTGAAATCACGCAGAAAACTCAGAAAAACGAGGCTCGAAGAGCAGAGAAAACTTTCAAAAATGGCTTCGCGAAATTAAAGAAAAATCAATCAAAGGCTTAATCTTGAATTGCTATGCGCACAAAAAGTTGAAGTTTCAAAACTTGAACTAAGACGATGTTAAAGAAAAATCAACGTGAATCAACACGTGGCGTAAAACTTAGAAGACTAAGAAAAAGTTCTAAGAGAAAACAAAGAAACGCACCACAGAAGGGTGTGGACAGAAGAGAAGGGGCATAAGAGCCGGGGACAAGAGAGTCAGCAGAAGAGCAGAAGCATAAGAGAGATAAGAGATAAGAGATTGAGCAACCCCACTCCACTGGTTTTATCTTCTCACACTGGGAGTGTCTGAGGAGAAAAAGGAGGGGTCATCGGGTCTCTGATTATTTGATCTAACTTATTCTTTTGGCTGGTAAAAGAGTCAGATCTGATACTCACTCACTATGATTAATATCATTGAATGCTTGGTTTCATGATAAATAATTTGATACTAAACACATATGAATGAAGTGTAGGATCACATCAAACATTCTCATTATGTTTTAAGTATCACATTGAACATGCTAAATTACTCTGAAATGAAACAGATAGTAACACATAGAAACTGTGAACAACAAAAGAGTAAACACATGTGAATGAACGTCATCATGATTAATAATGGATTCTAAATACTCACATTCAGATTATTCAGTGACATTATAACCACCTAATGGTTAAGATACTAAATAAATAACTAAAATATAAACCAAACATTTCTAAACTATTTCTGTTACTTAGAGTAAACTTAGGATTCATAGTCAATAAATTTAACTCTTAAAAGTTCATGAAACAGTCTGAAAAGCTGTTGGTCTAAAGAACTAAAGAATAAGGATTTATTCTGTCAGATAAGATAACTTGGCTTCTGAAGCACATAGAAAAACGGGAAACATCTCATTTTAACACAAATTTCATGATTAGACAGATTAGTACATTGCTGAATGCATAAGATGTCATGATCAGTCATTTGTATTCTTTCACCAAAGGAATGCAGTCTTTATCAGTGTATGGTCGAGCAGGGTTTTACGACCGAGGTCTGGAGGTCAGTGTCCCCCCTTATCCTGGGGTCCGTATGTTCACACACTTTAAGACGCTAAATCTCAAATGGGAGATCTGGGTTGAGACGTTAATGTTTATTTAGATGGTCAGTAATGGAGTCAGTTTGAAAGGTAATAAAAACTCTGTCTCTGTTCGCCGAACTGACCAATCCTGAAGAGTCAGAGGTTTAGTCAACCTATGGTTGGGTCACTTATTTAACCTGAAAGTGCAAACACGTCTGGAAAGATTTATATCCTGTTTCCTGGGACCAGATAAGGAAACTTTCCTGTAAGGAATGTGTGGGTTTCACATCCAGGGTTGTCTTGATTGCTACACCTGTAACACTCACCTGTGTGATGCCGACATGTCCAGGTGCAGCAGAAGGACCTCACAGACGAGGCCATAGCAAAAGCGGTGTGTATGAAGGTGGGAGACTCACCGGGTGTGTCTTACTCGCACATCGCAGCCAAAGCGTACGAATGTGGACGCACCGAGCTCGCCATCAAGGTGACGTCATCTTGTTCTTTGTTTACTTTGTACTTTGTTTGTTCTTTGTTTTGTTTGTTTTTAATTAATCCTCGTTCGCTTTCTTCTGCAGTTGTTGGATTTCGAGGCGCGCTCAGGCGAACAGGTCCCCCTCCTGCTGAAGATGAAGAGGAGTCAGCTGGCGCTCAGTAAAGCCGTCGAGAGCGGAGACACCGATCTAGGTGAGTCTCTTAAAGCTCCGCCCACTACCTTTGCGGTAGGTGGATAATGCCGTACTGATGCATCTTGTGTTTCAGTTTACACGGTGGTCACGTACCTGAAGAACGAGATGAACAGAGGAGACTTCTTTATGACGCTGAGGAACCAACCGGTCGCTCTTAGCCTCTACAGAAAGGTACAGATTGGATAATCTGAGTCAGTTCAATCTTCTGATCAGTTTCTTGCCTGATTTGTGTTTGCCTGTGTTAATCAGTGTTAAAAATTACTAATCTGTGATCATCTCTGTGTTGTCAGTTCTGTAAACTGCAGGAACAGGACACACTGAAGGATCTCTATAACCAGGATGACGATCACCAGGAGCTGGCGAACTTTTACGTCACCGCCAGCTACAGAGAAAAGGTGAACGTACCTGAATGACGACACCTGCGCCCTGTTCTGTGGTCTGACAGACATCTGCTGATTGGTAACGGTTTTGATTTTTTGTCCCTCAGAGATTAGAGAGCCGTCTGTCTCTACTGCAGTCGGCCGTGGACGAGTACAACAAAGCCAAAAACGAGTTCTCAGTGAAGGTAAAACTCAACACAAACATTTATGATCAGAGTTTATGTAAATATTCATCCGTTTGATAATCTTGTTTCAGGCCACAGAGGACGAAATACGTCTCCTTCGATTCCAAAGAAGACTTGATGATGAAAAAGGGGCGGGGCTTCTAGGACTGTCCTTACAGGTAAGTTAAGGGGTGGGGCTCCTCAAACTGTCCTTACAGACATTAATGGTTGGGGCTCACAGAACTTTCTCTTGAGGTATTTCTAAGGGGGCGGGGCTTACAGAACTACCATTTCAGTAATCTTAATAAAAACGGAACTGCCCTTTCTAGTATAGAAGAGGGGCGGGGCTTCTAGAACCTTCTCTTTAGTGATGTAATGCTGTGTTCCAGTTACCTTGGAAGTCGGATGTTGGAGCTGGAAATGATGCTATGCCCAAGTTGACGGCGTTCCAGTTAACAAGTCGGAAAACCAAGATGGACGCCTACAGTTACCCGTTGTTAGCTGTTGTTTACAATTGTCAGCTGTTATTAGCCGTTGTCAGTTGTTGTTAGCGGTTGCCAGCTGTTGTTAGTTGTTGTTAGCTAAACAAGTTGTAAACAACGCACAACACAGTATTTTACTCATACAAACACCATAGCACCATGTTCACAGTTAGACGTTGGGCGTTACAACATAAACCACTTATTTAATTTCACAAAAACAAAACAGAAGTGCTAATAAATAATACAATACAAGAGCTTTCACCGTTACTCGACTGCTATCTTGGAATATTTCAGGGTCGGTGATAATCGTCAGACTTTCCAATTCAGAAATCCGACCGCAGGGGGGCGTTCCAGATGAGTTTCCGGCTCGGAGCTTGGAAATTCCGACTTCTGAGTACAACTGGGACACAGCATATGAAAAGGGGCGGGGCTTCAAGAACTATCTCTTTAGTGATATTAGGAGAGGGGTTCTGGAACTGTCCCTTCAGTGACATGAAAGGGGCAGGGCATCTTGAACTGTCTTTGGAGGTTTGTTTAGGGGCGGGGCTTTTAGAGCTGTGCCTACCGGTATAATAAGGGGTAGCACTACCTGGAATGTCACTCCAGGTACACAAAAAACGAGGTTATGCTCTGTGAAATGTTAATACTCAGTTTTTTTAAAAAATAGTTTTTCTAAGGTGGTATGATGTCCTTGTCTGCCTTGTGATGTCATTTCCTGTGTTCTTTTCCTCCAGGGAACCATGGAGGCTCTTTTGGCTTTAGGACTTAACAAACAAGCAGAGCAGCTGTACAGGGACTTCAGAGTACCTGATAAAAGGTGAGCTGTCAGGTGGTGATGTCACTGCTCTCTCTGCTCTGATTGGTTAAAGTCAGGCCCTCAGGGGAATGATTTAACACCTGTTTTAACCTCCTCACCTGTCCACTCGTCCGCCTCTGCAGGTATTGGTGGTTGAAACTGAGGTCCTTGGCAGAAAAGGAAGAGTGGGAGGAGTTAGAGAAGTTCTCAAAGAGCAAGAAGTCACCTATTGGCTACCTGGTGAGTCTAAACCCCGCCCACTTTCAAGTTCAGTTTCATTCTGAATGAAATAAAACTGAACTTGAAAGAATTTTTTTCCCATGGTGCTTTGCTGCAGGCGTTTGTCGAAGTCTGCGTGAAGAGTAACAACAAGTACGAGGCCAAGAAGTACGTGTCAAAGGTGACCCCTGAGCAGAAGGTCAAAGCTCACCTGGCCATCAGGTAAGACCCAGAATACCCGTGACATCATGAAACAGGTGAAGGCCGACCGCTTATGTAACCTCGTCTCCTCTCCACCGCAGTGACCTCGAGGGGGCAGCAGACGCTGCCATCGAGCGCAAGAACGAATCAGAGATAGGGGTGGTGCTCTCGAGATGCTCCACCAACGACCGCCTGCTGATGGACAAGTTAAACCGCGCCAGAAACTCCATCGCCAAAAAGTGATGCTTACCAGACAGAGTGTTGCTACGGCAACCAGGACTGCTTCTTCTTCTTGTTGGTTACTTCTTCATCCACTGTGGTTTTGTCAATCAGCAGACCCCACCCCCTTGCACTGATAACTGTGAACTTTCAGCCAGGCACAGGTGTCCACTTCCTTTTTTACCCCGCTGCAGTAAAAGTATGAAATCTAAAAACAGAAGAAATCAAAACTGAGATTCAGCAGAGAAACAGGTGCCTGCTGCAGAAACTGATTAAAGGTTTGGCGTTTACATTTTTTTTGCACATGTATTTCCTGCTGTTGGCTCCTTCACAATAAAAGCATTCCACCACAGAACCAACAGAGTTTTCAGAATTTATTTAAATTAATTCTTAAACAATTGTCTTTCAGTTGCACTTTTGATTTTTTTGGATTCTCGAGTTGAATTTTGCTCGAGGTCACGTTGAAGAGTCTTCCTTGCTGTCATGGAGACTGTGACGGTTCCCTGGTGTCTAATGTATGCTTTTCCCTCTGTCAAGCAGGAGGTTACCAGGGGGCGGTCCGATCGGTTAGTGAGGTTGGCAGCACCTGGGCCCGGTGTCTCCCAACCTATAAATACCCCGCCTTCTCCACCAGTTCGCTCTCTCCTTCCCTCCGGGCGGATGGCTTTGTCTTTTGTTTTACGCATCCAACACCCTAACACACATTACACCCCGTATTCACTCATGCATGCACGCACCTACACAGCTGATCTACTGATCCTCACACCCCATGACTTGTTTGTGTTCACCTCCTAAGTTGCTGTTATACTGTTTTCTTAATAAATTCATAACGTTTACGTTAACTAGTGCATCTTCCGTTGTTTTTGTCGCGGCTGAAGAGCCTGGTCGTGACAAAAGTGGGGGCTCGTCCGTCTTGATTAGGTCCGTTTCGCGTTGAATGGTAAGCTAAGTAGTAGTAGCATTGGTGGGCCTGATTTTTGTGAATGGAAAGTGACGTAGTGGGTGACGTCACTAGCTTGTTGTGAGGGTTTCTCTTGGGGTTTCTCCGGCTTGCAGCGTGTCTTGTCTTTGTACACTGCGGCAGGAATCGGGAGATGCAAATGAGTTATGTATTTTGGGGTATTTGTTTAAATAAGTAATTTGTTTCGCGGGATAGAAGGGGAGGTTTTTGTTTGGGTGTGGGTGTAAAAATGGTAACGATGTAAAGTAGGTGCCGTCGGCTGTGTGTTAAGGCATCGGAAAGACTAAACGTGTGTTTTCCCCCTGTGAGGCTCAGAGGCGTTATCCCTTTGGATTTCGACCTGTTTATTGTTTTAATAGTGCTGCGGAGACCGTGGTTGGAGCATTGCGCTCGGGAGCACGTCCGTGGTTCAGGAGGAGTCGCCAGCTAGTGGTTGCTTTTTCCTAGCCATTGGGTTTTAGTGCATAAATACCCGCCGCCAGTAACTGCATGAAGACTAGGTGAGTTAAGGTAGGTAGATTTTGGGTTAGGTAGTGAGTTAGAGGGGGGGGGGCACTCGTGGGCGTTTGATAACTGTGCCTTTGTTTTGTGCCGGGTTTGGCTGCACTGTGCATTACGTTGATTACACCACACACACACCCACAATGGTAAGCGGAGATGGCAAGTGTGGAGGAATTTTTTGTTTCCCCGTCAGAGGAGTTTTTAGAGCAGTGCACGAGAGAGCAGTTGTTGAAAATAGCAGAGCACTACAAAGTTGATGTGGGTGACAAACGTTTAAAGGACAGAGTAAGGGCAGTATTAATTTCAACTTTGTTTGAGAGAAAAGTTTTGACCGAAGAACCGCCAGTTGTTTCTCCAGCCGCCCAGTTGCTTCCGCCCTCAGTAGCAGTGGGGCTTACATTTGACCAGCAGAAGGAGCTGATCTGTTGCAGCTGGAACATGACAAGTGTAAGCAGAAAGCGGAGCTGGAGAAAGAACTGGCTGTGGAGAGGATGCGTCAGCAAACGGAGCAGGCCAAATTGGAATTTGAGCATTCTAAATTGGCACTGATTAAAGAGGGAAAGCTGATGGCTACGGGTGAGTTGGCCAATGATTCTGTTTTGGGTCAGTCCACCGATAGTTTTGATGTGTTGGGCAATTTGCGTTTTTTGCCAAAATTTTGTGAGAAAGATCCTGAATCATTTTTTTCTTTGTTTGAACGGGTCGCTGATGCACGTAAATGGTCGGATGAGGTGCGCACGCTATTATTACAGTGTGTGTTCACAGGCAGAGCACAGGAGGCCTGCTCAGCATTAACAGGGGAGGAAAGTCGTAAGTACTCTCAGGTGAAATCGGCAGTTCTAAGGGCTTATGAATTAGTCCCAGAAGCCTATAGGCAGCGATTTAGAGCTTGGAAAAAGGGAGAAAGGCAGAGTCACTTAGAATTTGCACGCGATTTGGCTACCCATTTTACGCGCTGGTGCGCTGCGGCGAGTGCGGATGATTTTGATGGTCTCTGTGAGCTTATCATATTGGAGCAGTTTAAAAATTCACTGCCGGTGCGAGTGGCAACCTACCTCAGTGAACGAAAAGCTAGAAACGCGACTGAGGCGGCGGCTCTCGCAGATGATTATGTGTTAACTCATCGGAATAGTTTTAGTGAGCCCCGGCTGGGCAGTGTAAACAGGGAGTCATTCGGCCGACCCCTTAAACACTTTCCAAGTGATAAACAGAGTGGCAGTCACCTAGGTGATTCGGACAAACTTTGTAATTACTGTCACAAACGCGGACACTGGAAAGCAGACTGTCAATGGCTGCGGTCTAAATCTAAGAGCACTTTTGGGGATCATGCGAAAGGGGTCGCTTTGGCTGTGTCCGCGCGTCAGTTCGTCACCTCTGAGGTTGTGCATGATACCGATTCTTGTCCGGAGATGGATTCGTACCGACCGTTCATCACCGAGGGGTTTGTGTCTATGGTAGGAAGCGATACTAAGGTGCCGGTGACTATTCTGAGGGACACGGGAGCGTTCGATTCATTCATCAGGGTAGGAGTTTTGCCTTTGTCGAAAGACACAGAGACGGGGAGCTCTGTTCCTGTCCGGGGAATGGATCTCAGCGTCCTGTGGGTCCCAGTACATAACGTAACGCTTCAGTGTGATTTGTTTCAGGGGGAGGCTGGTCTCGCGCTGCGCCCGGCGTTGCCTATTCCAGGTGTGTCGGTTATTCTCGGAAACGATTTGTTAGGGGCGAGAGTCTGGGCAGGGGTATCACCACCCGTCGTGGTGGCGCCGACACCGTTGGCGAGATTGAAGCCGGATGAAAATGAACGTGATTTTCCGGAGATTTTTTCAGCCTGCGCCGTTACGCGTGCCATGGTGGCCGCAAAGTCCGAGGTTGACACAGATAAAGAGGGTGTCCGTGAAAGATTTGCATTGCCCCTGTCTGACTTTCCTCTGTCCATATCTCGCAGTGACCTAGTGGCCGAGCAGCAGTCTGATCCCTCCCTGAAGAAGCTGTTTGACCAGGTTCGACCGGCGAGTGAGGTGTGGGACAGTGCTTCCGGTTATTTTTGCCACGACTCTTTATTGGTGAGAAAGTGGGTACACAGCGCGAACGTAGTGGGGGACCCAGTGGTCCAAATAGTTTTGCCAGTAAAGCTGCGGGAGTGTGTGTTGAAAGTTGCTCATGATGAGTCAGGTCATTCTGGAGTAAGAAAAACTTATGACCGACTCCTGAGACACTTCTTTTGGCCTCGTATGAAGAGGGATGTTGCGACTTTCATTAAAACATGTCATACATGCCAGTTAACTGACAAACCCAATCAAACGTTGAAACCTGCGCCTCTGTGTCCCATACCCGCAGTCGGACAGCCTTTTGAGCACTTGATTGTTGATTGTGTCGGTCCATTGCCCCGCTCTAAATCTGGTGCGAATTATCTTTTGACTATAATGTGCCAGAGCACCCGGTACCCTGCTGTGTATCCCCTGCGTACAAGAACTACAAGGTCTGTGGTACGGGCGCTCTCCCAGTTTATATCTGTGTTTGGCATCCCAAAGGTGATTCAGTCAGATCGAGGGTCTAACTTCTCCTCTCAAATGTTCCAGCAGGTGCTGAAACAGCTGCGAGTCTGGCATAACCAGAGCTCTGCCTATCACGCTCAAAGTCAGGGAGCGTTGGAGCGCTTCCACCAGACTCTTAAGTCCCTTTTGCGCGCGTATTGCACGGAGCTGGGTAGAGACTGGGAGGACGGGTTGCCCTGGTTAATGCTTGCAGCAAGGGAGGTGACACAGGAGAGTACAGGGTTTAGCCCGAAGGAGCTTGTCTTCGCACACACTGTCAGAGGTCCATTGGCTGCGCTGTCTAGCGGCTGGGTAGAGTCACAACCTCCAAAGAATTTAATTGATTATGTCAATGGCTTTAGGCACAGGCTGTACACTGCAGGGGTATTGGCCAAGGAGAAGCTGGAGTCAGCTCAGGGCAAGATGAAGCATCTATATGACAGGGGGGCTGAGCGCCGTGTTTTTAGTCCTGGGGACCAAGTGCTGGCTTTGCTTCCAATCGTCACATCACCATTCCAGGCAAAATTTACTGGGCCGCATACAGTGTTGGAACAAATTTCAGAGCTTAACTACGTGATTTCAACACCGGGTCGTAGGAAACCGACTCAAATGTGCCATGTAAATTTGCTCAAGCCGTACTACGCGCGCCCCTCGGAGACAGTTGCCGTTGACCCGCAGCCAAGTGTTCAGATCCATGCAGTGTGCGCGGTGGCCCCAGTGGTGTGTTCTAATCCTAGTCATTCGGAGTCTGATGACGAATTAAATATGCCTGACTCGGCTCTGTTACATGGGCGGCTTAAAAATTCTGAGGCTATGGCCCGGTTGGATAACCTGTTTCCACATTTAACAGAATCGCGCCGAGCAGAGTTGATCCAGGTGATCCGAGGTTTTCCGGACCTCTTCAGTGATACACCCGGTCGCACTCACTTAATTGAACATGACATAGATGTGGGGGATGCTGCGCCCATCAAACAAAGATTTTATCGAGTAAATGCAGATCGTCGTAAACATTTGGATGCAGAGGTTGATTACATGCTGGAGAATGGGATTGCGGAACCCTGCTCTTCCAGTTGGTCATCTCCCTGCTTGCTCGTTCCAAAGTCTGACAACACGCCCCGTTTCTGTTCAGATTTTCGTAAAGTTAACAACGTTACCAAGCCTGACTCTTTTCCATTTCCCAGGATGGACGATTGTATAGATCAGGTTGGTTCAGCAGCGTTCGTCAGTAAATTTGATCTGTTAAAGGGATATTGGCAGGTGCCCTTGACGCCGCGTGCGCGTGAGATAGCCTCTTTTGTGACACCAGCCGGTCTGTATTCCTATACAGTGATGCCCTTTGGCCTTAGAAATGCGCCTGCTACCTTTCAGCGTCTTATGAACCGCGTCATTGGGGACATGCAGGGCTGTGCGGTTTATCTAGACGACGTAGTGGTGTATTCGGATACGTGGGAAGAACATCTGGAGCGTATCCGGGAACTGTTCACTCGTTTGGCGGAGGCAAGGCTCACGGTTAACTTCGCAAAGTGTGAGTTTGCCAGAGCAACCGTTACATACTTGGGCCGTGTGGTTGGGCAGGGCCAGGTGCGGCCCGTAGATGCTAAACTTCAGGCGGTGAAACAGTTCCCCGTTCCGGCAACGAAAAAAGAACTTATGCGCTTTCTTGGTCTCGTCGGCTACTACAGGGGGTTCTGTAGAAAATTTTCAACAGTCGTAGCACCATTAACTGATCTGTTGAAAGGAAAGGCGAAATATATTTGGACTCCGACTTGCGATAAAGTGTTCGTACAGGTAAAAGAGCTGCTTTGCTCTGCTCCTGTCCTGTCTGCCCCGCGTTTTGACAAGCCGTTTCAACTCTATGTAGATGCCAGTCACGCTGGAGCAGGAGCTGTCCTCATGCAGACGGATGATTTGGGAATCGATAAACCTGTTAGTTTCTTTTCCAAGAAATTTAACCCGTGTCAGTTAAATTACGCGGTTATCGAAAAAGAAGCACTTGCGTTAATTTTGGCTTTAAAACATTTCGACGTTTATGTTGGTGGCAGCGGTGCCCCTACCATCATGTACACTGACCACAACCCTCTAACTTTTCTTAACTCCTTGCAGTGTCCCAACCAGCGGCTGGTCAGGTGGTCGCTGTTCCTGCAGTCGTACTCTCTGGACATTCGCTATGTGAAGGGGGCCGAGAACGTGGTGGCAGACGCGTTGTCTCGGGCTCCCCCGCGTGGCGACTGTGCCTAACTGTTTCCCTTTTGGTTCTACTCTTGCCTCCTCTCAATCTCTTAAATTGCTTCCTAGGTGCACCGGTTGCTGGGGTGGGGAGTTTGGGTTAAGGGATGTTGGACCAACGAAACAGTCTGGTACCTGGACTTGTAGTGTTCCACTGTGCTCACGGTGCCTGTAAAAATGTAATGTATGTTGGGTTTGGGTTGTTTTTTAGACTAGCACTTTAAATAAAAAAAAATAAAAAAAGTTGACTGGATACGGGTGCACTGATATGGTGTTACTGTGGGGTATTGTGTTTATGTTGGTCTGTTTGCTTAGGTTTGTTTAATCCCGGGATTCCCTTCAGGACCCCGTTCTTGTGGGGGTGGGTGTGACGGTTCCCTGGTGTCTAATGTATGCTTTTCCCTCTGTCAAGCAGGAGGTTACCAGCGGGCGGTCCGATCGGTTAGTGAGGTTGGCAGCACCTGGGCCCGGTGTCTCCCAACCTATAAATACCCCGCCTTCTCCACCAGTTCGCTCTCTCCTTCCCTCCGGGCGGATGGCTTTGTCTTTTGTTTTACGCATCCAACACCCTAACACACATTACACCCCGTATTCACTCATGCATGCACGCACCTACACAGCTGATCTACTGATCCTCACACCCCATGACTTGTTTGTGTTCACCTCCTAAGTTGCTGTTATACTGTTTTCTTAATAAATTCATTACGTTTACGTTAACTAGTGCATCTTCCGTTGTTTTTGTCGCGGCTGAAGAGCCTGGTCGTGACAGAGACAGGTAAAAGTGTTTTTGAGTTTATATGTTGTGTTTGGATAACTGGAGTGTGAAGGTTTCATACACTGAGGTACTTGTTTTTAACTAAATACAAATTCTTCACATTGTCTCCAGACTCATTTTTACCACAGGGATAGAAATAAGTCTAGAGAAGAAGTATTTGTATTTGCTTAAAAAAAAGTTTCAGGACTATTTTCAAAATTTTTGGACTTTTATTTTTAGAAATGTGATGTGAAAAAACAAAAGCTAAACAGACATTGTAAACCCTGGCCTCCCTCCACTGGTTACCTGTGTATTTTAGAGTTCATTTTAAGATTCTTTTATTTGTTTTTAAATCTTTAAATGGTCTGGCTCCATCTTACCTCTCTGATCAGCTGCTCCTGGAGGTACCGAGGTCCAAACTGAAGCTCAGAGGGGATAGATCTACCCTGAGCTACCTATCCAAATTAGACAAGCCTCCACACCATCCATTTTTATAACTCGTCTTAAAACCCGTTTTTATTCATCGGCTTTCAACCCTGCATGAGACTCGGCTCCTGTTTTAGTGTTTTATGGTTTGTTTTTAGTTATTTGTTTCTGTGTTTTTAAATTAGCTTTTAAAAACATAGAAACCATATTTTAATTTTTAATAACTGCTTTTATTTCATCCATTGTTTTGTTTTTTGATCGTTTTTTATGTCTGCGTTGTTTTGTCTATTTATGTACAGCACTTTGTTCAGCTGTGGTTGTTTTGAAGTGCTTCGAGTAAATTCAAGAGATAAATTTGTAACTTAATCTTAGTTTAAGGCTTAACTTGTAAAGTTATAAGTTTATTTTTCATATATAAATCTATGACTTTATTTTCTTAAGTTTACAGGATTTTTCTCATTACCATAAAAATTTGATCTTAACACTTTTTTGAAGTATGATTATTATTTTATTTACAAAATAATTTAATTTAAGAATTTATACTAATATTCTTTTAAATTTAGAAGTTTTTAGAGCTTTATTCTGAAACTGTAAGAACTGTATTCTCCTAATTTTCCAAGTTTTGTCTTCCGTATTCATTCTTGTGATTGTGCGAATTAATTCTCGGTCTTTTATATATCAGATCTTCTTGGTCAAATCATTTGACATGTTTTTCTTTTACGTCTTAACTCCACACAAAAAAATTTAGTTTATGTATGATAATATTCAGACTTAACTCTTGTAATTTCAAGACCATCTGCGCGGAATTTTCATTATTTGTATCGGTATTTTCATTTCTATTTTTATTGCCTATTTGTCAAGTTGACCATTATTTAATTGTATTGATTTGCTGTACCTTTGTATCTGCAGTGTTTTATGTGGTCAGGTGACGTTAGCTGAAGGGGGCGGGGCTCCATTCAACTGACCAAGAGGACAGTGTTGTGACTGCAACATTATACTGAAGTAAACTTTACAAGCTCTAAAGGTACGATAAATCACATTTCTTTCTGTTTTTATGAGCTCTAAATAAATTAACTTTAAATTGCGATAATGGTTTTTAAGTTGAGCTCTCTGATAAGCCAAACTTTAGTTTGTTTTACGGGAGAGGCGTGCTACTTTTGTACTCACCAAGCTGCATGTAACTCCTTCAATTGAGAGTATTTTTGCTGGAAGTAATGTATTTAAAAACGATATTTGTCGAAAGTAAAGAGCCGATTTTTTTGTTCGGATATGTAGATTAATTAAAAACTGTTTTTAGACTCCGACTGGTCATTATATGTTTGAAGGAAAGCAACAGAAAAAAATCACAGATTTATCAAATGGAGTTTTGTGACGGAGGCGAAGCGCTGAATCAGCTTCAGTTTAGTTATCCGTTAACGACAGAGACAGTTACTACATCGCTGAGTCAACATGACAATAAAACGTGCAGGTAAATCCACTATATGTGATTTTTCTTAAATAGAAACTTAATTATGGTGTTTCCATTACAACATATACTACTCTAGACAGACAATATACATTAATGCTAATTCCAATATTGAAATAACATATAAGTAAGAAATACCTAACAATATGGGAAAACGACAATGCATGTTTAGACAGGGGGAAAAAACAGTAGGGCAGTTGGAGAACAACAAGCAAACAGAAACTTAAAATAAATAATTTATGCTATGCAAAAATTAACAAGGGTTTTCTTTCTATTTTAAAAATTTTTAGCTGTTATAATATAACTTTTGTTCCTTCAAACCAGTTAACGTTTAAGAGATTTTGAATACATTTTAATTCGTTTATGATTTTATTCTTATGGATGAAATATTTGGCAAGACATAAGATTACATTTCAACAGAGTTCATCATTTTTATTTGGTAGTATCGTTCCATAGACAGACAGCAATGTCGTCAGTCAAAGTGGAAAGCACAGTGAAGGTGGGCGCTGTGATTGGTGAAGGGCCGGTGTGGGAGGAGTCCGATCAGACGCTGCTGTTCGTTGACATCGGTGGAAAGAAAATCCACCGCTGGAGTCCGGCGACCAATCAGATCCAGTCTGTGGAAACAAGTCAGCCAATCATCATGAAGGAATCATTCCAAACATTTTTTTTGTTGCAGATTCTTTAAATTATTAACCTGTCTGTCCATCCTCAGGTGACATGGTGGGCTTTGTGGTCCCTCGCAAGTCAGGTGGTTACGTGGCAGGAGTTGGTCGCAGCATTGTTGCAGTTGATTGGTCGACTCAGGCGATGACACCATTGCTGGAGTTGGACAGTGACAAGCCAAATAACCGACTAAATGACGGGAAGGTCGATCCGATTGGGCGGCTGGTAGCAGGTAGGTGAAGCCTACCTGTCCATGTGAAGCAGTGTTGCTATGGTGACAGCAGATGTTGTATTTTGTTTCAGGGACGATGGGCAGAGAGGTGAGACCTGCAGAGCTAGAGAGGAAGCAAGGATCTCTGTTCTCTGTAGACCCTGACCTGAAGTGGAAAAAACACCTGAGCCAGGTATCCACTTGTGTGTGTGTGTGTGTGTGTCTACGTCCTTAAAGGGACAGAGTTAAAGGTAATTGTCAATAAAGAGTGCATCACTCACTGGAGTTCCCCCTCAGCCTGGGCCCCTTGTTTAGAAAACAGTCAGTGACCTGGAACCAAAGCTTGGCTCTCGACTTCTGCAGATGGACCCGACTGACCACAAAGTTCAGCTAATTATAATAAATGACAACCAGAACACTCTTCTGGGTGCGAGGACAAGCTCTCATTGTGAACTGGATTATCAACAAAGGGGGCGAGCTGACCAGGATCAGTTGTTGCTGATCCACTTACAAAAGACATTAACATCATAAAATCCCACTTCAGAAATCTGAACTGTCCCTGTGATACAGGTCTCTCTCTCTCTCTCTCTCTCTCTCTCTCTCTCTCTCTCTCTCTCTCTCTCTCTCCCTCTCTCTCTCTCTCACAGGTGGACATCTCTAATGGAATGGACTGGTCTTTGGATCAGAGGACGTTTTTCTATATCGACAGTCTGGCTCTGAGTGTGGACGCCTTTGACTATGACATAACCACAGGACAGCTAGGTAAGAGTGTACTGGTACTACATTAAAGGGATATTCCGGTGTAAATAGTTGCACTGATCCTGCATTTCTGCTTATATATGTGTACTGTTAGTTGTATTGGGGCTGCTTGATTGTATTACTAATTTTAGTCCTCATTTATTTAATAAACACTATAATTTCAAGACTAATTGTGTTTATGTGTTGCCCAGGTAACCGTCGCGTCATTTACCGTATGGAGGAAGGGGAGGGACTTCCTGATGGGATGACACTTGATGCTGAGGGTCGTTTGTGGGTCGCTTGTTACAACGGCGGACGAGTCATCAATATTGACCCAGTTACTGGTTAGTAATACTGGTTATACTGGTTATACTGGTTAGATCAGGGGCTCCTCCACACTTCTTACTGGAGCTTAAATCTTTGTAAATGTTTCCAGGACATTAACATTTAGTTTTTTTTCTTGGTTTTTCAAACTTCTTCACTGTCCGCCATCAGGCTGTTTTTGTTTATATAATAATCTTTTATATTTGTATTTTATTTTATTGAGATTAAAGGTTGTTGTATGATCTTAGGTGTGCGTCTGCGCACAGTCTCTCTGCCCGCCACGAAAACCACTTCCTGTTGCTTTGGAGGTCCAGACTTCTCTGACCTTTATGTGACCTCAGCCAGTCTTGGCCTCAGCCAATCAGAGAAGGAATCTCAGGTGGAGGCGGGGAATATCTTCAAGGTGAGTCTCTTAACTTACTGTTTACAATCTGCACAGCACACACACACACATACACACAACTGACCATCTCTTTTCTGTGTGTGTGTGTGTGTGTGTGTGTGTGTGTGTGTGTATGTGTATGTGTGTGACAGGTGACAGGACTCGGTGTCAAAGGTCGTCCATCATGGTTTTTCTCGGGATGATCAAAGAGGCAGTAGCAGCCAATCTCAGCACAGAACACATGAACAGAATGGTCACGCTAACCGCCTTTTAGCCTGTTAGCTTGCTATTAATCAATAATGATTGAACTGGATCAGGACATTGATCAGTCAGTGATTTTAGGTAGGTGAGCGAGTAAATTGAGCAGTATCTCAATAATAATACTCTTTATCATTGCGATGAAAGATAAAAGATGATCCTTCAAGTTCCACAAGTTTTCTCATAATTCGGAAAATGGGCTTTTAGCTTTGATGCTGAACTGAAAAGAACACAAACAGAAGATTGGAGATGAAATAAAAGTCCATGCTGCCCCTGTGTTCCCCCTCCATGGTCTCTCCCACTTCCTGTGGGCAGGGCTTAAAAGGCCATCTTTGATCAGCAGACAGCCCTTTGCCAGGAAACTCAAACAAAAGAAAACAGGAGTAAGTATAACTTGAGATTAAAGCATGATGTGGAAAATCAACCATGTGACAGTTTGTTAACTAAATTGTGTGCACCCAAATTAGAAAACAACTGCCATACATGTAATTAAAGTTATTTCATTTCAACAGAAAGGTGTGTAATGTGCTCTTTTTAAACTACAAACAAAACTGGTGTGAAAACCCAAAGAAAAAGAAATACTAACACGAGATAGTGGCAGTTTAGGCCACCACAATATGTGAGAAACAGGTGCAGGCGTCATGGCGCATTTTTGTCCAGACAGAGCTGTCAGGAGTGGTTAAATATCCACGGACTGAGTGAACTTGGTGAGTCATGTCTCTTTTTAGGATTGTTAAACAACAAACAACTTTTTGGTACCAAAAAGAGGGATTATGTGTTTTTTGGCGGTGTCTCACCAAGTCTAAACTCTGCAGTTAGACTTGAATACGTAGGGTTCATATTAAGAGACAGGACATAGGTAAACAATGGTTTGGAAATAGTCCAAAGACAACATCTTGAATGCCAAAGCTTTAACTTTAGTTTTTGACATTAACTAAAGGGGCATGGCTTTCGTGGCAGCATTCAACTGACCATGGCGACAGTTTTGTGACAGCAGTGATGCACAGACCTGAACCCTGCGAGCTCTAAAGGTACGCTAAAACACCTTCTTTTTATAAGCTCTAAATGAACAAACTAGGTATTTTTTTGGGTGGTTTTTGCCATTTTTTGATAGGACAGGGTGAAATGTGGGGAGATAGAGGAGAGGGTTGGGGCCAGACTCGAACCCAGGGACTGTGGTTACCATATATTGGGCACAGTAACCTGCTCAGCCATCTGTGCATCCTTAAATGAACAAATTTTTAACTGTGATAAAGTTAAGTACTTTTGAACGATTTTAAATAAGCCAATTTTTGTCTGTTTTACAGGAGAGGTGTCTGGCTCTTGTTCTCAATAAACTGCATCTAACTCTTCCAAATCAAAAGTATTTTTGCTGGAGGTAACGTATTTAGAAATGAAGTTTTATAAAAGTAAAGAGCTGATTTTGTCTTTTCAGGCCTAAAGATTAATAAAAGTCTCTTTTTATACTCCGGCTGGTCATGACATGTTTGTTGGAAAGCAACAGAAAAAAAATCACAGGTTTATTAAATGGAGTTTGGTTAGAGAGAGTGAGTGTGTTAGTTCAGTTACACAATGGAAGAGACAGTCATGAATTACCGTGTTAACATTACAGAAAAACCTGCAGTTAAATCTGAGTGTGCGGTTATTCTTTAATAGATGCTCTTTTTCTGTTGTTTCCATGACAACCCAGACGCCTCTGGACAGAGAGTGATGTCTTCAGTCAAAGTGGAAAGCACAGTGAAGGCGGGCGCTCTGCTTGGTGAAGGGCCGGTGTGGGAGGAGTCTGATCAGACGCTGCTGTTCGTTGACATAGGTGGACAGAAAATCCACCGCTGGAGTCCGGCGACCAATCAGATCCAGTCCTTGGAAACAAGTCAGCCAATCATCATGCAGGAAACATTCCAAACAATTTTTTGTTGCAGTTTCTAAATTATTAACCTGTCTGTCCATCTTCAGGTGACATGGTGAGCTTTGCAGTCCCTCGCAAGTCAGGTGGTTACGTGGCAGGAGTTGGTTGCAGCATTGTTGCAGTTGATTGGTCGACTCAGGCGATGACACCACTGCTGGAGTTGGACAGTGACAAGCCAAATAACCAACTAAATGACGGGAAGGTCGATCCAATTGGACGGCTGGTTGCAGGTAGGTGAAGCCTACCTGTCCATGTGAAGCAGTGTTGCTATGGTGACAGCAGCTGTTGTATTTTGTCTCAGGGACGATGGGCAGAGAGGTGAGACCTGCAGAGCTGGAGAGAAAGCAAGGATCTCTGTTCTCTGTAGACCCTGACCTGAAGTGGACAAAACACCTGAGCCAGGTATCCACCTGTGTGTTTATGTGTCTACGTCTTTAAAGGGATAGAGTTAAAGGTAATCGTCAATAAAGAGTGCATCACTCACTGGAGTTCCCCCTCAGCCTGGGCCCCTTGTTTAAAAAACAGTAAGTGACCTGGAACCAAAGCTTGGCTCTCGACTTCTGCAGATGGACCCGACTGACCACAAAGTTCAGCTAATTATAATAAATGACAACCAGAACACTCTTCTGGGTGCGAGGACAAGCTCTCATTGTGAACTGGATTATCAACAAAGGGGGCGAGCTGACCAGGATCAGTTGTTGCTGATCCACTTACAAAAGACATATACATCATAAAATCCCACTTCAGAAATCTGAACTGTCCCTGTGATACCGGTCTGATGGAATAAGTCTCTCTCTCTCTCTCTCTCTCTCTCTCTCTCTCTCTCTCTCACAGGTGGACATCTCTAATGGGATGGACTGGTCTTTAGATCAGAGAACGTTTTTCTATATCGACAGTCTGGCTCTGAGCGTGGACGCCTTTGACTACGACATAACCACAGGACAGCTAGGTAAGAGTGTACTGGTACTACATTAAAGGGATATTCCGGTGTAAATAGTTGCACTAATCCTGCATTTCTGCTTATATATGTGTACTGTTAGCTGTATTGGGGCTGCTTGATTGTATTACTAATTTTAGTCCTCATTTATTTAATCGACACTATATTTTTAAGACTAATTGTGTTTATGTGTTGCCCAGGTAACCGTCGAGTCATTTACCGTATGGAGAAGGAGGAGGGACTTCCTGATGGGATGACACTTGATGCTGAGGGTTGTTTGTGGGTCGCTTGTTACAACGGCGGACGAGTCATCAACATTGACCCAGCTACTGGTTAGTAATACTGGTTATACTGGTTATACTGGTTAGAGCAGGGGCTCCTCCACACTTCTCACTGGAGCTTAAATCTTTGTAAATGTTTCCAGGACATTAACTTTTAGTTTTTTTTCCTGTTTTTTCAAACTTCTTCACTGTCCGCCATCAGGCTGTTTTTGTTTATGTAATAATCTTTTATATTTGTATTTTATTTTATTGAGATTAAAGGTTGTTGTATGATCTCAGGTGTGCGTCTGCGCACAGTCTCTCTGCCCGCCACGAAAACCACTTCCTGTTGTTTTGGAGGTCCAGACTTCTCTGACCTTTACGTTACTTCAGCCAGTCTTGGCCTCAGCCAATCAGAGAAGGAATCTCAGGTGGAGGCGGGGAATATCTTCAAGGTGAGTCTCTTAACTCACCTGTTTACACTCTGCACAGCACACACACACACATACACACAACTGACCATCTTTTGTCTGTATGTGTCTGTGTATGTGTGTGACAGGTGACAGGACTCGGTGTCAAAGGTCGTCCAACATGGTTTTTCTCGGGATGATCAAAGAGGCAGTAGCAGCCAATCTCAGCACAGAACACATGAACAGAATTGTCACGCTAACCGCCTTTTAGCCTGTTAGCTTGCTATTAATCAATAATGATTGAACTGGATCAGGACATTGATCAGTCAGTGATTTTAGGTAGGTGAGCGAGTAAATTGAGCAGTATCTCAATAATAATACTCTTTATCATTGCGATGAAAGATAAAAGATAATCCTTCAAGTTCCACAAGTTTTCTCATAATTCGGAAAATGGGCTTTTAGCTTTGATGCTGAACTGAAAAGAACACAAACAGAAGATTGGAGATGAAATAAAAGTCCATGCTGCCCCTGTGTTCCCCCTCCATGGTCTCTCCCACTTCCTGTGGGCAGGGCTTAAAAGGCCATCTTTGATCAGCAGACAGCCCTTTGCCAGGAAACTCAAACATAAGAAAACAGGAGTAAGTATAACTTGAGATTAAAGCATGATGTGGAAAATCAACCATGTGACAGTTTGTTAACTAAATTGTGTGCACCCAAATTAGAAAACAACTGCCATACATGTAATTAAAGTTATTTCATTTCAACAGAAAGGTGTGTAATGTGCTCTTTTTAAACTACAAACAAAACTGGTGTGAAAACCCAAAGAAAAAGAAATACTAACACGAGATAGTGGCAGTTTAGGCCACCACAATATGTGAGAAACAGGTGCAGGCGTCATGGCGCATTTTTGTCCAGACAGAGCTGTCAGGAGTGGTTAAATATCCACGGACTGAGTGAACTTGGTGAGTCATGTCTCTTTTTAGGATTGTTAAACATTATAAGGATCCAAAGTAAGATGTATCTTCTCTACATTAAGGTTGATCAGAGTGGCGGCGCCACAATTGGGGGTCCAAGGTTACGAGAGGAATGATTTATTTCGTCTGTTATATTTTAACTATTTAGAAAATATATGACACTTATTTTGTTTACTCTCAGTATATCAAAAGTCAAAAATTACCTCCAGTTAGAGGTTTCTGGTGTCTTTTCAGATTAAAACAGAAGTTTATATCGATATAAACAGGTCAAACATATTTATCTCTTCCACATTGCATTTACACATCATTCCCACACCACTGCAGTGCAGCAGCACGAGGCTCCAAACTTCATATTTAGTCCTTTCTGTGGTACCAAAAAGAGGGATTATGTGTTTTTTGGCGGTGTCTCACCAAGTCTAAACTCTGCAGTTAGACTTGAATACGTAGGGTTCATATTAAGAGACAGGACATAGGTAAACAATGGTTTGTAAATAGTCCAAAGACAACATCTTGAATGCCAAGGCTTTAACTTTAGTTTTTGACATTAACTAAAGGGGCATGGCTTTCGTGGCAGCATTCAACTGACCATGGCAACAGTTTTGTGACAGCAGTGATGCACAGACCTGAACCCTGCGAGCTCTAAAGGTACGCTAAAACACCTTCTTTTTATAAGCTCTAAATGAACAAACTAGGTATTTTTTTGGGTGGTTTTTGCCATTTTTTGATAGGACAGGGTGAAATGTGGGGAGATGGAGGAAAGGGTTGGGGCCAGACTCGAACCCAGGGACTGTGGTTACCATATATTGGGCACAGTAACCTGCTCGGCCATCTGTGCATCCTTAAATGAACAAATTTTTAACTGTGATAAAGTTAAGTACTTTTTGTAGCAATCAAGACAACCCTGGATGTGAAACCCACACATTCCTTACAGGAAAATTTCCTTATCTGGTCCCAGGAAACAGGATATAAATCTTTCCAGACGTGTTTGCACTTTCAGGTTAAATAAGTGACCCAACCGGAGGTTGACTAAACCTCTGACTCTTCAGGATTGGTCAGTTCGGCGAACAGAGACAGAGTTTTTATTACCTTTTAAACTGACTCCAGTACTGACCATCTAAATAAACATTAACGTCTCAACCCAGATCTCCCATTTGAGATTTAGCGTCTTAAAGTGTGTGAACATACGGACCCCAGGATAAGGGGGGACACTGACCTCCAGACCTCGGTCGTAAAACCCTGCTCGACCATACACTGATAAAGACTGCATTCCTTTGGTGAAAGAATACAAATGACTGATCATGACATCTTATGCATTCAGCAATGTACTAATCTGTCTAATCATGAAATTTGTGTTAAAATGAGATGTTTCCCGTTTTTCTATGTGCTTCAGAAGCCAAGTTATCTTATCTGACAGAATAAATCCTTATTCTTTAGTTCTTTAGACCAACAGCTTTTCAGACTGTTTCATGAACTTTTAAGAGTTAAATTTATTGACTATGAATCCTAAGTTTACTCTAAGTAACAGAAATAGTTTAGAAATGTTTGGTTTATATTTTAGTTATTTATTTAGTATCTTAACCATTAGGTGGTTATAATGTCACTGAATAATCTGAATGTGAGTATTTAGAATCCATTATTAATCATGATGACGTTCATTCACATGTGTTTACTCTTTTGTTGTTCACAGTTTTCATGTGTTACTATCTGTTTCATGTCAGAGTAATTTAGCATGTTCAATGTGATACTTAAAACATAATGAGAATGTTTGATGTGATCCTACACTTCATTCATATGTGTTTAGTATCAAATTATTTATCATGAAACCAAGCATTCAATGATATTAATCATAGTGAGTGAGTATCAGATCTGACTCTTTTACCAGCCAAAAGAATAAGTTAGATCAAATAATCAGAGACCCGATGACCCCCTCCTCTTTCTCCTCAGACACTCCCAGTGTGAGAAGATAAAACCAGTGGAGTGGGGTTGCTCACTCTCTTATCTCTTTTATGCTTCTGCTCTTCTGCTGACTCTCTTGTCCCCGGCTCTTATGCCCCTTCTCTTCTGTCCACACCCTTCTGTGGTGCGTTTCTTTGTTTTCTCTTAGAACTTTTTCTTAGTCTTCTAAGTTTTACGCCACGTGTTGATTCACGTTGATTTTCTTTAACATCGTCTTAGTTCAAGTTTTGAAACTTCAACTTTTTGTGCGCATAGCAATTCAAGATTAAGCCTTTGATTGATTTTTCTTTAATTTCGCGAAGCCATTTTTGAAAGTTTTCTCTGCTCTTCGAGCCTCGTTTTTCTGAGTTTTCTGCGTGATTTCAAAGTCACCTCTGAACGCAACCCAGCAGGCCCAGGTCATCCTCTGTGCCAGAGTTTTTGAGTGAGACCAAAGAAGTACCCAAACGAGCATCCACAGGATCCACAGGCGCTGGCTTTGCTTCGGGCCCGAGTGCTGCAACTCCTGGCTCATCCTTCGGCTGACTTCAGTCGTCTTCTGAGCTGAACCGCTCGAACCGCCAGTAGCCCCGGACCTTCGGAACCTGCTCCATCTTCTCCAAGGACCAGTCTCACTTAAGTATGCAAACCTCCAGAGCTCCAGACAGGGCTGATGCTGTCTCACGCGTTCATAACTCAGATATCCACCTATTTCTGGTGATCTTAGATTCCTCCAAATCTACACCCGAGTTTATCTCGACACTAAAGTTAGTGTAGGTTAATATGTTAGCGCATATTCACTCACTATCATTAACTTTAGTGCTCCTAGCCTGACTCAGAATCTTGATTTATTCACCTATTATTATTTATCTTCATTATCTTATCATCATTTATTGCATGTATGCTGTACCATCATTTATCCTGTAATAAACAGATCATTATTTTTCTAAGTTCCTGTCTGTTAGTGTTCTTCCAGAAGTGGAGTCCCTGAAATTAGAATTTCGACTTAAGATATGAGACTGATTAATTAAGACTGATTAATTAAAACTGACTTGATGTTTGATTTCTGAATTAAACTTTTGTTTTCTTTATTTTCCCACCATTAAGGGTGGGTGGTGCCCCTTTCAACGAGTGCATAAATGTCATAATTTGAGATTATTAATCTTCAGACATTTATTATAAATTCCAATCGCCAAGTATTATTTTGGTGCGGCCTTGTGAGGCTCATTTCAAATCGCTACATATATTTTGGTGCGACCGTATGAGGCTCATTTCAAATCACTACATTTTGAACGATTTTAAATAAGCCAATTTTTGTCTGTTTTACAGGAGAGGTGTCTGGCTCTTGTTCTCAATAAACTGCATCTAACTCTTCCAAATCCAAAGTATTTTTGCTGGAGGTAATGTATTTAGAAATGAAGTTTTATAAAAGTAAAGAGCTGATTTTGTCTTTTCAGGCCTAAAGATTAATAAAAGTCTATTTTTATACTCCGGCTGGTCATGACATGTTTGTTGGAAAGCAACAGAAAAAAAATCACAGGTTTATTAAATGGAGTTTGGTTAGAGAGAGTGAGTGTGTTAGTTCAGTTACACAATGGAAGAGACAGTCATGAATTACCGTGTTAACATTACAGAAAAACCTGCAGTTAAATCCCAGTGTGCGGTTATTCTTTAATAGATGCTCATTTTCTGTTGTTTCCATGACAACCCAGACGCCTCTAGACAGAGAGTGATGTCTTCGGTCAAAGTGGAGAGCGCAGTGAAGGCGGGCGCTCTGCTTGGTGAAGGGCCGGTGTGGGAGGAGTCCGATCAGACGCTGCTGTTCGTTGACATTGTTGGACAGAAAATCCACCGCTGGAGTCCGGCGACCAATCAGATCCAGTCCTTGGAAACAAGTCAGCCAATCATCATGCAGGAATCATTCCACATCATTTTTTTGTTGCAGTTTCTAAATTATTAACCTGTCTGTCCATCTTCAGGTGACATGGTGAGCTTTGCAGTCCCTCGCAAGTCAGGTGGTTACGTGGCAGGAGTTGGTCGCAGCATTGTTGCTGTTGATTGGTCGACTCAGGCGATGACACCACTGCTGGAGTTGGACGGTGACAAGCCAAATAACAGACTTAATGACGGGAAGGTCGATCCGATTGGACGGCTGGTTGCAGGTAGGTGAAGCCTACCTGTCCATGTGAAGCAGTGTTGCTATGGTGACAGCAGCTGTTGTATTTTGTTTCAGGGACGATGGGCAGAGAGGTGAGACCTGCAGAGCTGGAGAGGAAGCAAGGATCTCTGTTCTCTGTAGACCCTGACCTGAAGTGGACAAAACACCTGAGCCAGGTATCCACCTGTGTGTTTATGTGTCTACATCTTTAAAGGGACAGTGTTAAAGGTAATCGTCAATAAAGAGTGCATCACCCACTGGAGTTCCCCCTCAGCCTGGGCCCCTTGTATAGAAAACAGTCAGTGACCTGGAACCAAAGCTTGGCTCTCGACTTCTGCAGATGGACGCGACTGACCACAAAGTTCAGCTAATTATAATAAATGACATCCAGAACACTCTTCTGGATACAAGGACAAGCTCTTACTGTCTCTGTCTCTCTCAGGTAGTCATATCTAATGGGATGGACTGGTCTTTGGATCAGAGGATGTTTTTCTATATCGACACTCTGGCTCTGAGTGTGGACGCCTTTGACTACGACATAACCACAGGACAGCTAGGTAAGAGTGTACTGGTACTACATTATCGTGTTTATATATTTGCGTAATTATTCTATACTTATGTCATCATGTGTGCAGCTATACACCATTTAACCTTTTCATGTGTAGCCTACTTATGGTGCGTTTGAGTTACTTCGGAAGTAAGAAGTCCGAGCTGAAAATGACATCACAACTGAGTTACCAGCGTTTCAGTAACCAAGTCGGAAAAAAGCAAAATCAAAAGCGGAAACAAGAAAGTTATTTTAGCGCTTGCCTCGGCTGAAAAAAAGGCAAGCGCTAAAATAACTTTTGTAGATGTAGCCAACTCGAGTGTGACGTCATTTTTAGCTGGGACATCTGACTTCCGAGGTAACGCGAACGCAGCATATTACTGTATTATTTTTTATATAGTTACGCTAATTTCTGCTTATATATGTGTACTATTAGTTGTATTAGGTTTAATTGTATCTAATTGTGTTTATGTGTTGCCTAGGTAACCGTCGCGTAGTCTACCATATGGAGAAGGAGGAGGGGCTTCCTGATGGGATGACACTTGATGCTGAAGGTCGTTTGTGGGTCGCTTGTTACAACGGCGGACGAGTCATCAACATTGACCCAGTAACTGGTCAGTAATACTGGTTATACTGGTAATACGGGTTAGATCAGGGGCTCCTCAAAATTTTATTGAGATTAAAGGTTGTTGTATGTTCTCAGGTGTGCGTCTGCGCACAGTCTCTCTGCCCGTCATGAAAACCACTTCCTGTTGTTTTGGAGGTCCAGACTTCTCTGACCTGTATGTGACCTCAGCCAGTCTGGACATCCTCCAATCAGAGAAGCAATCTCAGGCGGAGGCGGGGAATATCTTTAAGGTGAGTCTCTTAACTCACCTGTTTACACTCTGCACAGCGCACACACACACACACATACACACAACTGACCATCTCTTATCTGTATGTGTGTGTGTGACAGGTTACAGGACTCGGAGTCAAAGGTCGTCCATCATGGTTTTTCTCGGGATGATCTAAGAGGCACTGGCAGCTAATCGTAGCACAGAACACATGAACAGAATTGTCATGCTAATTGACTTTTAGCCTGTTAACCTCTTACCTTGTTTTTAATCAATAATGATTGAAACAGATCAAGACATTGATCAGTGTGAGTCCCCCCCCCCCCCCCCCCCCAAGTCAAATGTCGGAGCTGAAAATGACGTCACACCCAAGTTGACAGCGTTTCAGTTGCAACACTGGTAACTCGGGTGTGACGTCATTCCCATCTTGGACTACTTCTGAGGTAACCTAAACGCAGCAAAAGATAAATTAGTGTGAATAAATCATGAAACGAGGGATTCTGGGTAATGTAGTCAAACTTAAATTATCATTTTTATATGGGTAAACATTCAATCTAATCAGCCTGGCTGGAATGAACACAGAGTTTATTTTAACATGTTTCATTAAATGAGTCTCCATCATCATTATCTTCTTCGCCATGTTTTTATTTACATCAATATCACAACAAACAAACAAACAAAAACAACGTCACAGCTTCTAGAAAACGTCTGTACACGTAAAAAACGTTGTGCTCTTTTTTTGATTTGTTTCATGAAGGCAGGGGACAGGAAGAGGAGGAGGGAGGTAAGGGGACAGGTAGGTGGAGCAGGTAGATGAGGGCAGGTACGGGGCGGGCAGAAGGGGGACTGCAGAGACAGTCTTTATTTGACTGGATTCTCCGTGAACTTGGTCTGTTTACGCCTGTTTGTGTACCTCCAGGTTTGTTCAGGTGTTTGTTTTCAGGTGTGTCCCGACCAAAGCCACCAAACCTAAACAGGTTGGCCTTGTCTAACCAGGTTAATCCAGCTCTTACTAGTCAAACCAAAAGATGTTCTAGACTCCAAAAAGTTTTCTGAAGTTTCTGTCATCTGCTGCAGCGCCCCCTAGCTGCCCCAACACTCCAGTCGGAGACAGGAGTGGTTCTGGTGCCAGCTAACACTGGAGAGGAAGAGTGAGGATAAGGAGGATGAGGGGTGGAGCCTCAGTCGATGATGACTGCAGTTTTACACTAATGCTAACACTAAAGCTTGTTGCTAACACCGATTCCAGTCCAAGTTAAGTCAATAGAAGCTAGTCCAGAGGCGAACCTGTAGGCGAGCCTGACAGTGCGGAGGCTCATAAATACAGTGGAACACAGTCGAACACAATGCAGTAAAAAGAGTAGAACCCTGTACAAGATTAAGTTAAAGACACTGGACCCCCCCAACACCCCAGAACCCTGAACCTGCAGACCAGAACCAGAACTTCATTTTTTAATCCACTTTAAATATCTGACATTTGACCCAGGAGGTGCCACATTTCATGGCAGCAGTGACGGTGCGGATCTGGTCGTTGTTTCTGTACCTCCTCGTCTTTGCCATGAAACAGACTTTCAGTTCTGAATTGATGAAGTTGAGTTTGACTCTGATGGTCATCCTCAGCAGAGAGGAGGAGATGAAGCTCTTGATATTGAGGTTAAATATTTTAAATATTTAAATACTTTAAACTTTTTTTAAACAAAGGAAAAATCTCACCTGACAGTCAGGTTGTAAGTGAACCCCTCCGTCTGCTGAGGAAGACCACCTCACTGTTTCCTCCTTTGTGTCGTCTGTCAAAGTGCTGCTGTTATTAACAACATGTGGAGCATGCCCTCTTTAATTTACACCTTTGTGAAGGGTCAGAGGTCAAAGGTTGGAGGTTAATTACCTCTGAGCACCTTGTCTGCGTTCATATTGATAAACTAAAACAGTACAAAACATGATGTCATCATTTTACATCGATTGATCACAAACGTTCAAAGTGCTGATTGGTCCCATTGATTTATAAGTGGGCGCGGCCAGCAAGAGAGGAGGAGGAGTCACCGTCCTCCAACATGCTGACACGTAAACTCTGTCTCTGTAATATCATGTCTCTGTAATATCGTCACTCTCTCAATTAGTAGTGCTCCTCCGTGTGGGCGGGGTCGCAGAAGAATCGAGAGCTGCGTTTGGCCGATCGAGCCGTGAAGGGGACCGTCTTCAGAGCTGCAGAGGTAAAAGAAGACGCAATCAGACAGGAAGCAGCTGAATGGGTTGTGTTCACAGACAACCAAGCAATGACTTCCACAACAGAGCCATGTCCCAACAAAGGCATGGTTACCTGTGATGATGTCTTCGATGGCGCCATCCTTCCCTTCGTACACATGGCGACTGTCTTTTCCTTGTCGTCGACGCAACTCGGTGATCAGCTCCTGTTGCTGCCTTCTCCCCCTGTGAGAGGGAGACTGAGGAGGACAAAGAGGGGAGTTAAACCTCTGACTTTGAACTCTCTGGATCCAAAGGCTCCAACTATGTGAAGGTCCAAGGTCACAGTCTCACCTTTGTCTCCTCTCCTTCCTCCTGCTGCTCCTCCTGCTCCAGCTTCTCCAACAACATCTGCTCCTGGCGCCTCCTCTGCTCGTTCTCCTCCTCTGCTACCTACATGTGCGCACAAAAACAAAAACTAGAAGTCACTCCTTGTCCTGTCGTGCTAGACTTGTAAGCCGCGCCTCTTTGAGAAGGTTGGCATCACTCACCCTGTAGGCTTTGATGAAGCGAACGAAGATTGGGAAGAAGACGGACGGAGGCATCGTCTTTGAGCTCTCTCCGAAAAACTTCACCACATCCTCGAACGCATCCTAGAGCCCAGAAGGAACAATCAGACTGGATTCAACAAACTATTCTTGACAGTTTTAATTGGCAAAAGTCCACTGCTTTCAATTGGACGGCAGTATTTTGCATATCTGGCTCACCTGTGCAATGCGTGCATCCTCCTGCAGCTTGCCGAGCCTTGATTCGTGCCTGCTGATGAAGTCTTTAAGCGTGGCGTTGTGCTGGATGCTGAACTCCCTCCAGGTGAGCTCCATGCCGCGCTGCAGCTCCTTCACGTCACACAACACGTTCTCCAGACTCACTGCACACAGGTTACACACTCAGGTGAGCTACGTGGAGTGAGGCGAGTTTGCAGTGTTGCTATTGGTGGACAGACTCACCTGCGGCCGCCTTGTCAACGTAGTGCAGCTCATTGTAGAACAAAGACACAGCAGGGTATTTCTCTCTGACCACATTAGAGATGTAATTAAGCAGCGTCTGCGTCCGGTCTGTTGACTTGGTGTCCAGTAACTACACACACAAACACACACCATCACTGTTAATTAACGCCAATCAAACAAAAGAGAAGCTTTTATTGTGAAAGGAACTAAAGGCAATAGTGAAAATGAGCAGTGTGTTGAGTACTGGGCTTTTGAATTTTTACATTTAATGTTATGATTATCTGGTCCAAAAATAAATATATAAATCAGAGAAATAATGTCATCATGGTATTTAAAGACAACTTAAGAAAAACCATGAGCCAATTAAGAAAAGTCAATTAACGACCGTACGATAGCAATACAGAGAGCCACATGCTCAACCAAGACGCCACTCTATAGCCACAAATAATGCTCAGAACAGCACCTAACTTCATCAACAGTACATATAGGGTCCCAGCCATAGTATTAGCCACCAAACATCTTTTTAGTTTTGACTGATTTCTTTAGCAAAGAGACTAAACACAACTCACCAACTCGCTTCCAGCAGCCACTTGTTTGTACAGAGACCAAGGGTGAGTCCATTGATTGCAGCGGGGGGACGCAGCTCAAGGAAGAACATTTATCATCTTTACTTTGTCATTTCAGTTCTTCTGCCTTAGTGTCTCGGTCTGATTGCAATTCCACGAAGAAATGATCATAAATGTTCCCCCTTGAGCTGCGTCACCCTGTTGATTCAACATTCATCTCTTGTGGGGGAGTCTAACTGGGTGTTAGGCTATGGTGTGTTTGACCCTTACTCAATTTTACGCCGGAATATTCCTTTAATCAAAGACACCAAACTTTATTTTTAGAAGTTATTTGAAGGCAACATTCGTCTCCAAATAGACAAATGCTGAGAAAATGAAATATTATCAACAGTTGTCCACTGCATAGGTTTTTACTACTGTCACCTTAAATGATCATTTCACCACTGAAAATAAATCTGACTCTGCAAATCTGTTACTCGTCTGATAGGCAGACTTTTTGCCTAAATAATTATACCTATTAGAACTTAAATTAACTCTTAAACGGTGTAGCAAAACGAGTAACTAACACTCTTAATTTGTTATGCTTGTTATTCCTGCCCCTGTCAAAATGGCGGACACGCTAACGTGCCCTAGCAACGGTCCAACGCAGCTGACGCCGCATTCACACCTCTCTGCCTAACACCACAGTGAAAAGTCGCGTTTATTAGTGGTTTTGTGAGGTAAATTTGCATCGGCGCCGGTAAATGTTTTGATAATGTTTCCAAAAATGAAGTAAACAGGATGCTAGTTAGCCGGTCACTAACTCAACGTGATACTACAGAGATAAACTAAGAGGAAACGCGAGCAACCGGTGCAGTTCCAATGGCGTGTTTTTGTCTCAACAGAGCTGTCAGGGGTGAGGATGGTGAAATATCCACGGACTGAGTGAACTTGGTGAGTCATGCCTCTATTTGATATTGTTAAACATTATAAGGCTCCAATCTGAGATATATTTTCTTTAACTTGAGGTTAGCCAGAGCGGCTCTCAGGTGGCGCCACTAAAGAAGGTCCAAGGTAAATAAAGGAATAATTTGTTTCTACTGTTATATTTTAACTCTTTAGACATGATATGACTCTTTTTTTATTGACTCTCTGTAGTGGAAAAGTGAAAAATTACCCCCAGCTGGAGGTTTTTGGTGTCTTTCCACAATATTCCCCATATTTGGTCCCTTCTGTGGCACAAAAAAGGATGATAATGTGTTTGTTTGTTTGTTTGTTTGTTTGTGGTGTCTCACCAAGTCTAAACTTTGCAGTTTGAACCCGTACACAGCTCCTCTCTTACTGCTGTTCATGTAGTTTCCCAGAGCCAAGATAATCTACAACAGAGGGATAGAATTAGTGCACAAATAAAATACACCTGGTTATATATATGAGGTCTACTGCACATTCATAGACTTTATAATAACAGACAGGACAAAAGTAGACCAAGGTTTATAGTGCAAAGACAACATCTTATTCAGTATGTGTTCATATTATTATACTTAGACCAACCTCGAGGATCTTCTTGAGTTTCTGAGAGGACTTTATGGAAACTGAAGCAGCGATCATCGCATGAAGTTGCTGAAAATTGAACAGAAGAATAAGAAAAGTCCCTTTTCGTCAATCCGTCAATTCATCTCCCCACCCATCGCCATCGGTCTTACCGGGGTCAACATCTGAACATTGTCGCTGAAGTTGCCCATAAACGTCATGATGGACATGCGCTGGTTGAGTCTTTCAATGCGGCTGAACTGCATCATGAAGCGGTCTTCATCGCTCAGAGCCTCCAAAGGTTTTCTGTCCCGCTCGTATTGCCGTAGCAGTTTGACCTCAGCCTCTGTTGGCAGGAAACGCATCAGGCACTCCACAAAGTCGACCCGAACTGTTCGCAGATCGAACCTACAGAGACAGAAATACACCTTTTGGTTAAACCTGAACTGGCCTGACTGCGGCTGCAGGTTCTGGTGGTTCTTTTGGACTTACGAGTGGATGGCCCGACAGATGATCTCTGTCCCCTGGCCTGCTTTCCTCAGAGTGATGGCGAGGTTTTTGGCTCTGTTCGCTTCCAGCAGAGAAACTTTAGACGCAGCTTTCTGAGGAAGTTTCTGTCTGGACATTGTCAGGTCCACCGCTGGACCCTGAGCCTTGGTCTTAAAGAGCTCCTCAAAGCCCTCCATGTCTAGGTCCTGAAAAAAGACAAGTCATGTGAGCAGAGACATTTGAGAACATGAACAGATGAGCAGCCAGACAGGTAGTTGTACATTCGGCCCATAGTACCTGAAGGATTCCCTCATCATCAATGTCGTTGAAAACTGTCCCGTTGATCTGACTGGGCTTTAGAGCCACCCAGTTCAGCACCGGCATCCTGAACTTTGTCTGAATGGGTTTCTTAATCTTGACAGCTGTATCATAGAGACACACAGGTGAGCAAACAGACAGCTGACTGAACTTATCAACTGAATCAATGATCAATTTTTAGTTAATATTCTGTATAAAAACAGTAAAAACATGAAAGAAAGACAGAGGGTTAGATAACTATGAAGATAATGATCGTGATGATAACAATGGTGACAGTAATAGCAACAAATATTGTGTTGGTAATGAAGATGAAAAACAGTGAGGATAATATTGATCATTTCATCATCATAGAGATAATGATGATAATAATGGTGACATGCTTTTGATGATGATAGTGATGATAATTATTATGATGATGATCATGGTGATGATAGTTATTATGATGATGATGATGATATTGATAAAAAATTATTTTGATAATGGTGATGATTCATTTGTTGACGATGATGATAACGGTCAGGATGATAACAGTGGTGACAGTAATAGCAACAAATATTGTGTTGGTAATAAAAATGGAGACAGTGGTGAGGATAATATTAATCATTTCATCATCAGAGATGATGATGATAATGATGATGACATCATTTTGATGATGGTGATGATGAATTTGCTGATAATGATGATGATAATGCTTGTGGTGAATTCTTTGATAATTATGGCATTGCTGTTAAACATGTTCAAGCTGATGGTGATGATGATAATTATTATGATGATGATGATAAATTTGGTGATGATGATGATAATGGTTATGATGATAACAATGAGATACAATGATGATAATGATGGTGACATCATTTTGATTATGATGATGATGATGATGAATTTGTTGTTGATGATGATGATAATGGTTGTGATGATAACGATGAGATACAGTGAGGATAATGATTGTGACATCATTTTGATTATGATGATGATGATGATGGTGATGATAATCATTATGATGATGATGATGAATTTGTTGTTGATGATGATAATGGTTTTGGTAAGTTCTTTGATAATTATGACATTGATGTTAAACACGTTCAAGCTGATGGTGGGGATGATAATTATTATGCTGATGATAAATTTGTTGATGATGATAATGGATGTGATAATAACGAGATACAATGACGATAATGATGGTGACATCATTTTGCTGATGATGATGGTGATTATAATTATTATGATGATGATAAATGGTGATGATAATTGTTGTTGTGATTTCTTTGATAATCATGACATTGACGTGATTATGACAAGTTCAATCAAACGTTCAAGCTGATGTTGGGGATGATAATGACAATAACAATGACGGTGTTGTTGATATTGATCGTGATGACTATGACAATGACAATAATGGTCGTGATGGAGATTTGACCCTTTCGGGGACACCTACAGAATAACTTGAGTGGACCCTCTGTCAGCACAACGAAAGGGGAAAAAAAGGTTAGAACAGTTGTTGATGTGTTGGTACATTCCCTTGACGACCATTAATTGGGGATTGTGATTGGCTGGCAAGTGAGGGTCTACAGTCAGAATCTTGAATGCATCATTCAGATGATTAGTTGAGTCTCACCTGCAAGTCCCGAGGTGAAGATGACTGTCGGGGATCCTCCTGTACCCGGAAGAGGGGGCGCTACAGGGGGAGGAGGAGGGGGCATCGGGACACTGGAGGAAAGCTCGCTGGTCCTACAGGGAGGAGGGGGAGGAGGAGGTGGTGGAGGGGGAGCTGGGGGAGGAGGGGCAGGGTACGAGCCATTGGACACTTTAAAGAAGAGAACAGGAGGAATGAAGTTAGTGTCTCTCAGGCAGCTCAGGGAAATCATCTACTGATAGATCAGGCTGCTCACCAGGCATTGGTGGTGGAGGAGGGGGAGGGGGTGGGGCTGGCATCCCTGGAGCTCCGCCCATCCCTGGTCCCATGCTGTGGTAGGCTACAGTCTCAGGGCTACAGAAACCAATCAGATCATCAATAAATCAAACAACCCTTATACCTAAGTATCCAAGAAAAATTTTTGAGCAAGGAGGTCATTTATACTGATCCTTCTCACCTTGGGGACAGGTTAGGACAGGGTGGAGGTGAGGGGGAGGCAGAATCAGCCACTCCCCCATCCCCTTCCCCTCTCTGAGGCTGAGGGGCTCCTGGTCCTCCTGACTGCTGCGCCTCCTGTGCCTGGCGCTCCAGACGACTCTGACGCCGAATTGTCTGATCTTTCTCCCTAACCATCCGCCGTAAAGTGTGCACCTGAGTGTTGGCACTGGCGTACACGTCCTGCACAGGTGAGGGGGGAACACAAGGAGGATACAACCAGTGTGCATTTAAAGGGACAGTACAACATTTTGGGAAATACTGCTGTTGAAGACTATTTTTTTAACATCTCCTTTTGTAGCAGCAGGGTAATGTTTAAATGGTTTCAATGGCAACATTTACCCTAATGTGGTCCAGCTCCTTGTTGGTCTGCATCAGCTGTTTCTCCAGCTCCACAATCTTCAGCATCGCTTCGTTCTCCACATCGAGGAGACGCTCCGACATCTAAGGACAGAGCATGAGACAGGATATTAAAGCAGGTCGTCCGTCTATCTGTGCAGACCCATCCATGTAAAACTTGCCCATCTCACCGTGTTTAGATTCTCCTCCAGCTCCTCAACTCGCTCCAGAGCTGCCGTCTTTGTCTCCGCGTCCTCCAACAACGTCCCCACATCGAAGACGTTGTCCAGGTACGCCTGGATCTGGACCTGCAGCCTGTCGCTCTCAGTGTGCTTTAACCTCTGTTGAGACGGGTGAAGAGACAGAGACAGGTGGAGTGAGGATGTGAATTGCCATGTTATAATATTACCACGAGGGGGAGTAGGACGGCGGTAGAGTGGACAGCTCAAAAAGTGCTTTTCTCTGAGCGCTATATTTTAGTTTGCGGCTATTTTTGGCGTTTTGACAAAGCAGTTAACTCTCATGTGTGATTGGTCGGCAGCAGGCCATGATGTCACGGGTTACCTCCAGGTGTTCATCCAGGTTCAGTTTGGTGAAGTCATACTGAAGGTGGACCCTGAAGTTCATGTCCTCTACGGAGTGAACCACAATGTTGATGAACTGCATGCAGGCCACCTGTGGACAGTTACCATGGCGACAACAGACTCAGATTCTTTTGATCTCCACCAATTAAACATTGATTAGCTAAAGTGAAACGAAAGAAATATTACCAAGAAGTCGATGTTGTCGTCTTCGTTCTTAAAGTGTTCCATCAGCTTCTCGAAACGCAGCGACTCTGAACACACCTGCAACAGATGGACCAATCAGTCAGTCAAAACGTCCTCCAGCCTCTTCAGGTCGAGTTTTTGAAGTGTAAGCGTGAGTGTGTGTGTGTGTATGCAGTTGATGGGTGTGTGTGTGGTTGTTTACAGTCTTGAAATTGTCAAAGGCCGACAGGATGATTTCATGTCCTCCTCTGACCAAACACACAGCAGCCAACAGCTCCAACACCAGAGCTTTAGTCCTGAGAGAGGTCAGGTGAGACAGAGACAGGTAAGAGAGATAGCTATTCTGGTACCTGTTTTAGTACTTGTGTTAGTTCCTTTGTTAGTTCCCTATTGTTATCTGTGCTAGCAGCTCTGTTGGTACCTAAGTCATTTACTTAATGTGTTACTTTTCAGTTAGTTCATGTATTAGTACCTAGGGCTTAGACAATCTGCTTTTCCCCTTCTTTTTTTTTTGGGAATCGATTTAAATTGCGATTCTACGATGTTGTCGATTTTTAGTCAGTTGAATGATTATGATTGTCTGCTGACTATTCCAGGAACTATATTTCCCCAAAAATAAACATCACATATAAGTCAGATTTTATGATTTATTCCTAAATTGTTAAATTTGGGAAAAAAATTGATTTAAAAACTGTAAAACAAAAAATCTCGATACTTATGTGAATTGATTTTTTCTCCCACCCCTATTATTATTCTGTTGAATTTCTCTTCTGGGATCAATAAAGTTATTCTTATTCTTATTCTAATTAGTACATGTGTTATTTTTCAGTTAGTTCATGTATAAGTAACTAGGGCTTGGACAATCTGCTTTTCTCCCGATTCGATTCTTCTACCATTTTTTGGATGCCGATGGTTTTAAATTGCAATTCTATGATACTGTTGATTTTCTTGGTTTTTAGTTAATTGATTATGATTGTCTACTGACTATTCCAGGAACAATGTTTCCCCAAAAAATACACATCACATGTAAGTCAGTTTTTAAGATTTATTCTTAAATTTGAAAAAAAAATGATTTTTTCGTAAAAAAAAAAAAAAAAAAAGATTTTTTTGTAAAAGAAATCGATTTAAAAATTGTAAAACAAAAAATCGCGATACTTATATGAAGCAGTTTTTTTCTTCCACCCCTATTATTATGGCCTTGAATTTCTTTTCGGGGATCAATAAAGTTATTCTTATTCTTATTAGTATCTGTGTTCCAACAGGTGTTGACAACTGTATTAGTACCTGTGTTAGCACTTTAATTAGTCCCTCAATAAGCATCTGTACTAGAACCTATGTTTGTATCTGTTAGCACCTGTGTTCGTACCTGTGTTAGCACCTGTGTTAGCTCTTGTTCGATTACCTGTATCAGTTACTGTATTAGTATCTTTGCTATTCACTGCGTCAGTTTTAAAACCTGTGTTAGCCCCCATGGTTGTACTGACCTGGGGTTCCTGTTGTTGAGGCTGAGGGCGATTTCGTTAACGGCGTGAGGATGTGACATCACCATGTTGAATCCATACTGAGGAAGAGGAGGGGCAGATGAAGCTCAGATTAGACCTGATTTATGTTTAACTTGAAAATTAAAAAATCACAAGTGATGTTGTTACCTGGTAGTTCATGATGGCTCTCAGACACATGACACACACGTGAACATCGTCTTTCTTACAGACGAGTCGGGAGTTCTTCAGAGTCCGACGACTCGGCAAAGTGTTGGATCGAGTCACCAGAGTGGAACTACAAACATGGAAACGTCATGAGACCGGCGTCAGCTCTGGACAGGTGAGGTCCTCTCTTTGGTAAACAGTCTGTTTTTGTTACCTGATGGAGTGTCGGGCTGCTCGCGGCACAGAGGAAGAGGGGGAGGGGAGGCTGCAGTCACCATGGAGATCCTCTATAGATCGACTCCAGGGAGAGTCGATGGATGAGGCATCTCCTCGGTCCTCAGACTGCTCGCCATCAAACCTGAGCACAGAGAGCGGTTTCTCTGAAGTGTCAGTTTGATCATTTTTAGTGAAATATGCAAATTTAATCTAAAAATAAGAACAACCAGAAGCTCTTTTGAACTCTGGAGCTTAAATTTGATTCTCTCTTCTTGTTGTTACATAAGTTACACTTCTGTGGAGTTAAATTTTGACTTACGTGACGGCGTACTGCGCAAAAGACAAGTATTCAACAAGAACGTCGAGTCCTCGATTCTCTTCATTTAGAAACTCTCTGACCCATCTAAGAGGGAGAGAGAGAGAGTTTGGTGAACAGAGAGACCAGCTGATTCATACGAGACAGACCGCTCACCAAATATAGGGGGACAGGAGGTCAGATAGACGGGTACCCGATATGGTTTGTGCGGAGAGAAATCTCGAGCTCTCTGAGCACCTGAGTCGACTCTTGAACTCTTCTTCTGAACTTCTGCAGGTAGAAAGTTGGAGAACAACAGGTTATTTCTTTATCCAGACAGGTTTCTATCATCACTGTTGTAATCCCCCCCACCAACTACATTTCCCAACTCACTTTGCGAGTGACTGCCGGGTCTAGAAAGCCCCTCAGTTTCTGGATGTAGGTGTGTGGAGGGTTCTTCACCTGAAACCTCTCCTGCAGCACAGATACAAAATGGATCAGCTCAGGTTTAGGTCTCTCAGTTTGGAAATTTAAAGAGTTTTTTGTCGGCACAACTCACCTGGTCACAGATCAGCTCCCACTTCTTCTCGTTGTCGTAGGAACGCAGCAGGCGCACTTTGTCAGGAGGAAGGTTCATCGAATTCTGAAATCAAACACTTTTATCAACTGACTGAAAATCTGAAAAGAAAACATCGCAAATTTTCGAGCAGGAAAGTGGTGCAACTTTCAGGCGGAGCTCGAATCACAAGTTTTTCTGCCAGCTGTCCACACCCTACAACGACAAACAGCTTTTAACCACAAAACAGTCACCAAAACAGTCTACAGCCACAACCTACTTGCAGCTACAACCAACAGCCGTGAAAGCCTACAACCAAAAACTACAGCACCCTACAACTATGGCAATGTACAGCTGGAAATAAGCCACAAGAACCTACAAGTAAAAACAACTGACAGCCACAGACGGTTCAAGCCATGATGAACTGTAGCTACAAATACCCACAACCAAAAAAAGACCTACAAAAAACCTACAACCACAACTTTTTACAGACTTAGAAAAAACCAACAACCAAGACAAAAAAGGGCCAAAAAAACACAACTATGAAAATCTACAGCAACAACAATCTACAACCATGACAACATAGAACTGTTAAAATCTATCCAATCCAATCCACTTTATTTATATAGCACATTTAAAAAACTATTAAGTTTAGCAAAGTGCTGCACGGTGCAATAAAATAAGTTTAAAAATACCCAAACCATGAAATGTTAAAATAAAAGAATCATAATAAAAACCACATAAAAAAGAAAAAAAAAAAAAAAGGAAAAAGAAATAAAATAAAATAAAAACACTGTAAGAGAAAATAAAAAAACAAATAAAAGAACAGACAGAGACAGACCACTCAATTCTCATGCTGGGTTAAAAGCCAAGGAGTTAAAATAAGTTTTCTTGCGTGATTTTAAAACTGTTGAAGTTGGGGACAATCTAACATAAAGGGGGAGCTTGTTCCATAAATTTGGGGGTCGCTGCAGAGAAGGCACGGCCACCCCTGGTTCTTAGTCTGGTCCACAAGATGCTGCCATTCTGTAGACCCCAGAGACCTTGCAGGAGTTAAAACCTACATATGGCAAACTACAACCACAGCAACCTAACCTAACTCAACTCAAACTTTATTTATAGATCACATTTAAAAAATACAGGGTTGATCAAAGCAAATTCAAAGCAGCAGGGATGATGAAAGTGAGTGACCCATCAGCAGTTACAGTAAATAAAATGAATACTAAAATATAGAAACACAGTGATGTGAAATGAAATACAGTAAAACAGAAATAAAATAGATTAAAATTAAGTCAAATTTTTGCCACTTAAACTTGATTAAAAGCCAGGGAGATAAGGTGAGTCCTAAGAAGGGATTTAAAAAACCTCCAGGCAGACTTTAAGCAAAAGCAAACTACAGCCTTGAAACTCTTGAACCTTGACAACCTACAGCCACAATGTATAGTAACTCATATTTAGAGCCATGACAACCTAAACAACCGAAAAGAACAACAAACTGAGGCCAAGACCTGTACAACCTGCAACCCAACCACCTAAAGGCACAACTACCCACATCTGTATGAAAACTGCAACCAATGAAACCTCCATAGTAAGCACTGAGCCAGGAACAACGTAAACTCCAACAATCTTCAAACATGCCCTACCTTCAGCCATGACGAGTAACCATGGCAAAACTACAGCTATACTAACCTGTAGCTAACCAAACTATACACAAATAATGCATGATTAGAAAAGTAAAGCCTACAGCCACAACAACGTGTTACCATGACAACTAAGCCAAGAACGACAACCGTTAACGAGAAACCCCTACAGCAACAACAAATTCGAGCCACTGCCAAAACTACCAACAGCCACAATGAGCTACAACCACAACAACACACACTTTAAATACAATGTGTGTACAGAGTCTAGACTTCTCGGATCTTCATGGGTCTGTGACTCGTTCAGGGAACCACTTGCATGTGTCGCAAACCCCCATTTGGTAATCTGAAAAAAGTGTGTTAGGTAGAGCAGAGTCTCTGAACAGATCAAATTTGAGAGACTCGTTAAAGTTTTGAAGGTCTGCCAACAAGCTCCGCCTTCATGCACCTGATGACCCGAAGACCTCAGGGTTCCAGACAGTCACGATCAGGGATGTCGAATACTTGATTTTGCTTTTTTTCAACATAACATTTGAGTTACTGGAGTCTGCGATCCAGTCTCAAGGGTCCGGTGAAGTAACGCTGAGAGTTTCTGGTGGTCAGTTGGTCTTGACAATGGCCGACACATCAGCGCTGTGCATCAAATCAAGCCAAAGTACACACCGAGTCTCTGACTGTCTGCAGCTTTAACTCTGGTCGCTAGCCAAGGTGTCAAAGTTTGGGTTCGGTAAATGAAAATTAGACGAAAGTAGACGATTCATTATCACGATTTCATTACGAATCGTCAAGGAGTCTCCATTAGGAAAAAACTAACAATCCCCATCTCTAGACATAGTATTCTCAGAGCAGCGCCACCTTCAGGTTAGCTCATTAATGCGGGTGCATAATTAATGAGCAAACATCTGCAGAACTACAAACAATCCCATCAGCCCCAGCTGTGCTCTATAAGATTTTCTTACCTTGGTTATGTTAGCACGCTCAGGCGAAAGACAGAAGAAGAATTCAGCTTTTGTTCAACACTACCTTGTATTTTGTGTGTGTGGTTTCATTTGTGTGTGTGGCTTCATTAGTGTTTGTTCATGCGTGTGTGTGTGTGTGTGTGTGTGTGTGTGTGTGTATGTGTGTGTTGTGCGCTCACCAGAGCGATGGAGAATCTCTCCTCCAGCTCAGCCGGGTCGGGCATCGGCAGTCGAACCGGGGCGGCTCTGGACCGGATCACGGCCAGCTGGCTCTCCATGCTCTCGGCGTTCCCCATCACACACACACAGATCCCACACACTCACACACATATATAAGAAACCCACTGCGAACACACCCACCTGCAGACACGCACACTCAGCACACACACAGCAGCAGGAACATGTGGTCGGCCATCACAGACAGGCGGAGAAGCTGCTAAAGGCCCGTCTGTCTCCCTCACATGTGTCTGTCTTTCTGTCTCCCTCGTCCTCCCTCTCTCCCTCTCTCTCTCTGTCTCTCTCTCTGTCCGTCAGCCTCTCAGATCCTCTCCTGTCCCTCCCTCTGTCCGTCTCTTTGTCTCTCACCGTCGTCGCCGCCGCTGCCGCTGCTGCTGCTGCTGGTCCTGATGATGATGATGATGATGATGATGCTGCTGCTGATCCAGATGAAGGCTCTCCCTGATGGCGTGTCGGTGTGTTTATATGAAATGTGTGTGTGTGTTGTGTGTGAGCGCGTGCGGCAGATCAGCCGGTTAATCCTCCCCCTCTCCTCCCCCACATGAAGAAAGAAAGAGAGTCTCCCTCTCTCCCTCTCTCTCTCCTCTTTGTCTCTCGCTCGCCCTTTCTCCCTCACTCTCTCTCTCCTGCAGCTGCAGTCTTTGTCTAGCTCGCTCGACCCTCCCTTCTCCCTCTCTCTCCCCCGCCTCCTCAGACAATGAGCCTTCTGCTGCCACAGACCCCCACCGCCCCCCTGCACACACACTCACGTATACACACTCTCAAAGAGGGGGTGCAGAGACAGAGAGGAGGTGGATAATCTGATCCTGGATCAGCTGCTTTCATATGCACAACTCTGAATATAACAATGATAATAATAATAATATTTATATGAATATTATTCATATTAATATTATTATTATGGATCCTTTGGTTTATTATCTCCAGCTTCAACTCCAGCCCAGCAGGGGGCAGCGATTAACAGCAGAGGTGCATTCTGACAGGAGGTGATAAGAAAGAAAAGACAGGTAAGAGGGAATTTTTTTATTTTACATGTTTCATTTTATTTTGGGGCTTTTTGTGCTTTTATTTTGAAAGATCAGACCCACTCTTCTTACATTTTTAACCACGTGAGTAAAACGCTTTGCAGCATTTAAAGTTACATTGGAGAGGAAGAACTTCCTTTAAAGGGATATTCCGGCTTAAAATTAACTTAGGGTCAAACACACCGAGTTAGACACCTCTTCGAGAGATGAATGTTGCCGACTGCTACCTTCTCTAGTTATACCAACTTTAGTAACGACCGCACAATAGCAATACACAGAGCCATGCACTCAACCGAAACACCACTCCATAGCCACAAATGATGCTTAAAACAGCACCTAACTTCATCAACAGGACATATAGGGTCCCAGCCATAGTACTAGCCACCAAACATCTTTTTAACTTTGCCTAATTTCTTTAGCAAAGACACTAAACACAACTCACCTACTCTCTTCCAGCAGCCACTTGTTTGCAGTGGAGTTTCGCAGCTCAAGGAAGAACATTTATGATCATTTCTTCATGGAAATGTAATCAGACCGAAACGCTAAGGCAGAAGAACTACCGCGTCTGCAGGGCAAAATGATTAATATGATGATTATTACTTCAAGGAAATGATATAGAAATGATAATAAATGTTCTTCCTTGTGCTGCGAAACTCCACTGCAAACAAGCGGCTGCTGGAAGAGAGTAGGTGAGTTGTGTAAAGTCTCTTAGCTAAAGAAATCAGGCAAAGTTATAAAGATGTTTGGTGGCTAGTTCTATGGCTGGGACCCTATATGTCCTGTTGATGAAGTTAGGTGCTGTTCTGAGCATTATTTGTGGCTATAGAGTGGTGTTTTGATTGAGTGCATGGCTCTCTGTATTGCTATCTGCGGTCATTATTAGAGTTGGTATAACTAGAGAAACAAGCGGTCGGCAACATTCATCTCTCAGTGAGGTGTCTAACTCAGTGTTACGGTGTGTTTGACCCTAACTTAATTTTACACAGGAATATCCCTTTAACAGGCAGAAACCTCAAGCAGAATCAGACTCATATTAGTTAGAAAGGAACTCGCCCAGTTAGCCAGCAGTCTAACCCTACAGCAGCATAACTTAGAGCTGGATCAATATTTGTAGTCATAGGAGTTCATAATCCAGTTCAAACATCAGAAGCTGGATCTCCTTGGATCATCTCTGTATTGTCTTTCTGTGTTTCCTGGATGCTGCAGCCCAACAGGATGGACAGCAGACCGGCCAGCAGGTAGAAGAAGACGGCGGCTGGAGCGAGGAGGAATGAAGGGCCGTGCTGGATGCTGAGGTGGAAGGAGGGACAGGAGGAGACCGTCTGGTGGAGGGCGAACTGCTCCAGAGTGTCCAAAACCTGGACCCACATCAGGTACATGAGCACCACTGCGAAGAGACACACACCTGAGAGACAGACAGACAGAGGCCCACATTAAGATCAGGTTCATACAGAGTTATTAATGTTGTGATCTACTTTCTCCTTACCGCTGCTGAGCTGTAGGGCCCCACCCACTTTGTAGAGCTTGTAATTGGCTGGCGGTCCAGCGCAGACGAGGACAAACGCACCAATAAAGGCTGACATTAAACCGACAACCAGGAAAATACTCCAGAAGGTCCTGAAAACTGAACAACACATGAGAAATTCAGGTATGTGTAAAAAAGAAAATCAATTAAAGCAGAATTTTTCATATGTTAGAGAAGAAAACAAACCAATGGCTGAGCTGTGTTCAAACGCCTCTGACGGCGATCCACGAGGCTCTGCCCATGACGGCTCATAAACAGGAAACGGGAAGAGGAAGGCAGCCTGGCATATCTTTGATGAAGGCTGATTGGCTAAAAGAGAGCACAACAGATCTGTAAGATACTGCTGTGACCCATCAGATAAATGTATAACAGCTGCTGAGTGAAGGTTCGTACAGATCCAGAGATCCAAGATAGAAAATTCTTCAGAATCAGCGGTGAAAGAGCAGCGCCAGAAGAGCCCTTCATGAAAGATCCTCACACTGTCTGGAGCCTGAGTCAGAAAACATACACATTGAGTCGAGTAGATTTGAAAGGGTCTACATCCTATATCTATGTTTATGTTTTTATTTATTGAGTATAAAGAAGCAGAAACCAGGAAGACAAAGTCTGTACCTCTGGGTTTACCTTCACCAAATACAGAATAAATGCACCTTCTTGTTTTTTTTCCATCTTTATCCAAAAATTCACCTTTTTCCAGAAATATAAGGACCACAAAAAAAAAAAAAAAAAAAATTCAAGTTTAAGGGCCCGTGTCCATTGAAGTCACTTTTTGCACTGATACTGTAAGGGCACGAAGCATTGATTGTGTTTGGAAAATAAGTTTTGTAATATTAATGCATTCAGTAGACACAGGCCCCGATATTTCAATTTATAATATTGGCCCTGTAATGGTCTTAATCTGAAGGTTCATTCTTGAAAAAAATATATGAAAAACGAAAGAAAAAAAACTTTAGAAGAGTTAGGGCCCGAGTCCACTAAAAGCATTTTTTAGCTTTTAAAGTTGTAAGGGGACAAAGCACTGGGATGGACACTCTGCATTGATTTGTTTGGAAAATAAGTGTTGTCAGTGCAATATAAATGCATTCAGTGGACATAGGCCCTTTTTTCTTAATAATATTGCATTTTTTTTATTGATGCTGTTATTGTCTGAAGTTGAAAATTAAACTTTTTTTAAGAAATATTGGGAACAAAACAAAGTTTACTCAAAGTGTCAGGGCCTGTGTCCACTAAAAGCATTTTTGTTACAAGTCATTTCTTGGCTTTTCTATATCCTTTACCATAGTCACTTAATTCTGCTTTACAATTATATGTGTGGTTACTGTTGCTTTAATTTTAAAGGAACATTGCCAAAAATATATAAATAAAACAGAGAGGAAGTAGTTTTTGACCTGTAGTTTACCCTTTAAAAAAAATTTCTATTTCTGCTTTATCATTGTTGTTGACCGAGTCAGTATTAGGAGTCCTGCCCCCTGTTTAAAACTGATTGATTGGTCATTAAGATGTGGTGTTTCATGGGTTAAAAGCTTTTTAACTTTGTTACTAAAACATCAGATTTTCCGGTTGTTTAAGTAGAAGCGACACAAAGCACTGGGGTGGATGGTCTGCACTTGTTTGGTTTGGAAAATGGACACAGGCCCTAACTGTTCTTTATAATATTGCAACTTTTCAGTAGCACTCTAATTGTCTTAATCTGAAAATTCTATTTTTTCTAGAAATATTAAGAAGGATTATTGTAATTATTATAACTAATACATTATTATTAAATCATAAAACCTAAAAGTATTAGGACCTGTGTCCACTAAAGGTGTTTTTTACACATATAAAGCCAGATACTACCTCACAAGTACTCAGTGTTTTAAGTCAGCACTTGGCATATCTACATTTTCCACTCTTGACAGTCAAGTACTGACATTTTAAGTGACATTTAAAGCAGACTTAAGTCCACCCCTTTCATTTGACCCACTTACTGGTTTATTTTGATTCATTTGACCTTTATTTTCATGTACCTGCTCCAAAATAACAAACAACTTACCTTGCTGCTTGTCTCCCCCTCTCTCTGGCTGCAGGTCTCAGAAGCCAGCAGCCAGTACTCTGTCCCACAGGAGAGCAGCGTTAACAGAAACCCGACTGCTCCGAAGAACAACGCCAAGAAGACGAGTACCTTTAACCTCTCAGCTGGAGTCATATCCTGGATTTCTTTGTCGTCTACATACGTAAACTCTTATTTTTTACATTTCTTTAGCATTTTCCTTCATGCTAACTACAAATTAAAGGTCTTACATGGATAAAACTTCAAAATAAAACTGACCAGGGAGAGAAACAGGAGTTAGCGGACAGCAATGCCCTGCCGCACTGACTAGTGAAATGAAAATAGCTTTGGCTTCGTGGATGAGGGGGGTTGGGTTACAGGAGCATTTCACTCTTACTAAAATAACATAAAGGCATCAATGGTATCCACTCTGACCTCAAGTTTGAACCCGAGAAGAGCAACAAAAAGAAATGACAAGTGTAGAAAGAAAATACCTCCTTGGCATTTATTTGGAATGCCGGCATTGAGATCCAGATTTGGTACAGTACAAGGCTATCCAGTAAAACTGAGATCTAGGCAACAGTGATGGTCCAACAACAGTCGTTCAAACTGCATCTTCATATATTAATACAATTTTTTTTTTTTGTTGTTCCAGAGATGATTAATACAAATAAAAAAGTGAAAGAAAAAACCTGGGAAATATTTATTTGAACAAACATCTGAGTATTTATTTGAAATGTTCAAATAATTATTTCTTCCAGCGAAATAAGAAAAGAAGGAATGGTCTGAATGTCTCGTGGATGATTTTCTTTTTTTTTTTTCTCCTTTAATGCTTGAAAAAAAATCCTTTTACTCAACGTTTTTGTGGAAAATAATGAAGCTAAGACCTTCCCGCATCTTGAAACAACCGTTATTATTTTTAGAGAACATAATATACCGCGAAAACCCCCACCTATATACACAGAGAAGTGCAGAGAAGTTTATACAGGACTCCTGTTGATTAATGAAACATGAAACAACCCTGTGAGGATATTAGAAGAACATATACGAGGCACGCAGAAATGAAAGATTGATCACCTATTATGAACCTACTCGCAGTAAACTTTGTATCTGAGGACCCTTCGAGCTCAGTTCTGTTTGTTCCCTCCGGGACGTTTTGCCGCTCTTTTTATCGGCAGTTTGTTTTGGTCCACTGTCCCCTCGATTCAGAATGACAAGTGCGTCAGGAGCATCCGTGCAAAGGCTCATGGGACTTCCACAGCATGTGAGGTCTCGTAGCGCCCCCTCCTCCTCCTCCTCCTCCGTCGGCCCTAAGACATGACTCCGAAGACGGGGTTGTGGCGGCAGATACTCGGGCCGATCTCCTCATAGTCTTTCTTGGTGTGGCACACTTGGTAGAACTCAGGCTGAAACACGAAGAAAATGAGAAATAAGAAAAAAATGTGGGGTAAAAATTCTAAAATGTGACTTTTTTAGTTTGTTTTTGTTGGAATCGTCTTTACAAGCTTATACGGACAGTCGTAGACGGGCTGTATGAGTCAGCTGACTTGACTGCTCTGATACTCACTGTAGATGCCAGCATTGATCCTCCGAACCAGACGGCGTACCTCTGCATGTGGTGAGTGATGACCTGAACGTCGATGGGTTTGGGCTTTAACAGGAAACGGAGAGAGAGTGAGTAACTTTCATCTTCATGGCGCTATATCTGTTTGGGTGTTTCATGCGCATCTATCAGCTGTAGCCCAAACAGAGAGTAAAAAAAGTCCACACGGTTCCTCACCTTTAATTTCCCGCCGCTCAGCTCTTCGCTCATCTTCAGCCGGGCGTCCACAGTCCTCTTCAGGTCCCTCTGTAGGCGTCTGCCGAAGTCCCTGAACATGGTGGAGCCGCCGGAGAGAACGATGTTCTGCGAGGACAGGATGAAGTAAAATATGAAGACAAAGATACAAAGTAAGTGAAGCGGCTGAGGAGGTGTTTGTGTGTTTGTGTGTGTGGATACCTTGTACAGCGGACGCCTGACGTCAATGGGGCAGTTCTGGATGACCTCGTCCACCACCTCTGAGATCGGCTGGGTGAAGTCCGGGTTGGCGAACTGGGAGGAGAGAGTTTAGTTTAGTTAGAAAAGCAGGAAAAACTCACTGATCCTGAGGAGCTAAAATCTTAACGTGACGTATTATGTCTCTGAACCTCGGGGTGGAAGAAGATCTCAGGCCCCAGGAAGCGCTCATAGCCCACGTCGATGGTGAACTCCTTCTTGGTGATGGCGTTGATTCCCGTGTACTGTTTGATCCACTTGGAGCCGTCCGTGTCGTACTTGTTGAACTCCTTCACCAGGTCAGGGCAAACGTAGCTGAAGCGCTCCTGAAACAACAACGGTCCAATACAAGTTTAATCTTCCAGCTTTAAATGCAAAATGATCTTCTTGGTGATTCAGTTCTTTAGCTGCACTGACCTCTTGTGGCCAAACTGAGAAATGCACATCAGGGGCTTTAAACTCTGGGGGAGATTTTTACCCACCTTGACCGCTTTAGCCGTCTCCAGCGACTGCTCCGGAGGAATCCCCACCTCCCTCTCCCTCAGCAGCTGCTGGGTGAAGTACGTGATGTCTCTGCCGGCGATCGGGATGTGCTTGATGCAGCTGCCGATGACGTAACCTTCAGCCTGGAAATCAAAAAAGAAAAGAGTTCGTAAAGAAGAGGACAAACTTGAAAGGAGATGATCTTGAAGAAGAGATGCCTACCACAGGGATGACGTGCGTGACTCCATCTCCGCTGTCGATCACGGTGCCCGTCAGGGTTCGCTCTCCTACCTGCCGGGACGTCCAGGAGGCAGCGAGTGCCAGGACAGCCTGATAGAGACGATTAAGAGTTCAAAAACAGCTCTGAGGCACAGAATGAGCCCCTCACTCTGTGGTGATAGTCTAGATTTTAAGAATAGTGACTCACATCGAGTGGAAAATGTCAAAAGAAGAAGTGAAAACTCGCATTTCCTCATAGAAACTGTGAATGTCTTCATATCCTGGGAGTAAAAGTCTGAGCTAAATTTAAACACCGGGTTGTCGTCTGGTTTTAGAGGTTCTCTAAATGTCACTTGAAGCTGGTGGGATGTTTCAGGCTCGTACCTGCACAGCGATGTAGAGACCCGGCACGTTGAAGGACTCAAACATGATCTCTGCCGTGTACTCTCTGTTTTCTGGTGTGTTGAGAGGAGGCTCTGTCTGTGGAGAGAGAAAACAAACACAAAGATGAGACGAAACGAGACACATTTACAGGATTATCTTTGATGATATATTTGAGTGTCCACATATTAGACTTAAACGCTCCGGTCTCACCAAGAGAAAGTAGTGGTCTTCAGGTTCTGCCCGCAGATACTTGAAGATAATCTGCTCCATGAATCTCTCCATCAGGTCCCAGTCCTCCACAATCCCATGGCGGATCGGCCACTAGAAGACAAAGAGAGAGAGAGGGAGTGGGTCAAACTCGGTCTTCAGCTTCATGAAGAGGGTCCTGAATTCATCACAGACCTTTGTTGAATATGAGGGTTTGTCGATGGCTTCATCCCCAATGTAGAAGTCCAGGTCGTCGACACCTCTCATCATCCTGCGCTGGGCCTGATCTCCCACCTTGGCGGACTCTTTGATTGCAATACCTGGAGGTTAAAGTGCAGAAGACAGTTTTTACATTTGAGGAAGTGAGTATATTTATCAACTAGGGTTGCAAAGTTGGAAACTTTCCATGGGAACTGGTGGGAATAAATCTTGAATTTACAAAATTGAAGGTTGGCCCTCGACAGGGAACTTAAATATAGATGGGCAAAATATATTGTAGCATAATATTGGCTAAAACAAACAGATTTAATGCAAGTACATTCCTCCATCACATGCACAGATGATTTCTTGAATCCTGGAGGCCACACTTTTGAACCCAGACCACAAGACATTTGAGCCCATAGACTAAATAAAGTCAAGAAAGTTTTGATAATATTATGGGGTAAATAAAATTTGATCTATAATAGTATTAACTATTGAAACTTGAATAAAGCAAATTTTGATTTTGGGGCCCTCTATTTCTGCCAATAATATTGATTGTTGATCTTTCACACACTTTCACAAACCTCTTTGATTAACATCCCAGGACATGTAAATAAACCTTTATCTCTGTGGTTTTTTCTATTCTTCCTCTTTCTTTTCTCTGTCCTTTTTTGCAACATTGTTTTGCCCCACAACTACCTGTTCTTTGGACGCTCAGTGCACATTGCACAGCAGAAGGCACATAACGGTAGCAGAGCTTTGACATATCGACAGTTAGAATCGTAGGCCTACATCAGCAGCACTAAAATGTTTTTACTGTGATTTTATTTTTACAATAATATATCTTGAATCATCCTGAAAGCATCACTCACACATACAATAAATGACACAAACTATGACATTTTTTTATCATACTACACAATGATATTTTTATATTATACTATTATATGACTTCTTTATCATACTAAACGATAATGACATTTTTTTATCATACTATACTAAGACGTATTTTTTTATCATAGTATACTATGACATTCTATAATTTTATACTATGACTTTTTTGTATCATACTGTACTATGATATTTTTATAGCACTCTTTAATCCTCCTTCATAGTTGCCATGTTAGAAAGTCAAGCCGAAAGTTAATTCTATTTTTATTTTTTTACCCATTTTTACGCCTTCAATAGCTTTATTGCAGTCTTGAAAGTGTATCGCTCCAAAAAGCTAAGCCTAAAGCACTCTAGACGCCTCCTCTATTGTTGCAGTACACTACAGTTTGTTTAAATTACCCCCAATTTCCAGTTAATTCCCATAAATTCCCATAATTCCCATTGAAAGTTTCCAATTCGGAATATTTCCAAAATTCCCAAGCTTAACTTCTACTGGAAAATCTCTGGAAATTAACCACAAATTTACCAGAAAATTTCCACCCCTTTTCAATTTTCATACCTCATTTATCCCACTGACTTATCCTCCATCTCATACAACCACATTCACCAACTTTGTAAATATACATATACATATATTGTGTCCTTATTTTACTGTATTCCCTCAGTACTATTGTATGTTTTGTCTGTACCCCCTTTGAGTCGAGAGGTCTTCTTATCCAGGTCATTTCATCTCACTCTTGACCTTGTCTAACATGCACATGATAAATAAACAAATCTTGACTCTACAAACCCTTAAATAAACGATAATAACTCGTTTTTTCTGCACTTACATGACGGGATGATGAACTGTGGCTCTGTATTCCCTGCATATCCAAGCTTTGTGTACCTAAAAAAGCAGAAAAATCAGATTAAAACTGATGAAAATCTTTGCACTTTGATAAGAGCAGGAATAAAGTGATAAAGGTGTTTTTGAAGTGAGGCTCGCCCAGGAAGTGATTTTAGCTGCAGATGCTAACAGCAATGATGAAGCAGAAATCAACTAAACTAAGGAAATGTTGTGTTTTAAAGTTAATTTATCACATTAATTAAAGATTTGATAGTGGTATTACATTAACACAGAGGTGAATGAGCTCCTCTCTCTCACATAAACGGGGCGTTAGCTGAAGTTTGACAGCCGTTCAATGAAAAGCTAATAAAGCTAACAGCTCATAAATCCTCACCCTGTACCACAGTCCACAACACAAGCCGGTAACCGACCAGCCATGTCTGCTCTCCTTCAATCTGTCTGCAGGTGAAGCTTTCACGACCCCGATACGAGCGGATCTCCGAATTAATCCCCGATTTGGACCGCAGCAGCCTGAATGAGAAGAAGCAGCTCGGCCGATGGAGGAACGCTTCCGGGTTTGAGGGAATTTCTTTCAGTGCAGAGTCAGCAGCTTTGACGGAGAAACACCGCCCCCCTGTGGGCAGAGGGCGTAACTGCGGGCGACTACTGTTGTAAACGCGAAAGAGGCGGTAATGTGCCCGATTCCAAGCTTTTTTAAAATCCTATTAAAAAAACATAAACTTTGACATTTTTATATCATACTACACTATGACATTGAACACTATACTCTGACCTTTTTTATCACAGTATACTCTAACATTTTAATTTCATACTACACTATGACATTTTATATCATACTATACTATGACATTTTTATATCATACTATACTATGACATTAAATCATATAATATGACATTTTAACATCATATTAAACTGTCTTTTTTAATTAACTATACTATGAATTTTTATCATACAATACTATGACATTTTTATATCATTTTTATATAAGACTATACTATGAAATTTTTTGTCATTTTATAGTATGGCATTTTATCTTATCTTAATATTCGGATTTAATGTGTCTTTCTTTTCATACTATACTGTGACATTTAACACTTTAGTATGACATTATACTATGACATTTTTTTACATACTATACTATGACATTTTTATATCATACTGTACTTTCATATGATATTATACTATTTTTTTTAATCATAATATACTATGAAATATTTGTCATACAATACTATGACATTTTTATATCATACTATTCTATTACATTCTATCATTCTATATAATGACATTTTCGTCAAAATATAAGTCATTTTTTGTCTTCATTTTACTATGACATTATGTTATACAATGATATGACAGTTTCATATCAAATTATACTATGTCTTTACTGTCATACTATACAATAAAATTTTTATTATAGAATACTATGACTTTTTTTTCATATTGTACAATAAGATTTAACACTTTACTATGACACTTTACTGTGACATTTTCATCATACTATACTATGACATGATCAGACAGTACTATGGCATGTTTTTTCATGCTAAAATCTGAATTTTTTTTTCACCTGAAAATCTGAAATTTTGGTCATCCTATACTATGACTTTTTTTTCGGGCTTATATATGAATTTCTTTTTCATCCTAAAAGATGACATTTCTAACATCCCTCAATATGGCATTTTGTTGAGACTACACTGTGGCTGTGTCTCATTTCAGAGACCGCATCGACCTAAGTGCCCTTCTGCACCGTCGAACGGTGCATTTGAAGTGTGCATGACGTCACGACGGTGCGAACGGTGTCCCGTTTGGCACGAGATGCTAAAAAATGCTAAGCGCGCTTAGCATGTTTTCAAGCGTGCATTTATCCACGCTTTCGTGCCGTCGGTATCCCAGAATCCTTTGCGTGCCGCTGCACAGCTGCGCATTTCAGGTGAGAGGCTGGACTCGCTTGGAGACGCAGCGCGTCTTCAAAGAAATTACAAGCAATCCAAAAACAGCAGACAGTCAGCTCAGGCTGTATGAGAGCATGATCTCTGAACTCACTAAAATCTGTTAACCAAACATTATAGATTTAGAGACGAACTGATCCGCTCTGCTTCAACAATCAAAAACATTAGAAATAAGAAAGCTGACAAAACTACAGCAGAGTATCAGGACAACATTGAGGTTTTTTTCTTTTAAGATTTAGAGATTAAAGTTGTAAATTTAGGAGAATAAAGTCATAAAGTAAATAAAGTCATAAAGCTGCTTTTGTGGAGGGGGAAATGACTGAAGCTGGTCATCTGCAGGGTTATCTGTGGATGTATCAGCGGGTCATTAAGAGATTTTGTGGTTTCTGAAGAAACAATCAAACTGATGATGATCAACATTTGTGATCCAGAGGGAGTCGAGCTCCGACGAGCACCACGTCTCTGACACCGGCCGTAGCCTACACCTGCAGAGACACCAACACCTTATTACTGCATATGGATTCATATCATAAATTAAAGCTCAATGTCATTCACGGATATTTACGGCTGCATTGACAGATATATCCTCAGCATATTCATTTCTGCCTCCACAAAAGCAGCGATTTCCTTCAAGTACACCATTTTTTTTCCCCGTGGAAAAGACGTATTTCTCATATATTCTTTTTTTAAAGTCTTTATACTTATGACAATGTGATGCTGATGTGCCAGAGGATGAAGTATCTCCTATCCTCCTTCTCAATAGGGCCCTCATACTCCTTCATACAAAACAATCATTGGATTAATTTTGTGGGAATGATCTGTGCTTGTATGTATCTACTATTTTGTTTCTGTGCAAGGTCGCACAATTAAAACAATACATGCTGCGCTCCGCAGCTTTTTTTCTAATCAGTCGTGACGTAAGCCTGAGGGCGGGGACATTTGGAGACCTTCGGAGGACTTCCTGGGGGAGTTGCCAAATGTCCCCGCCCTCAGGCTCGCGTCACGACTGACTTAAAGGAAACCCGCGGAGCGCAGCATTTATTGTTTTAATTGTGCGACCTTACACAGACACAAAATAGTAGATACATACAAGCACAATTCATCCAATGATTGTTTTGTAAGAAGGAGTATGAGGGCCATATTGAGATTTAAGACTTTAAGGACTTCGAGATTTAAGTCGTGAATTTACGAGAATAAAGTCATTAATTTATGAGAATGAAGTCATAACCTGTTATTTCAGAGAGACTTGTTAAAATTAGGGCCATGAAGCATTTGAAGGAACTGTGCTTCAGTATAGGTTTCACAAACAAGGAGATTCTTCATCCTCTGGCACATCAGCATCACATTGTCATAAGTATAAAGACTTTAAAAAGAATATATGAGAAATACGTCTTTTCCACGGGGAAAAAAAATGGTGTACTTGAAGGAAATCGCTGCTTTTGTGGAGGCAGAAATGAATATGCTGAGGATATATCTGTCAATGCAGCCGTAAATATCCGTGAATGACATTGAGCTTTAGTTTATGATATGAATCCATATGCCGTAATAAGGTGTTGGTGTCTCTGCAGGTGTAGGCTATGGCCGGTGTCAGAGACGTGGTGCTCGTCGGAGCTCGACTCCCTCTGGATCACAAATGTTGATTATCATCAGTTTGATTGTTTCTTCAGAAACCACAAAATCTCTCTTAATGACCCGCTGATACATCCACAGATAACCCTGCAGATGACCAGCTTCAGTCATTTCCCCCTCCACAAAAGCAGCTTTATGACTTTATTTACTTTATGACTTTATTCTCCTAAATTTACAACTTTAATCTCTAAATCTTAAAAGAAAAAAAAAACCTCAATGTTGTCCTGATACTCTGCTGTAGTTTTGTCAGCTTTCTCATTTCTAATGTTTTTGATAGTTGTAACACAGCGGATCAGTTCGTCTCTAAATCTATAATGTTTGGTTTACAGATTTTAGTGAGTTCAGAGATCATGCTCTCATACAGCCTGAGCTGACTGTCTGATGGTTTTGGATTGCTTGTATTTTCTTCGAAGACGCGCTGTGTCTCCAAGCGCGTCCAGCCTCTCACCTGAAATGCACAGCTGTGCAGCGGCACGCAAAGAATTCTGGGATACCGACGGCACGAAAGCGTGCATACATGCACGCTTGAAAACGAGGCGGGGGTAGTGTGGTTTTGAGACCGAATTTGAAGCGCGCTTAGTATTTTGTGCCAAACGGGACACCGTTCGTGCCACGTGGTGACCTCACGTACGCGTCAGATGCGCCGTCCGATGGCTGCTGTATCTGAAATGGGACACAGGAAGGGCACAGAACGGCGCAAAACGGCGTAAAACGGCTAAAAACGGCAGTGCACTCAGCTAAGCGCCGTTAAGCGCGCTTATCACGATGCGGTCTCTGAAATGAGACACAGCCTATGGCATGTTTTTTCATCCTAAAATCTGAGTTTTTTTTTTTTTTTCACCCTAAAATCTGAAATTTTGGTCATACTATACTATGACTTTTTTTTTTTTCGGGCTCATATATGAATTTCTTTTTCCTGCTAAAATATGACATTTTTTACCTTCCTATACTATGGCATTTTGATGAGACTACACTATGGCATGTTTTTCCATCCTAAAATCAGATTTTTTTTTTTCACCTGAAAATCAGAAATTTTGGTCATACTACTAAGACTTTTTTTTGGGGGACTAAGATATAAATTTCTTTTTCCTGCCAAAATATGACATTTCTAACATCCCTCACTATGGCATTTTGATGAGACTACACTATGGCATGTTTTTTCACCCTAAAATCTGAAATTTTGGTCATACTATACTATGACTTTTTTTTTTCGGGCTAAAATATGAATTTCTTTTTCCTGCTAAAATATGACATTTTTTACCTTTCTATACTGTGGCATTTTCATCAGACAATTCTATGGCATGTTTTTTCATCCTAAAATTTGAATTTTTTTTTCACCCTAAAATCTGAAATTTTGGTCATGCTATACTATGACTTTTTTTTGGGGGCTAAAATATGAATTTCTTTTTCCTCCTAAAATTTGACATTTCTAACATCCCTCACTTTGGCATTTTGATGAGACTACACTATGGCATGTTTTTTCACCCTAAAATCTGAAATTTTGGTCATACTATACTATGACTTTTTTTTTTCGGGCTAAAATATGAATTTCTTTTTCCTGCTAAAATATGACATTTTTTACCTTTCTATACTGTGGCATTTTCATCAGACAATTCTATGGCATGTTTTTTCATCCTAAAATTTGAATTTTTTTTTCACCCTAAAATCTGAAATTTTGGTCATGCTATACTATGACTTTTTTTTTTGGGCTCATATATGAATTTCTTTTTCCTCCTAAAATATGACATTTCTAACATCCCTCACTATGGCATTTTGATGAGACTACACTATGGCATGTTTTTTCATCCTAAAATCTGAATTTTTTTTTCACCTGAAATTCTGAAATTTTGGTCATACTATACTATGACTTTTTATTTTGGGACTAAAATATAAATTCCTTTTTTCTGCTAAAATATGACATTTCTAACGTCCCTCACTATGGCATTTTGATGAGACTACACTATGGCATGTTTTTTCATCCTAAAATCGGAAATTTTTTTTCACCCTTAAATCTGAAATTTTGGTCATACTACTATGACTTTTTTTTTTGGGACTAAAATATGATTTTTTTTTTCCTGCTAAAAAATGACATTTCCTAAACTGTGGCATTATGATCGAACTACAGTATGGCATGATTTTTTATACTAAAATTAGATTTTTTTTATTCACCCTACAAACTGAAATTTTCGTCAGACTATATGTTATGGCCCTGGCCTTCTGGAACCAGGGCCGTACATGATTAAGTGCCCCGCTTTTCCCACTCCCAAGAACCAGCCAATGATGAGTTTTTAGATTCACAGAAAAGGCAGTTTTTATTCACTTCAGAGAAGAGCGATGCCAACACAACAAACAAAACAGTGTAATCAAGGACCCTAACCTACCTTTAATATAATGAATGTAGAACAAAAGATGACAGATAACCTCCTAACCAAGAAACAGGAGAAAACAAGATAGAAAACAAAATGGCTTCTCCCTCCTACATCTGCCACTATATCCTAAAGTAAAATATTCACCATTACATTATCTCTGTACTCCCAAGGCTAAGCAAAAATACTTCACATTGACTGCATGGACTGGTGGTTGGAAATGGCAAGGGCCAGAAGGGGGCTGGAGGATGGCATCAGGTGGTTTGAATAGTCCTCAGCCAGCCAATCAGCATGCAGCAACCATGTCACAGGAGCAAACAGCAGCACACGCACACCTGCAGCTCATCCTTCACACAAAGGCTGATTTCCACTGCAGACAAGGGGAGGAAAAAAGAGCTGTCAGTCAACAAATAAACCAAACAAACTACTTAAATGACTACAGTTAAAACATATACTATGACGTTTTTTTTACGGACTAAAATATAATTTTTTTTATTTCGCGCTAAATTATGACATTTTTAACAAACTACAGTATGGGATGTTTTTTATCCTAAAATCTGAATTTTTTTTCAACCCAACATCTAAAATTTTGGTCATACTATACTATGAATATAAATGTAAATATGACTTTTTTAACATCCCTTACTATGGCATTTTGATCAGACCACATTATAACATATTTTTTCATCCTATAAAACTGAATTTTTTTTTCACTCAAAAATCTGATATTTTGTCATAGTATACTATGTCGTTTTTTTTCAGACTAAAATATGAAACTTTTTTTTCGGGCCAAAATATGACATTTTCAACATCTTTTACCATGGCATCTTGAGAAGACAATACTATGGCATGTTTTTTCATCCTAAAAAGTGAATTTTTTTTTCACCCTAAAATCTGAAATTTTCATCCTAGTATACTATGTCGTTTTTTTTCAGACCAAAATATGATTTTTTATTCCCGCTAAAATTTAACATTTTTAACAACCTACACTATGGCATTTTGATGAGACAATACTATGGCATGTTTTTTCATACTAAAAACATAATTTTTTTCATTCTAAAATCTGAAATTTTTGTCATAGTATACTATGTCGTTTTTTTTTTTTTTTTGACCAAAATATGATTTTTTTTTCCTGGTTAAATATGACTTTTTTAACATCCCTTACTATAGCATTTTGATCAGACCACACTATAACATCTTTTTTCATACTAAAAACTATATATTTTTTTCACTCTAAATTCTGAAATTTTGTCATAGTATACTATGTAGTTTTTTTTTTCAGACTAAAATATGAAACTTTTTTTTCAGGCCAAAATATGAGATTTTCAACATCTTTTACCATGGCATCTTGATAAGACAATACTATGGCATGTGTTTTTATCCTTAAATTTGTATTTTTTTTTCACCTGAAAATCTGAATTTTCATCATGGTATACTATGTCGTTTTTTTTTCGGACTAAAATATGATTTTTTTTTTCCGCTAAAATATGAAATTTTTTAACATCCTAAACTATTGCATTTTGATCAGACCACACTATAACGTCTTTTTTCATCCTAAAAACTGATTTTTTTCTTCACTCTAAATTCTGAAATTTTGTCATAGTATACTATGTCTTTTTTTTTTCAGTCTAAAATATGAAACTTTTTTTTCAGGCCAAAATATGAATTTTTCAACATCTTTTACCGTGGCATCTTGATAAGACAATAGTATGGCATGTTTTTTCATCCTAAAATTTGAATTATTTTTTCACCCGAAAATCTGAATTTTCATCATAGTATACTATGTCGTTTTTTTTTTTTAACTAAAATTTGTTGGTTTTTTTTCCTGTTAAAATATGACATTTTTGACATCCTATACTATGGCAATTCGATCAGACAATACTATGGCATGTTTTTTCATCCTAAAATCTGATTTTTTTTTCCAGCCTAAAATCTGAAATTTTCGACATAGTATACTATGTCGTTTTTTTTTTCGGACCAAAATGAATTTTTCATTTTCCTGCTAAAATATTAAATTTTTAACATCCTATTCTATGGCAATTTGATCAGACAATACTATGGCATGTTTTTTCATCCTAAAATCTAACTTTTTTTCAGCCTAAAATCTGATATTTTCGACATAGTATACTATGTCGTTTTTTTTCGGACCAAAATGAATTTTTCATTTTCCTGCTAAAATATTACTTTTCTAAAATCCTATTCTATGGCAATTTGATCAGACAATACTATGGCATGTTTTTTCATCCTAAAATCTGAATTTTTTTTTCAGCCTAAAATCTGATATTTTCGACATAGTATACTATGTCGGTTTTTTTCGGACCAAAATATGAATTTTTCATTTTTCTGCCAAAATATTACATTTTTAACATCCTATTCTATGGCAATTTGATCAGACAATACTATAGCATGTTTTTTCATCCTAAAATCTGAATTATTTTTCCAGCCTAAAATCTGAAATTTTCGACATAGTATACTATGTCGTTTTTTTTTTCGGACCAAGATATGAATTTTTCATTTTCCTTACCAAAATATTACATTTCTAACATCCTATTCTATGGCAATTTGATCAGACAATACTATGGCATGTTTTTTAATCCTAAAATCTGAATTTTTTTTTTCAGCCTAAAATCTGATATTTTCGACATAGTATACTATGTCGTTTTTTTTCGGACCAAGATATGAATTTTTTATTTTCCTTACCAAAATATTACATTTCTAACATCCTATTCTATGGCAATTTGATCAGACAATACTATGGCATGTTTTTTCATCCTAAAATCTGAATTTTTTTTTCAGCCTAAAATCTGATATTTTCGACAAAGTATACTATGTCGTTTTTTTTCGGACCAAAATATGAATTTTTCATTTTCCTGCCAAAATATTACATTTTTACAATCCTATTCTATGGCAATTTGATCAGACAATACTATGGCATGTTTTTTCATCCTAAAATCTGAATTATTTTTCCAGCCTAAAATCTGAAATTTTCGACATAGTATACTATGTCGTTTTTTTTCGGACCAAGATATGAATTTTTCATTTTCCTGCTAAAATATTACATTTTTAACATCCTATTCTATGGCAATTTGATCAGACAATACTATGGCATTTTTTTTCATCCTAAAATCTGAATTTTTTTTCAGCCTAAAATCTGAAATTTTGGACATAGTATACTATGTCGTTTTTTTTCGGACCAAAATATGAATTTTTCATTTTCCGGCTAAAATATTACATTTTTAACATCCTATTCTATGGCAATTTGATCAAACAATACTATGGCATGTTTTTTCATCCTAAAATCTGAATTATTTTTCCAGCCTAAAATCTGAAATTTTCGACATAGTATACTATGTCGTTTTTTTTCGGACCAAGATATGAATTTTTCATTTTCCTTACCAAAATATTACATTTCTAACATCCTATTCTATGGCAATTTGATCAGACAATACTATGGCATGTTTTTTCATCCTAAAATCTGATTTTTTTTTCCAGCCTAAAATCTGAAATTGTCGACATAGTATACTATGTCGGTTTTTTTCGGACCAAAATGAATTTTTCATTTTCCTGCTAAAATATTACATTTTTAAAATCCTATTCTATGGCAATTTGATCAGACAATACTATGGCATGTTTTTTCATCCTAAAATCTGAATTTTATTTTCAGCCTAAAATCTGATATTTTCGACATAGTATACTATGTCGTTTTTTTTGGGACCAAAATATGAATTTTTCATTTTCCTGCCAAAATATTACATTTTTAGCATCCTATTCTATGGCAATTTGATCAGACAATACTATGGCATGTTTTTTCATCCTAAAATCTGAATTTTTTTTTCAGCCTAAAATCTGATATTTTCGACAAAGTATACTATGTCGTTTTTTTTGGACCAAAATATGAATTTTTCATTTTCCTGCCAAAATATTACATTTTTACAATCCTATTCTATGGCAATTTGATCAGACAATACTATGGCATGTTTTTTCATCCTAAAATCTGAATTATTTTTCCAGCCTAAAATCTGAAATTTTCGACATAGTATACTATGTCGTTTTTTTTCGGACCAAGATATGAATTTTTCATTTTCCTGCTAAAATATTACATTTTTAACATCCTATTCTATGGCAATTTGATCAGACAATACTATGGCATTTTTTTTCATCCTAAAATCTGAATTTTTTTTTCAGCCTAAAATCTGAAATTTTGGACATAGTATACTATGTCGTTTTTTTTTCGGACCAAAATATGAATTTTTCATTTTCCGGCTAAAATATTACATTTTTAACATCCTATTCTATGGCAATTTGATCAAACAATACTATGGCATGTTTTTTCATCCTAAAATCTGAATTATTTTTCCAGCCTAAAATCTGAAATTTTCGACATAGTATACTATGTCGTTTTTTTTCGGACCAAGATATGAATTTTTCATTTTCCTTACCAAAATATTACATTTCTAACATCCTATTCTATGGCAATTTGATCAGACAATACTATGGCATGTTTTTTCATCCTAAAATCTGATTTTTTTTTCCAGCCTAAAATCTGAAATTTTCGACATAGTATACTATGTCGGTTTTTTTCGGACCAAAATGAATTTTTCATTTTCCTGCTAAAATATTACATTTTTAAAATCCTATTCTATGGCAATTTGATCAGACAATACTATGGCATGTTTTTTCATCCTAAAATCTGAATTTTATTTTCAGCCTAAAATCTGATATTTTCGACATAGTATACTATGTCGTTTTTTTTCGGACCAAAATATGAATTTTTCATTTTCCTGCCAAAATATTACATTTTTAGCATCCTATTCTATGGCAATTTGATCAGACAATACTATGGCATGTTTTTTCATCCTAAAATATGAATTTTATTTTCAGCCTAAAATCTGATATTTTCGACATAGTATACTATGTCGTTTTTTTTCGGACCAAGATATGAATTTTTCATTTTCCTGCTAAAATATTACATTTTTAACATCCTATTCTATGGCAATTTGATCAGACAATACAACGGCTTTTTTTTTTCATCCTAAAATCTGAATTTTATTTTCAGCCTAAAATCTGATATTTTCGACATAGTATACTATGTCGTTTTTTTTTTCGGACCAAAATGAATTTTTCATTTTCCTGCTAAAATATTACATTTTTAGCATCCTATTCTATGGCAATTTGATCAAACAAGACTATGGCATGTTTTTTCATCCTAAAATATTACATTTTTAGGATGAAAAAACATGCCATAGTATTGTCTGATCACATTGCCATAGAAACGGATGTTAAAAATGTAATATTTTAGCCGGAAAACGAAAAATTCATATTTTGGTCCGAAAAAAAACCGACATAGTATACTATGTCGAAAATTTCAGATTTTAGGCTGAAAATAAAATTCAGATTTTAGGATGAAAAAACATGCCATATAATTGTCTGATCAAATTGCCATAGAATAGGATTTTAAAACTGTAATATTTTAGCCGGAAATGAAAAATTCATATTTTGGTCCGAAAAAAAACGACATAGTATACTATGTCGAAAATTTCAGATTTTAGGCTGAAAATAAAATTCAGATTTTAGGATGAAAAAACATGCCATAGTATTGTCTGATCAAATTGCCATAGAAACGTATGTTAAAACTGTAATATTTTAGCCGGAAAATGAAAAATTCATATTTTGGTCCGGAAAAAAAAACGACATAGTATACTATGTCGAAAATTTCAGATTTTAGGCTGAAAATAAAATTCTGATTTTAGGATGAAAAAACATGCCATAGTATTGTCTGATCACATTGCCATAGAAACGGATGTTAAAAATGTAATATTTTAGCTGGAAAATGAAAAATTCATATTTTGGTCCGAAAAAAACGACATAGTATACTATGTCCAAAAAATTTCAGATTTTAGGCTGAAAATAAAATTCAGATTTTAGGATGAAAAAACATGCCATAGTATTGTCTGATCAAATTGCCATAGAAACGGATGTTAAAAATGTAATATTTTAGCCGGAAAATGAAAAATTCATATTTTGGTCCGAAAAAAAACGACATTGTATACTATGTCGAAAATTTCAGATTTTAGGCTGAAAATAAAATTCTGATTTTAGGATGAAAAAACATGCCATAGTATTGTCTGATCAAATTGCCATAGAAACGGATGTTAAAAATGTAATATTTTAGCTGGAAAATGAAAAATTCATATTTTGGTCCGAAAAAAAACGACATAGTATACTATGTCGAAAATTTCAGATTTTAGGCTGAAAATAAAATTCTGATTTTAGGATGAAAAAACATGCCATAGTATTGTCTGATCAAATTGCCATAGAAACGGATGTTAAAAATGTAATATTTTAGCTGGAAAATGAAAAATTCATATTTTGGTCCAAAAAAAACGACATAGTATACTATGTCGAAAATTTCAGATTTTAGGCTGAAAATAAAATTCAGATTTTAGGATGAAAAAACATGCCATAGTATTGTCTGATCAAATTGCCATAGAAACGGATGTTAAAACTGTAATATTTTAGCCGGAAAATGAAAAATTCATATTTTGGTCCGAAAAAAAACGACATAGTATACTATGTCGAAAATTTCAGATTTTAGGCTGAAAATAAAATTCTGATTTTAGGATGAAAAAACATGCCATAGTATTGTCTGATCAAATTGCCATAGAAACGGATGTTAAAACTGTAATATTTTAGCCGGAAAATGAAAAAATCATATTTTGGTCCGAAAAAAAACGACATAGTATACTATGTCGAAAATTTCAGATTTTAGGCTGAAAATAAAATTCAGATTTTAGGATGAAAAAACATGCCATAGTATTGTCTGATCAAATTGCCATAGAAACGGATGTTAAAAATGTAATATTTTAGCCGGAAAATGAAAAATTCATATTTTGGTCCGAAAAAAAACGACATAGTATACTATGTCGAAAATTTCAGATTTTAGGCTGAAAATAAAATTCTGATTTTAGGATGAAAAAACATGCCATAGTATTGTCTGATCAAATTGCCATAGAAACGGATGTTAAAAATGTAATATTTTAGCCGGAAAATGAAAAATTCATATTTTGGTCCGAAAAAAAACCGACATAGTATACTATGTCGAAAATTTCAGATTTTAGGCTGAAAATAAAATTCAGATTTTAGGATGAAAAAACATGCCATAGTATTGTCTGATCAAATTGCCATAGAAACGGATGTTAAAAATGTAATATTTTAGCCGGAAAATGAAAAATTCATATTTTGGTCCGAAAAAAAAACGACATAGTATACTATGTCGAAAATTTCAGATTTTAGGCTGAAAATAAAATTCTGATTTTAGGATGAAAAAACATGCCATAGTATTGTCTGATCAAATTGCCATAGAAACGGATGTTAAAAATGTAATATTTTAGCTGGAAAATGAAAAATTCATATTTTGGTCCGAAAAAAACGACATAGTATACTATGTCGAAAATTTCAGATTTTAGGCTGAAAATAAAATTCTGATTTTAGGATGAAAAAACATGCCATAGTATTGTCTGATCAAATTGCCATAGAAACGGATGTTAAAAATGTAATATTTTAGCTGGAAAATGAAAAATTCATATTTTGGACCGAAAAAAAAAACGACATAGTATATACTATGTCGAAAATTTCAGATTTTAGGCTGAAAATAAAATTCTGATTTTAGGATAAAAAAAAACATGCCATAGTATTGTCTGATCAGATTGCCATAGAAACGGATGTTAAAAATGTAATATTTTAGCCGGAAAATGAAAAATTCATATTTTGGTCCGAAAAAAAAACGACATAGTATACTATGTCGAAAATTTCAGATTTTAGGCTGAAAATAAAATTCTGATTTTAGGATGAAAAAACATGCCATAGTATTGTCTGATCAAATTGCCATAGAAACGGATGTTAAAAATGTAATATTTTAGCCGGAAAATGAAAAATTCATATTTTGGTCCAAAAAAAAACGACATAGTATACTATGTCGAAAATTTCAGATTTTAGGCTGAAAATAAAATTCAGATTTTAGGATGAAAAAACATGCCATAGTATTGTCTGATCAAATTGCCATAGAAACGGATGTTAAAAATGTAATATTTTAGCCGGAAAATGAAAAATTCATATTTTGGTCCGAAAAAAAAACGACATAGTATATACTATGTCGAAAATTTCAGATTTTAGGCTGAAAATAAAATTCTGATTTTAGGATGAAAAAACATGCCATAGTATTGTCTGATCAAATTGCCATAGAAACGGATGTTAAAAATGTAATATTTTAGCCGGAAAATGAAAAATTCATATTTTGGTCCAAAAAAAAACGACATAGTATACTATGTCGAAAATTTCAGATTTTAGAATGAAAATAAATTTCAGATTTTAGGATGAAAAAACATGCCATAGTATTGTCTGATCACATTGCCATAGAAACGGATGTTAAAAATGTAATATTTTAGCCGGAAAACGAAAAATTCATATTTTGGTCCGAAAAAAAACGACATAGTATACTATGTCGAAAATTTCAGATTTTAGGCTGAAAATAAAATTCTGATTTTAGGATGAAAAAACATGCCATAGTATTGTCTGATCAAATTGCCATAGAAACGGATGTTAAAAATGTAATATTTTAGCCGGAAAATGAAAAATTCATATTTTGGTCCTAAAAAAAAACGACATAGTATACTATGTCGAAAATTTCAGATTTTAGGCTGAAAATAAAATTCTGATTTTAGGATGAAAAAACATGCCATAGTATTGTCTGATCACATTGCCATAGAAACGGATGTTAAAAATGTAATATTTTAGCTGGGAAAATGAAAAATTAATATTTTGTTCTGAAAAAAAACGACATAGTATACTATGTCGAAAATTTCAGATTTTAGGCTGAAAATAAAATTCTGATTTTAGGATGAAAAAACATGCCATAGTATTGTCTGATCAAATTGCCATAGAAACGGATGTTAAAAATGTAATATTTTAGCTGGAAAATGAAAAATTCATATTTTGGTCCGAAAAAAAACGACATAGTATACTATGTCGAAAATTTCAGATTTTAGGCTGAAAATAAAATTCTGATTTTAGGATGAAAAAACATGCCATAGTATTGTCTGATCAAATTGCCATAGAAACGGATGTTAAAAATGTAATATTTTAGCTGGAAAATGAAAAATTCATATTTTGGTCCGAAAAAAAACGACATAGTATACTATGTCGAAAATTTCAGATTTTAGGCTGAAAATAAAATTCTGATTTTAGGATGAAAAAACATGCCATAGTATTGTCTGATCAAATTGCCATAGAAACAGATGTTAAAACTGTAATATTTTAGCCGGAAAATGAAAAATTCATATTTTGGTCCAAAAAAAAACGACATAGTATACTATGTCGAAAATTTCAGATTTTAGGCTGAAAATAAAATTCTGATTTTAGGATGAAAAAACATGCCATAGTATTGTCTGATCACATTGCCATAGAAACGGATGTTAAAAATGTAATATTTTAGCCGGAAAACGAAAAATTCATATTTTGGTCCGAAAAAAAAACGACATAGTATACTATGTCGAAAATTTCAGATTTTAGGCTGAAAATAAAATTCAGATTTTAGGATGAAAAAACATGCCATAGTATTGTCTGATCAAATTGCCATAGAAACGGATGTTAAAAATGTAATATTTTAGCTGGAAAATGAAAAATTCATATTTTGGTCCAAAAAAAAACGACATAGTATACTATGTCGAAAATTTCAGATTTTAGGCTGAAAATAAAATTCAGATTTTAGGATGAAAAAACATTGCCATAGTATTGTCTGATCACATTGCCATAGAAACGGATGTTAAAAATGTAATATTTTAGCCGGAAAATGAAAAATTCATATTTTGGTCCGAAAAAAAACGACATAGTATATACTATGTCGAAAATTTCAGATTTTAGGCTGAAAATAAAATTCTGATTTTAGGATGAAAAAACATGCCATAGTATTGTCTGGTCAAATTGCCATAGAAACGGATGTTAAAAATGTAATGTTTTAGCCGGAAAATGAAAAATTCATATTTTGGTCCAAAAAAAAACGACATAGTATACTATGTCGAAAATTTCAGATTTTAGGCTGAAAATAAAATTCAGATTTTAGGATGAGAAAACATGCCATAGTATTGTCTGATCAAATTGCCATAGAAACGTATGTTAAAACTGTAATATTTTAGCCGAAAAATGAAAAATTCATATTTTGGTCCGAAAAAAAAAACAACATAGTATACTATGTCGAAAATTTCAGATTTTAGGCTGAAAATAAAATTCTGATTTTAGGATGAAAAAACATGCCATAGTATTGTCTGATCAAATTGCCATAGAAACGGATGTTAAAAATGTAATATTTTAGCCGGAAAATGAAAAATTCATATTTTGGTCCGAAAAAAAAAACGACATAGTATACTATGTCGAAAATTTCAGATTTTAGGCTGACAATGAAATTCAGATTTTAGGATGAAAAAACATGCCATAGTATTGTATGATCAAATTGCCATTGAAACAGATGTTAAAAATGTAATGTTTTAGCCGGAAAATGAAAAATTCATATTTTGGTCCGAAAAAAAACGACATAGTATACTATGTCGAAAATTTCAGATTTTAGGCTGAAAATAAAATTCTGATTTTAGGATGAAAAAACATGCCATAGTATTGTCTGATCAAATTGCCATAGAAACGGATGTTAAAAATGTAATATTTTAGCTGGAAAATGAAAAATTCATATTTTGGTCCGAAAAAAAACGACATAGTATACTATGTCGAAAATTTCAGATTTTAGGCTGAAAATAAAATTCTGATTTTAGGATGAAAAAACATGCCATAGTATTGTCTGATCAAATTGCCATAGAAACGGATGTTAAAAATGTAATATTTTAGCTGGAAAATGAAAAATTCATATTTTGGTCCGAAAAAAAACGACATAGTATACTATGTCGAAAATTTCAGATTTTAGGCTGAAAATAAAATTCTGATTTTAGGATGAAAAAACATGCCATAGTATTGTCTGATCAAATTGCCATAGAAACGGATGTTAAAAATGTAATATTTTAGCTGGAAAATGAAAAATTCATATTTTGGTCCGAAAAAAAACGACATAGTATACTATGTCGAAAATTTCAGATTTTAGGCTGAAAATAAAATTCTGATTTTAGGATGAAAAAACATGCCATAGTATTGTCTGATCAAATTGCCATAGAAACGGATGTTAAAAATGTAATATTTTAGCTGGAAAATGAAAAATTCATATTTTGGTCCGAAAAAAAACGACATAGTATACTATGTCGAAAATTTCAGATTTTAGGCTGAAAATAAAATTCAGATTTTAGGATGAAAAAACATGCCATAGTATTGTCTGATCAAATTGCCATAGAAACGGATGTTAAAAATGTAATATTTTAGCCGGAAAATGAAAAATTCATATTTTGGTCCAAAAAAAAACGACATAGTATACTATGTCGAAAATTTCAGATTTTAGGCTGAAAATAAAATTCTGATTTTAGGATGAAAAAACATGCCATAGTATTGTCTGATCACATTGCCATAGAAACGGATGTTAAAAATGTAATATTTTAGCTGGAAAATGAAAAATTCATATTTTGGTCCGAAAAAAAACGACATAGTATACTATGTCGAAAATTTCAGATTTTAGGCTGAAAATAAAATTCTGATTTTAGGATGAAAAAACATGCCATAGTATTGTCTGATCAAATTGCCATCGAAACGGATGTTAAAAATGTAATATTTTAGCTGGAAAATGAAAAATTCATATTTTGGTCCGAAAAAAAACGACATAGTATACTATGTCGAAAATTTCAGATTTTAGGCTGAAAATAAAATTCTGATTTTAGGATGAAAAAACATGCCATAGTATTGTCTGATCAAATTGCCATAGAAACGGATGTTAAAAATGTAATATTTTAGCTGGAAAATGAAAAATTCATATTTTGGTCCGAAAAAAAACGACATAGTATACTATGTCGAAAATTTCAGATTTTAGGCTGAAAATAAAATTCTGATTTTAGGATGAAAAAACATGCCATAGTATTGTCTGATCAAATTGCCATAGAAACGGATGTTAAAACTGTAATATTTTAGCCGGAAAATGAAAAAATCATATTTTGGTCCAAAAAAAAAAGACATAGTATACTATGTCGAAAATTTCAGATTTTAGGCTGAAAATAAAATTCTGATTTTAGGATGAAAAAACATGCCATAGTATTGTCTGATCACATTGCCATAGAAACGGATGTTAAAAATGTAATATTTTAGCCGGAAAACGAAAAATTCATATTTTGGTCCGAAAAAAAACGACATAGTATACTATGTCGAAAATTTCAGATTTTAGGCTGAAAATAAAATTCAGATTTTAGGATGAAAAAACATGCCATAGTATTGTCTGATCAAATTGCCATAGAAACGGATGTTAAAAATGTAATATTTTAGCTGGAAAATGAAAAATTCATATTTTGGTCCAAAAAAAAACAGCATAGTATACTATGTCGAAAATTTCAGATTTTAGGCTGAAAATAAAATTCAGATTTTAGGATGAAAAAACATGCCATAGTATTGTCTGATCACATTGCCATAGAAACGGATGTTAAAACTGTAATATTTTAGCCGGAAAATGAAAAATTCATATTTTGGTCCGAAAAAAAACGACATAGTATACTATGTCGAAAATTTCAGATTTTAGGCTGAAAATAAAATTCTGATTTTAGGATGAAAAAACATGCCATAGTATTGTCTGATCAAATTGCCATAGAAACGGATGTTAAAAATGTAATGTTTTAGCCGGAAAATGAAAAATTCATATTTTGGTCCAAAAAAAAACGACATAGTATACTATGTCGAAAATTTCAGATTTTAGGCTGAAAATAAAATTCAGATTTTAGGATGAAAAAACATGCCATAGTATTGTCTGATCAAATTGCCATAGAAACGGATGTTAAAACTGTAATATTTTAGCCGAAAAATGAAAAATTCATATTTTGGTCCGAAAAAAAAAACAACATAGTATACTATGTCAAGATTTCAGATTTTAGGCTGAAAATAAAATTCAGATTTTAGGATGAAAAAACATGCCATAGTATTGTCTGATCAAATTGCCATAGAAACGGATGTTAAAAATGTAATATTTTAGCTGTAAAATGAAAAATTCATATTTTGGTCCGAAAAAAAACGACATAGTATACTATGTCGAAAATTTCAGATTTTAGGCTGAAAATAAAATTCAGATTTTAGGATGAAAAAACATGCCATAGTATTGTATGATCAAATTGCCATCGAAACGGATGTTAAAAATGTAATATTTTAGCTGGAAAATGAAAAATTCATATTTTGGTCCGAAAAAAAACGACATAGTATATACTATGTCGAAAATTTCAGATTTTAGGCTGAAAATAAAATTCTGATTTTAGGATGAAAAAACATGCCATAGTATTGTCTGATCAAATTGCCATTGAAACAGAGGTTAAAAATGTAATGTTTTAGCCGGAAAATGAAAAATTCATATTTTGGTCCAAAAAAAAACGACATAGTATATTATACTATGTCGAAAATTTCAGATTTTAGGCTGAAAATAAAATTCAGATTTTAGGATGAGAAAACATGCCATAGTATTGTCTGATCAAATTGCCATAGAAAGAGATGTTAAAAATGTAATATTTTAGCCGGAAAATGAAAAATTCATATTTTGGTCCGAAAAAAAAACGACATAGTATACTATGTCGAAAATTTCAGATTTTAGGCTGAAAATAAAATTCTGATTTTAGGATGAAAAAACATGCCATAGTATTGTCTGATCAAATTGCCATAGAAACGGATGTTAAAAATGTAATATTTTAGCCGGAAAATGAAAAATTCATATTTTGGTCCGAAAAAAAACGACATAGTATACTATGTCGAAAATTTCAGATTTTAGGCTGAAAATAAAATTAAGATTTTAGGATGAAAAAACATGCCATAGTATTGTATGATCAAATTGCCATAGAAACGGATGTTAAAAATGTAATATTTTAGCCGGAAAATGAAAAATTCATATTTTGGTCCGAAAAAAAAAACGACATAGTATACTATGTCGAAAATTTCAGATTTTAGGCTGAAAATAAAATTCTGATTTTAGGATGAAAAAACATGCCATAGTATTGTCTGATCAAATTGCCATAGAAACGGATGTTAAAACTGTAATATTTTAGCCGGAAAATGAAAAATTCATATTTTGGTCCGAAAAAAAAACGACATAGTATACTATGTCGAAAATTTCAGATTTTAGGCTGAAAATAAAATTCTGATTTTAGGATGAAAAAACATGCCATAGTATTGTCTGATCAAATTGCCATAGAAACGGATGTTAAAAATGTAATATTTTAGCCGGAAAATGAAAAATTCATATTTTGGTCCGAAAAAAAACGACATAGTATACTATGTCGAAAATTTCAGATTTTAGGCTGAAAATAAAATTCAGATTTTAGGATGAAAAAACATGCCATAGTATTGTCTGATCAAATTGCCATAGAAACGGATGTTAAAAATGTAATATTTTAGCCGGAAAATGAAAAATTCATATTTTGGTCCAAAAAAAAAACCGACATAGTATACTATGTCGAAAATTTCAGATTTTAGGCTGAAAATAAAATTCTGATTTTAGGATGAAAAAACATGCCATAGTATTGTCTGATCAAATTGCCATAGAAAGGGATGTTAAAACTGTAATATTTTAGCCGGAAAATGAAAAATTCATATTTTGGTCCGAAAAAAAAACGACATAGTATACTATGTCGAAAATTTCAGATTTTAGGCTGAAAATAAAATTCTGATTTTAGGATGAAAAAACATGCCATAGTATTGTCTGATCACATTGCCATAGAAACGGATGTTAAAAATGTAATATTTTAGCCGGAAAATGAAAAATTCATATTTTGGTCCGAAAAAAAACGACATATTATACTATGTCGAAAATTTCAGATTTTAGGCTGAAAATAAAATTCAGATTTTAGGATGAAAAAACATGCCATAGTATTGTCTGATCAAATTGCCATAGAAAGAGATGTTAAAAATGTAATATTTTAGCTGGAAAATGAAAAATTCATATTTTGGTCCAAAAAAAACGACATAGTATACTATGTCGAAAATTTCAGATTTTAGGCTGAAAATAAAATTCTGATTTTAGGATGAAAAAACATGCCATAGTATTGTCTGATCAAATTGCCATAGAAACGGATGTTAAAACTGTAATATTTTAGCCGGAAAATGAAAAATTCATATTTTGGTCCGAAAAAAAACGACATAGTATACTATGTCGAAAATTTCAGATTTTAGGCTGAAAATAAAATTCTGATTTTAGGATGAAAAAACATGCCATAGTATTGTCTGATCACATTGCCATAGAAACGGATGTTAAAAATGTAATATTTTAGCCGGAAAACTAAAAATTCATATTTTGGTCCGAAAAAAAACGACATAGTATACTATGTCGAAAATTTCAGATTTTAGGCTGAAAATAAAATTCTGATTTTAGGATGAAAAAACATGCCATAGTATTGTCTGATCAAATTGCCATAGAAACGAGATGTTAAAAATGTAATATTTTAGCTGGAAAATGAAAAATTCATATTTTGGTCCAAAAAAAAACGACATAGTATACTATGTCGAAAATTTCAGATTTTAGGCTGAAAATAAAATTCAGATTTTAGGATGAAAAAACATGCCATAGTATTGTCTGATCAAATTGCCATAGAAACGGATGTTAAAACTGTAATATTTTAGCCGGAAAATGAAAAATTCATATTTTGGTCCGAAAAAAAAACGACATAGTATACTATGTCGAAAATTTCAGATTTTAGGCTGAAAATAAAATTCTGATTTTAGGATGAAAAAACATGCCATAGTATTGTCTGATCAAATTGCCATAGAAACGGATGTTAAAAATGTAATATTTTAGCCGGAAAATGAAAAATTCATATTTTGGTCCGAAAAAAACGACATAGTATACTATGTCGAAAATTTCAGATTTTAGGCTGAAAATAAAATTAAGATTTTAGGATGAAAAAACATGCCATAGTATTGTCTGATCAAATTGCCATAGAAACGGATGTTAAAAATGTAATATTTTAGCCGGAAAATGAAAAATTCATATTTTGGTCCGAAAAAAAACGACATAGTATACTATGTCGAAAATTTCAGATTTTAGGCTGAAAATAAAATTCAGATTTTAGGATGAAAAAACATGCCATAGTATTGTCTGATCAAATTGCCATAGAAAGGGATGTTAAAACTGTAATATTTTAGCCGGAAAATGAAAAATTCATATTTTGGTCCGAAAAAAAACGACATAGTATACTATGTCGAAAATTTCAGATTTTAGGCTGAAAATAAAATTCTGATTTTAGGATGAAAAAACATGCCATAGTATTGTCTGATCAAATTGCCATAGAAACGGATGTTAAAAATGTAATGTTTTAGCCGGAAAATGAAAAATTCATATTTTGGTCCGAAAAAAAACGACATAGTATACTATGTCGAAAATTTCAGATTTTAGGCTGAAAATAAAATTCAGATTTTAGGATGAAAAAACATGCCATAGTATTGTCTGATCAAATTGCCATAGAAACGGATGTTAAAAATGTAATATTTTAGCCGGAAAATGAAAAATTCATATTTTGGTCCAAAAAAAAAACCGACATAGTATACTATGTCGAAAATTTCAGATTTTAGGCTGAAAATAAAATTCTGATTTTAGGATGAAAAAACATGCCATAGTATTGTCTGATCAAATTGCCATAGAAAGGGATGTTAAAACTGTAATATTTTAGCCGGAAAATGAAAAATTCATATTTTGGTCCGAAAAAAAAACGACATAGTATACTATGTCGAAAATTTCAGATTTTAGGCTGAAAATAAAATTCTGATTTTAGGATGAAAAAACATGCCATAGTATTGTCTGATCACATTGCCATAGAAACGGATGTTAAAAATTTAATATTTTAGCCGGAAAATGAAAAATTCATATTTTGGTCCGAAAAAAAACGACATAGTATACTATGTCGAAAATTTCAGATTTTAGGCTGAAAATAAAATTCTGATTTTAGGATGAAAAAACATGCCATAGTATTGTCTGATCAAATTGCCATTGAAACAGATGTTAAAAATGTAATATTTTAGCCGGAAAATGAAAAATTCATATTTTGGTCCGAAAAAAAAACGACATAGTATACTATGTCGAAAATTTCAGATTTTAGGCTGAAAATAAAATTAAGATTTTAGGATGAAAAAACATGCCATAGTATTGTCTGATCAAATTGCCATAGAAACGGATGTTAAAAATGTAATATTTTAGCTGGAAAATGAAAAATTCATATTTTGGTCCGAAAAAAAACGACATAGTATACTATGTCGAAAATTTCAGATTTTAGGCTGAAAATAAAATTCTGATTTTAGGATGAAAAAACATGCCATAGTATTGTCTGATCAAATTGCCATAGAAACGGATGTTAAAAATGTAATATTTTAGCTGGAAAATGAAAAATTCATATTTTGGTCCGAAAAAAAAAACGACATAGTATATACTATGTCGAAAATTTCAGATTTTAGGCTGAAAATAAAATTCTGATTTTAGGATGAAAAAACATGCCATAGTATTGTCTGATCAAATTGCCATAGAAACGGATGTTAAAAATGTAATATTTTAGCTGGAAAATGAAAAATTCATATTTTGGTCCGAAAAAAACGACATAGTATACTATGTCGAAAATTTCAGATTTTAGGCTGAAAATAAAATTCTGATTTTAGGATGAAAAAACATGCCATAGTATTGTCTGATCACATTGCCATAGAAACGGATGTTAAAAATGTAATATTTTAGCTGGAAAATGAAAAATTCATATTTTGGTCCGAAAAAAAACGACATAGTATACTATGTCGAAAATTTCAGATTTTAGGCTGAAAATAAAATTCTGATTTTAGGATGAAAAAACATGCCATAGTATTGTCTGATCAAATTGCCATAGAAACGGATGTTAAAAATGTAATATTTTAGCTGGAAAATGAAAAATTCATATTTTGGTCCGAAAAAAAACGACATAGTATACTATGTCGAAAATTTCAGATTTTAGGCTGAAAATAAAATTCAGATTTTAGGATGAAAAAACATGCCATAGTATTGTCTGATCAAATTGCCATAGAAACGGATGTTAAAAATGTAATATTTTAGCCGGAAAATGAAAAATTCATATTTTGGTCCGAAAAAAAACGACATAGTATATACTATGTCGAAAATTTCAGATTTTAGGCTGAAAATAAAATTCTGATTTTAGGATGAAAAAACATGCCATAGTATTGTCTGATCAAATTGCCATAGAAACGGATGTTAAAAATGTAATATTTTAGCCGGAAAATGAAAAATTCATATTTTGGTCCAAAAAAAAAACGACATAGTATACTATGTCGAAAATTTCAGATTTTAGGCTGAAAATAAAATTCAGATTTTAGGATGAAAAAACATGCCATAGTATTGTCTGATCACATTGCCATAGAAACGGATGTTAAAAATGTAATATTTTAGCCAGAAAACGAAAAATTCATATTTTGGTCCGAAAAAAAAGACATAGTATACTATGTCGAAAATTTCAGATTTTAGGCTGAAAATAAAATTCTGATTTTAGGATGAAAAAACATGCCATAGTATTGTCTGATCAAATTGCCATAGAAACGGATGTTAAAAATGTAATATTTTAGCCGGAAAATGAAAAATTCATATTTTGGTCCGAAAAAAAAAACGACATAGTATACTATGTCGAAAATTTCAGATTTTAGGCTGAAAATAAAATTCAGATTTTAGGATGAAAAAAAATGCCATAGTATTGTCTGATCAAATTGCCATAGAAACGGATGTTAAAACTGTAATATTTTAGCCGGAAAATGAAAAATTCATATTTTGGTCCGAAAAAAAACGACATAGTATACTATGTCGAAAATTTCAGATTTTAGGCTGAAAATAAAATTCTGATTTTAGGATGAAAAAACATGCCATAGTATTGTCTGATCAAATTGCCATAGAAACGGATGTTAAAAATGTAATATTTTAGCCGGAAAATGAAAAATTCATATTTTGGTCCGAAAAAAAACGACATAGTATACTATGTCGAAAATTTCAGATTTTAGGCTGAAAATAAAATTCAGATTTTAGGATGAAAAAACATGCCATAGTATTGTCTGATCAAATTGCCATAGAAACGGATGTTAAAAATGTAATATTTTAGCCGGAAAATGAAAAATTCATATTTTGCTCCGAAAAAAAAACCGACATAGTATACTATGTCGAAAATTTCAGATTTTAGGCTGAAAATAAAATTCTGATTTTAGGATGAAAAAACATGCCATAGTATTGTCTGATCAAATTGCCATAGAAACGGATGTTAAAACTGTAATATTTTAGCCGGAAAATGAAAAATTCATATTTTGGTCCGAAAAAAAACGACATAGTATACTATGTCGAAAATTTCAGATTTTAGGCTGAAAATAAAATTCTGATTTTAGGATGAAAAAACATGCCATAGTATTGTCTGATCACATTGCCATAGAAAGGGATGTTAAAAAATTAATATTTTAGCCGGAAAACGAAAAATTCATATTTTGGTCAGAAAAAAAACGACATAGTATACTATGTCGAAAATTTCAGATTTTAGGCTGAAAATAAAATTCTGATTTTAGGATGAAAAAACATGCCATAGTATTGTCTGATCAAATTGCCATTGAAACAGATGTTAAAAATGTAATATTTTAGCCGGAAAATGAAAAATTCATATTTTGGTCCGAAAAAAAAACGACATAGTATACTATGTCGAAAATTTCAGATTTTAGGCTGAAAATAAAATTCTGATTTTAGGATGAAAAAACATGCCATAGTATTGTCTGATCAAATTGCCATAGAAACGGATGTTAAAAATGTAATATTTTAGCTGGAAAATGAAAAATTCATATTTTGGTCCGAAAAAAAACGACATAGTATACTATGTCGAAAATTTCAGATTTTAGGCTGAAAATAAAATTCTGATTTTAGGATGAAAAAACATGCCATAGTATTGTCTGATCACATTGCCATAGAAACGGATGTTAAAAATGTAATATTTTAGCTGGAAAATGAAAAATTCATATTTTGGTCCGAAAAAAAAACGACATAGTATACTATGTCGAAAATTTCAGATTTTAGGCTGAAAATAAAATTCAGATTTTAGGATGAAAAAACATGCCATAGTATTGTCTGATCAAATTGCCATAGAAACGGATGTTAAAAATGTAATATTTTAGCTGGAAAATGAAAAATTCATATTTTGGTCCGAAAAAAACGACATAGTATACTATGTCGAAAATTTCAGATTTTAGGCTGAAAATAAAATTCAGATTTTAGGATGAAAAAACATGCCATAGTATTGTATGATCAAATTGCCATAGAAACGGATGTTAAAAATGTAATATTTTAGCCGGAAAATGAAAAATTCATATTTTGGTCCGAAAAAAAAACGACATAGTATATACTATGTCGAAAATTTCAGATTTTAGGCTGAAAATAAAATTCTGATTTTAGGATGAAAAAACATGCCATAGTATTGTCTGATCAAATTGCCATAGAAACGGATGTTAAAAATGTAATGTTTTAGCCGGAAAATTAAAAATTCATATTTTGGTCCAAAAAAAAAACGACATAGTATACTATGTCGAAAATTTCAGATTTTAGGCTGAAAATAAAATTCAGATTTTAGGATAAAAAAACATGCCATAGTATTGTCTGATCACATTGCCATAGAAACGGATGTTAAAAATGTAATATTTTAGCCGGAAAACGAAAAATTCATATTTTGGTCCGAAAAAAAACGACATAGTATACTATGTCGAAAATTTCAGATTTTAGGCTGAAAATAAAATTCTGATTTTAGGATGAAAAAACATGCCATAGTATTGTCTGATCAAATTGCCATAGAAACGGATGTTAAAAATGTAATATTTTAGCCGGAAAATGAAAAATTCATATTTTGGTCCGAAAAAAAAAACGACATAGTATACTATGTCGAAAATTTCAGATTTTAGGCTGAAAATAAAATTCAGATTTTAGGATGAAAAAACATGCCATAGTATTGTCTGATCAAATTGCCATAGAAAGGGATGTTAAAACTGTAATATTTTAGCCGGAAAATGAAAAATTCATATTTTGGTCCGAAAAAAAAACGACATAGTATACTATGTCGAAAATTTCAGATTTTAGGCTGAAAATAAAATTCTGATTTTAGGATGAAAAAACATGCCATAGTATTGTCTGATCAAATTGCCATAGAAACGGATGTTAAAAATGTAATGTTTTAGCCGGAAAATGAAAAATTCATATTTTGGTCCGAAAAAAAACGACATAGTATACTATGTCGAAAATTTCAGATTTTAGGCTGAAAATAAAATTCTGATTTTAGGATGAAAAAACATGCCATAGTATTGTCTGATCAAATTGCCATAGAAACGGATGTTAAAACTGTAATATTTTAGCCGGAAAATGAAAAATTCATATTTTGGTCCGAAAAAAAACGACATAGTATACTATGTCGAAAATTTCAGATTTTAGGCTGAAAATAAAATTCTGATTTTAGGATGAAAAAACATGCCATAGTATTGTCTGATCACATTGCCATAGAAACGGATGTTAAAAATGTAATATTTTAGCCGGAAAATGAAAAATTCATATTTTGGTCCGAAAAAAAAAACAACATAGTATACTATGTCGAAAATTTCAGATTTTAGGCTGAAAATAAAATTCAGATTTTAGGATGAAAAAACATGCCATAGTATTGTCTGATCAAATTGCCATAGAAACGGATGTTAAAACTGTAATATTTTAGCCGAAAAATGAAAAATTCATATTTTGGTCCGAAAAAAAAAACAACATAGTATACTATGTCGAAAATTTCAGATTTTAGGCTGAAAATAAAATTCTGATTTTAGGATGAAAAAACATGCCATAGTATTGTCTGATCAAATTGCCATAGAAACGGATGTTAAAAATGTAATATTTTAGCCGGAAAATGAAAAATTCATATTTTGGTCCGAAAAAAAACGACATAGTATACTATGTCGAAAATTTCAGATTTTAGGCTGAAAATAAAATTCTTATTTTAGGATGAAAAAACATGCCATAGTATTGTCTGATCAAATTGCCATAGAAACGGATTTTAAAAATGTAATATTTTAGCCGGAAAATGAAAAATTCATATTTTGGTCCGAAAAAAAACGACATAGTATACTATGTCGAAAATTTCAGATTTTAGGCTGAAAATAAAATTCAGATTTTAGGATGAAAAAACATGCCATAGTATTGTCTGATCAAATTGCCATAGAAACGGATGTTAAAAATGTAATATTTTAGCCGGAAAATGAAAAATTCATATTTTGGTCCGAAAAAAAACGACATAGTATACTATGTCGAAAATTTCAGATTTTAGGCTGAAAATAAAATTCTGATTTTAGGATGAAAAAACATGCCATAGTATTGTCTGATCAAATTGCCATAGAAACGGATGTTAAAAATGTAATATTTTAGCCGGAAAATGAAAAATTCATATTTTGGTCCGAAAAAAAACGACATAGTATACTATGTCGAAAATTTCAGATTTTAGGCTGAAAATAAAATTCAGATTTTAGGATGAAAAAACATGCCATAGTATTGTCTGATCAAATTGCCATAGAAACGGATGTTAAAAATGTAATATTTTAGCCGGAAAATGAAAAATTCATATTTTGGTCCGAAAAAAAACGACATAGTATACTATGTCGAAAATTTCAGATTTTAGGCTGAAAATAAAATTCTGATTTTAGGATGAAAAAACATGCCATAGTATTGTCTGATCAAATTGCCATAGAAACGGATGTTAAAAATGTAATGTTTTAGCCGGAAAATGAAAAATTCATATTTTGGTCCGAAAAAAAACGACATAGTATACTATGTCGAAAATTTCAGATTTTAGGCTGAAAATAAAATTCAGATTTTAGGATGAGAAAACATGCCATAGTATTGTCTGATCAAATTGCCATAGAAACGGATGTTAAAAATGTAATATTTTAGCCGGAAAATGAAAAATTCATATTTTGCTCCGAAAAAAAAACCGACATAGTATACTATGTCGAAAATTTCAGATTTTAGGCTGAAAATAAAATTCTGATTTTAGGATGAAAAAACATGCCATAGTATTGTCTGATCAAATTGCCATAGAAACGGATGTTAAATCTGTAATATTTTAGCCGGAAAATGAAAAATTCATATTTTGGTCCGAAAAAAAACGACATAGTATACTATGTCGAAAATTTCAGATTTTAGGCTGAAAATAAAATTCTGATTTTAGGATGAAAAAACATGCCATAGTATTGTCTGATCACATTGCCATAGAAAGGGATGTTAAAAATGTAATATTTTAGCCGGAAAACGAAAAATTCATATTTTGGTCAGAAAAAAAACGACATAGTATACTATGTCGAAAATTTCAGATTTTAGGCTGAAAATAAAATTCTGATTTTAGGATGAAAAAACATGCCATAGTATTGTCTGATCAAATTGCCATAAAAAAAAGGGATGTTAAAAATGTAATATTTTAGCCGGAAAATGAAAAATTCATATTTTGGTCCGAAAAAAAAAACGACATAGTATACTATGTCGAAAATTTCAGATTTTAGGCTGAAAATAAAATTCTGATTTTAGGATGAAAAAACATGCCATAGTATTGTCTGATCAAATTGCCATAGAAACGGATGTTAAAAATGTAATATTTTAGCTGGAAAATGAAAAATTCATATTTTGGTCCGAAAAAAAACGACATAGTATACTATGTCGAAAATTTCAGATTTTAGGCTGAAAATAAAATTCTGATTTTAGGATGAAAAAACATGCCATAGTATTGTCTGATCAAATTGCCATAGAAACGGATGTTAAAAATGTAATATTTTAGCTGGAAAATGAAAAATTCATATTTTGGTCCAAAAAAAAACGACATAGTATACTATGTCGAAAATTTCAGATTTTAGGCTGAAAATAAAATTCAGATTTTAGGATGAAAAAACATGCCATAGTATTGTCTGATCAAATTGCCATAGAAACGGATGTTAAAAATGTAATATTTTAGCCGGAAAATGAAAAATTCATATTTTGGTCCGAAAAAAAACGACATAGTATATACTATGTCGAAAATTTCAGATTTTAGGCTGAAAATAAAATTCTGATTTTAGGATGAAAAAACATGCCATAGTATTGTCTGATCAAATTGCCATAGAAACGGATGTTAAAAATGTAATGTTTTAGCCGGAAAATGAAAAATTCATATTTTGGTCCAAAAAAAAACGACATAGTATACTATGTCGAAAATTTCAGATTTTAGAATGAAAATAAATTTCAGATTTTAGGATGAAAAAACATGCCATAGTATTGTCTGATCACATTGCCATAGAAACGGATGTTAAAAATGTAATATTTTAGCCAGAAAACGAAAAATTCATATTTTGGTCCGAAAAAAAACGACATAGTATACTATGTCGAAAATTTCAGATTTTAGGCTGAAAATAAAATTCTGATTTTAGGATGAAAAAACATGCCATAGTATTGTCTGATCAAATTGCCATAGAAACGGATGTTAAAAATGTAATATTTTAGCCGGAAAATGAAAAATTCATATTTTGGTCCGAAAAAAAAACGACATAGTATACTATGTCGAAAATTTCAGATTTTAGGCTGAAAATAAAATTCAGATTTTAGGATGAAAAAACATGCCATAGTATTGTCTGATCAAATTGCCATAGAAAGGGATGTTAAAACTGTAATATTTTAGCCGGAAAATGAAAAATTCATATTTTGGTCCGAAAAAAAAACGACATAGTATACTATGTCGAAAATTTCAGATTTTAGGCTGAAAATAAAATTCTGATTTTAGGATGAAAAAACATGCCATAGTATTGTATGATCAAATTGCCATAGAAACGGATGTTAAAAATGTAATGTTTTAGCCGGAAAATGAAAAATTCATATTTTGGTCCGAAAAAAAACGACATAGTATACTATGTCGAAAATTTCAGATTTTAGGCTGAAAATAAAATTCTGATTTTAGGATGAAAAAACATGCCATAGTATTGTCTGATCAAATTGCCATAGAAACGGATGTTAAAACTGTAATATTTTAGCCGGAAAATGAAAAATTCATATTTTGGTCCGAAAAAAAAACGACATAGTATACTATGTCGAAAATTTCAGATTTTAGGCTGAAAATAAAATTCTGATTTTAGGATGAAAAAACATGCCATAGTATTGTCTGATCACATTGCCATAGAAACGGATGTTAAAAATGTAATATTTTAGCCGGAAAATGAAAAATTCATATTTTGGTCCGAAAAAAAACGACATAGTATATACTATGTCGAAAATTTCAGATTTTAGGCTGAAAATAAAATTCAGATTTTAGGATGAAAAAACATGCCATAGTATTGTCTGGTCAAATTGCCATAGAAACGGATGTTAAAAATGTAATGTTTTAGCCGGAAAATGAAAAATTCATATTTTGGTCCAAAAAAAAACGACATAGTATACTATGTCGAAAATTTCAGATTTTAGGCTGAAAATAAAATTCAGATTTTAGGATGAGAAAACATGCCATAGTATTGTCTGATCAAATTGCCATAGAAACGTATGTTAAAACTGTAATATTTTAGCCGAAAAATGAAAAATTCATATTTTGGTCCGAAAAAAAAAACAACATAGTATACTATGTCGAAAATTTCAGATTTTAGGCTGAAAATAAAATTCTGATTTTAGGATGAAAAAACATGCCATAGTATTGTATGATCAAATTGCCATAGAAACGGATGTTAAAACTGTAATATTTTAGCCGGAAAATGAAAAATTCATATTTTGGTCCGAAAAAAAAAACGACATAGTATACTATGTCGAAAATTTCAGATTTTAGGCTGAAAATAAAATTCTGATTTTAGGATGAAAAAACATGCCATAGTATTGTCTGATCACATTGCCATAGAAACGGATGTTAAAAATGTAATATTTTAGCTGGAAAATGAAAAATTCATATTTTGGTCCGAAAAAAAACGACATAGTATACTATGTCGAAAATTTCAGATTTTAGGCTGAAAATAAAATTCAGATTTTAGGATGAAAAAACATGCCATAGTATTGTCTGATCAAATTGCCATCGAAACGGATGTTAAAAATGTAATATTTTAGCTGGAAAATGAAAAATTCATATTTTGGTCCGAAAAAAAACGACATAGTATACTATGTCGAAAATTTCAGATTTTAGGCTGAAAATAAAATTCAGATTTTAGGATGAAAAAACATGCCATAGTATTGTCTGATCAAATTGCCATAGAAACGGATGTTAAAAATGTAATATTTTAGCCGGAAAATGAAAAATTCATATTTTGGTCCGAAAAAAAACGACATAGTATATACTATGTCGAAAATTTCAGATTTTAGGCTGAAAATAAAATTCTGATTTTAGGATGAAAAAACATGCCATAGTATTGTCTGATCAAATTGCCATAGAAACGGATGTTAAAAATGTAATGTTTTAGCCGGAAAATGAAAAATTCATATTTTGGTCCAAAAAAAAACGACATAGTATACTATGTCGAAAATTTCAGATTTTAGGCTGAAAATAAAATTCAGATTTTAGGATGAAAAAACATGCCATAGTATTGTCTGATCAAATTGCCATAGAAACGGATGTTAAAAATGTAATATTTTAGCCGGAAAATGAAAAATTCATATTTTGGTCCGAAAAAAAACGACATAGTATACTATGTCGAAAATTTCAGATTTTAGGCTGAAAATAAAATTCTGATTTTAGGATGAAAAAACATGCCATAGTATTGTCTGATCAAATTGCCATAGAAACGGATGTTAAAAATGTAATATTTTAGCCGGAAAATGAAAAATTCATATTTTGGTCCGAAAAAAAAACGACATAGTATACTATGTCGAAAATTTCAGATTTTAGGCTGAAAATAAAATTCAGATTTTAGGATGAAAAAACATGCCATAGTATTGTCTGATTAAATTGCCATAGAAAGGGATGTTAAAACTGTAATATTTTAGCCGGAAAATGAAAAATTCATATTTTGGTCCGAAAAAAAAACGACATAGTATACTATGTCGAAAATTTCAGATTTTAGGCTGAAAATAAAATTCAGATTTTAGGATGAAAAAACATGCCATAGTATTGTCTGATCACATTGCCATAGAAACGGATGTTAAAACTGTAATATTTTAGCCGGAAAATGAAAAATTCATATTTTGGTCCGAAAAAAAACGACATAGTATACTATGTCGAAAATTTCAGATTTTAGGCTGAAAATAAAATTCAGATTTTAGGATGAGAAAAACATGCCATAGTATTGTCTGATCAAATTGCCATAGAAACGGATGTTAAAAATGTAATATTTTAGCCGGAAAATGAAAAATTCATATTTTGCTCCGAAAAAAAAACCGACATAGTATACTATGTCGAAAATTTCAGATTTTAGGCTGAAAATAAAATTCTGATTTTAGGATGAAAAAACATGCCATAGTATTGTCTGATCAAATTGCCATAGAAACGGATGTTAAAACTGTAATATTTTAGCCGGAAAATGAAAAATTCATATTTTGGTCCGAAAAAAAACGACATAGTATACTATGTCGAAAATTTCAGATTTTAGGCTGAAAATAAAATTCTGATTTTAGGATGAAAAAACATGCCATAGTATTGTCTGATCACATTGCCATAGAAACGGATGTTAAAAATTTAATATTTTAGCCGGAAAACGAAAAATTCATATTTTGGTCAGAAAAAAAACGACATAGTATACTATGTCGAAAATTTCAGATTTTAGGCTGAAAATAAAATTCTGATTTTAGGATGAAAAAACATGCCATAGTATTGTCTGATCAAATTGCCATTGAAACAGATGTTAAAAATGTAATATTTTAGCCGGAAAATGAAAAATTCATATTTTGGTCCGAAAAAAAAACGACATAGTATACTATGTCGAAAATTTCAGATTTTAGGCTGAAAATAAAATTCTGATTTTAGGATGAAAAAACATGCCATAGTATTGTCTGATCAAATTGCCATATAGAAACGGATGTTAAAAATGTAATATTTTAGCTGGAAAATGAAAAATTCATATTTTGGTCCGAAAAAAAACGACATAGTATACTATGTCGAAAATTTCAGATTTTAGGCTGAAAATAAAATTCTGATTTTAGGATGAAAAAACATGCCATAGTATTGTCTGATCAAATTGCCATAGAAACGGATGTTAAAACTGTAATATTTTAGCCGGAAAATGAAAAATTCATATTTTGGTCCGAAAAAAAACGACATAGTATACTATGTCGAAAATTTCAGATTTTAGGCTGAAAATAAAATTCTGATTTTAGGATGAAAAAACATGCCATAGTATTGTCTGATCACATTGCCATAGAAACGGATGTTAAAAATGTAATATTTTAGCCGGAAAATGAAAAATTCATATTTTGGTCCGAAAAAAAACGACATAGTATATACTATGTCGAAAATTTCAGATTTTAGGCTGAAAATAAAATTCAGATTTTAGGATGAAAAAACATGCCATAGTATTGTCTGGTCAAATTGCCATCGAAACGGATGTTAAAACTGTAATATTTTAGCCGGAAAATGAAAAATTCATATTTTGGTCCGAAAAAAAACGACATAGTATACTATGTCGAAAATTTCAGATTTTAGGCTGAAAATAAAATTCTGATTTTAGGATGAGAAAACATGCCATAGTATTGTCTGATCAAATTGCCATAGAAACGGATGTTAAAAATGTAATATTTTAGCCGGAAAATGAAAAATTCATATTTTGGTCCGAAAAAAAAAACAACATAGTATACTATGTCGAAAATTTCAGATTTTAGGCTGAAAATAAAATTCAGATTTTAGGATGAAAAAACATGCCATAGTATTGTCTGATCAAATTGCCATAGAAACGGATGTTAAAACTGTAATATTTTAGCCGGAAAATGAAAAATTCATATTTTGGTCCGAAAAAAAAAACGACATAGTATACTATGTCGAAAATTTCAGATTTTAGGCTGAAAATAAAATTCTGATTTTAGGATGAGAAAACATGCCATAGTATTGTCTGATCAAATTGCCATAGAAACGTATGTTAAAACTGTAATATTTTAGCCGAAAAATGAAAAATTCATATTTTGGTCCGAAAAAAAAAACAACATAGTATACTATGTCGAAAATTTCAGATTTTAGGCTGAAAATAAAATTCAGATTTTAGGATGAAAAAACATGCCATAGTATTGTCTCATCAAATTGCCATAGAAACGGATGTTAAAACTGTAATATTTTAGTCGGAAAATGAAAAATTCATATTTTGGTCCGAAAAAAAACGACATAGTATACTATGTCGAAAATTTCAGATTTTAGGCTGAAAATAAAATTCTGATTTTAGGATGAAAAAACATGCCATAGTATTGTCTGATCACATTGCCATAGAAACGGATGTTAAAAATGTAATATTTTAGCTGGAAAATGAAAAATTCATATTTTGGTCCGAAAAAAAACGACATAGTAAACTATGTCGAAAATTTCAGATTTTAGGCTGAAAATAAAATTCAGATTTTAGGATGAAAAAACATGCCATAGTATTGTCTCATCAAATTGCCATAGAAACGGATGTTAAAACTGTAATATTTTAGCCGGAAAATGAAAAATTCATATTTTGGTCCGAAAAAAAAACGACATAGTATACTATGTCGAAAATTTCAGATTTTAGGCTGAAAATAAAATTCTGATTTTAGGATGAAAAAACATGCCATAGTATTGTCTGATCAAATTGCCATCGAAACGGATGTTAAAAATGTAATATTTTAGCTGGAAAATGAAAAATTCATATTTTGGTCCGAAAAAAAACGACATAGTATACTATGTCGAAAATTTCAGATTTTAGGCTGAAAATAAAATTCAGATTTTAGGATGAAAAAACATGCCATAGTATTGTCTGATCAAATTGCCATCGAAACGGATGTTAAAAATGTAATATTTTAGCTGGAAAATGAAAAATTCATATTTTGGTCCGAAAAAAAACGACATAGTATATACTATGTCGAAAATTTCAGATTTTAGGCTGAAAATAAAATTCTGATTTTAGGATGAAAAAACATGCCATAGTATTGTCTGATCAAATTGCCATTGAAACAGATGTTAAAAATGTAATGTTTTAGCCGGAAAATGAAAAATTCATATTTTGGTCCAAAAAAAAACGACATAGTATACTATGTCGAAAATTTCAGATTTTAGGCTGAAAATAAAATTCAGATTTTAGGATGAGAAAACATGCCATAGTATTGTCTGATCACATTGCCATAGAAACGGATGTTAAAAATTTAATATTTTAGCCGGAAAAGGAAAAATTCATATTTTGGTCCGAAAAAAAACGACATAGTAAACTATGTCGAAAATTTCAGATTTTAGGCTGAAAATAAAATTCTGATTTTAGGATGAAAAAACATGCCATAGTATTGTCTGATCAAATTGCCATAGAAAGAGATGTTAAAAATGTAATATTTTAGCTGGAAAATGAAAAATTCATATTTTGGTCCAAAAAAAAAAAACGACATAGTATACTATGTCGAAAATTTCAGATTTTAGGCTGAAAATAAAATTCAGATTTTAGGATGAAAAAACATGCCATAGTATTGTCTGATCAAATTGCCATAGAAACGGATGTTAAAACTGTAATATTTTAGCCGGAAAATGAAAAATTCATATTTTGGTCCGAAAAAAAAACGACATAGTATACTATGTGGAAAATTTCAGATTTTAGGCTGAAAATAAAATTCTGATTTTAGGATGAAAAAACATGCCATAGTATTGTCTGATCAAATTGCCATAGAAACGGATGTTAAAAATGTAATATTTTAGCTGGAAAATGAAAAATTCATATTTTGGTCCGAAAAAAAACGACATAGTATACTATGTCGAAAATTTCAGATTTTAGGCTGAAAATAAAATTCAGATTTTAGGATGAAAAAACATGCCATAGTATTGTCTGATCAAATTGCCATGGAAAAGGATGTTAATTATGTAATATTTTAGCTGGAAAATGAAAAATTCATATTTTGGTCCGAAAAAAAACGACATAGTATATACTATGTCGAAAATTTCAGATTTTAGGCTGAAAATAAAATTCTGATTTTAGGATGAAAAAACATGCCATAGTATTGTATGATCAAATTGCCATTGAAACAGATGTTAAAAATGTAATGTTTTAGCCGGAAAATGAAAAATTCATATTTTGGTCCGAAAAAAAACGACATAGTATACTATGTCGAAAATTTCAGATTTTAGGCTGAAAATAAAATTCAGATTTTAGGATGAGAAAACATGCCATAGTATTGTCTGATCACATTGCCATAGAAACGGATGTTAAAAATTTAATATTTTAGCCGGAAAAGGAAAAATTCATATTTTGGTCCGAAAAAAAACGACATAGTAAACTATGTCGAAAATTTCAGATTTTAGGCTGAAAATAAAATTCTGATTTTAGGATGAAAAAACATGCCATAGTATTGTCTGATCAAATTGCCATAGAAAGAGATGTTAAAAATGTAATATTTTAGCTGGAAAATGAAAAATTCATATTTTGGTCCAAAAAAAAACGACATAGTATACTATGTCGAAAATTTCAGATTTTAGGCTGAAAATAAAATTCAGATTTTAGGATGAAAAAACATGCCATAGTATTGTCTGATCAAATTGCCATAGAAACGGATGTTAAAACTGTAATATTTTAGCCGGAAAATGAAAAATTCATATTTTGGTCCGAAAAAAAAACGACATAGTATACTATGTCGAAAATTTCAGATTTTAGGCTGAAAATAAAATTCTGATTTTAGGATGAAAAAACATGCCATAGTATTGTCTGATCAAATTGCCATAGAAACGGATGTTAAAAATGTAATGTTTTAGCCAGAAAATGAAAAATTCATATTTTGGTCCGAAAAAAAACGACATAGTATACTATGTCGAAAATTTCAGATTTTAGGCTGAAAATAAAATTCAGATTTTAGGATGAAAAAACATGCCATAGTATTGTATGATCAAATTGCCATAGAAACGGATGTTAAAAATGTAATATTTTAGCCGGAAAATGAAAAATTCATATTTTGGTCCGAAAAAAAAACGACATAGTATACTATGTCGAAAATTTCAGATTTTAGGCTGAAAATAAAATTCAGATTTTAGGATGAAAAAACATGCCATAGTATTGTCTGATCAAATTGCCATAGAAACGGATGTTAAAACTGTAATATTTTAGCCGGAAAATGAAAAGTTCATATTTTGGTCCGAAAAAAAAAACGACATAGTATACTATGTCGAAAATTTCAGATTTTAGGCTGAAAATGAAATTCAGATTTTAGGATGAAAAAACATGCCATAGTATTGTCTGATCAAATTGCCATTGAAACAGATGTTAAAAATGTAATGTTTTAGCCGGAAAATGAAAAATTCATATTTTGGTCCGAAAAAAAACGACATAGTATACTATGTCGAAAATTTCAGATTTTAGGCTGAAAATAAAATTCAGATTTAAGGATGAAAAAACATGCCATAGTATTGTCTGATCAAATTGCCATAGAAACGGATGTTTAAAATGTAATATTTTAGCTGGAAAATGAAAAATTCATATTTTGGTCCGAAAAAAAACGACATAGTATACTATGTCGAAAATTTCAGATTTTAGGCTGAAAATAAAATTCTGATTTTAGGATGAAAAAACATGCCATAGTATTGTCTGATCAAATTGCCATAGAAACGGATGTTAAAACTGTAATATTTTAGCCGGAAAATGAAAAATTCATATTTTGGTCCGAAAAAAAAACGACATAGTATACTATGTCGAAAATTTCAGATTTTAGGCTGAAAATAAAATTCTGATTTTAGGATGAAAAAACATGCCATAGTATTGTCTGATCAAATTGCCATAGAAACGGATGTTAAAAATGTAATATTTTAGCCAGAAAACGAAAAATTCATATTTTGGTACGAAAAAAAAACGACATAGTATACTATGTCGAAAATTTCAGATTTTAGGCTGAAAATAAAATTCAGATTTTAGGATGAAAAAACATGCCATAGTATTGTCTGATCAAATTGCCATAGAAACGGATGATAAAACTGTAATATTTTAGCCGGAAAATGAAAAATTCATATTTTGGTCTGAAAAAAAAACGACATAGTATACTATGTCGAAAATTTCAGATTTTAGGCTGAAAATAAAATTCTGATTTTAGGATGAAAAAACATGCCATAGTATTGTCTGATCACATTGCCATAGAAACGGATGTTAAAACTGTAATATTTTAGCTGGAAAATGAAAAATTCATATTTTGGTCCGAAAAAAACGACAGTATACTATGTCGAAAATTTGAGATTTTAGGCTGAAAATAAAATTCAGATTTAAGGATGAAAAAACATGCCATAGTATTGTCTGATCAAATTGCCATAGAAACGGATGTTAAAAATGTAATATTTTAGCTGGAAAATGAAAAATTCATATTTTGGTCCGAAAAAAAACGACATAGTATACTATGTCGAAAATTTCAGATTTTAGGCTGAAAATAAAATTCAGATTTTAGGATGAAAAAACATGCCATAGTATTGTCTGATCAAATTGCCATAGAAACGGATGTTAAAAATGTAATATTTTAGCCGGAAAATGAAAAATTCATATTTTGGTCCGAAAAAAAACGACATAGTATACTATGTCGAAAATTTCAGATTTTAGGCTGAAAATAAAATTCAGATTTTAGGATTAAAAAAACATGCCATAGTATTGTCTGATCAAATTGCCATAGAAACGGATGTTAAAAATGTAATATTTTAGCCGGAAAATGAAAAATTCATATTTTGGTCCGAAAAAAAACGACATAGTATACTATGTCGAAAATTTCAGATTTTAGGCTGAAAATAAAATTCTGATTTTAGGATGAAAAAACATGCCATAGTATTGTCTGATCACATTGCCATAGAAACGGATGTTAAAAATGTAATATTTTAGCCGGAAAATGAAAAATTCATACTTTGCTCCGCAAAAAAAAACACATAGTATACTATGTCGAAAATTTCAGATTTTAGGCTGAAAATAAAATTCAGATTTTAGGATGAAAAAACATGCCATAGTATTGTCTGATCAAATTGCCATAGAAACGGATGTTAAAACTGTAATATTTTAGCCGGAAAATGAAAAATTCATATTTTGGTCCGAAAAAAAAATGACATAGTATACTATGTCGAAAATTTCAGATTTTAGGCTGAAAATAAAATTCTGATTTTAGGATTAAAAAACATGCCATAGTATTGTCTGATCACATTGCCATAGAAACGGATGTTAAAAATGTAATATTTTAGCCGGAAAACAAAAAATTCATATTTTGGTCCGAAAAAAAACGACATAGTATACTATGTCGAAAATTTCAGATTTTAGGCTGAAAATAAAATTCAGATTTTAGGATCAAAAACATGCCATAGTATTGTCTGATCAAATTGCCATAGAAACGGATGTTAAAAATGTAACATTTTAGCTGGAAAATGAAAAATTCATATTTTGGTCCGAAAAAAAACGACATAGTATACTATGTCGAAAATTTCAGATTTTAGGCTGAAAATAAAATTCAGATTTTAGGATGAAAAAACATGCCATAGTATTGTCTGATCACATTGCCATAGAAACGGATGTTAAAAATGTAATATTTTAGCCGGAAAATGAAAAATTCATATTTTGGTCCGAAAAAAACGACATAGTATACTATGTCGAAAATTTCAGATTTTAGGCTGAAAATAAAATTCAGATTTAAGGATGAAAAAACATGCCATAGTATTGTCTGATCAAATTGCCAAAGAAACGGATGTTGAAAATGTAATATTTTAGCTGGAAAATGAAAAATTCATATTTTGGTCCGAAAAAAAACGACATAGTATACTATGTCGAAAATTTCAGATTTTAGGCTGAAAATAAAATTCTGATTTTAGGATGAAAAAACATGCCATAGTATTGTCTGATCAAATTGCCATAGAAACGGATGTTAAAACTGTAATATTTTAGCCGGAAAATGAAAAATTCATATTTTGGTCCGAAAAAAAACGACATAGTATACTATGTCGAAAATTTCAGATTTTAGGCTGAAAATAAAATTCTGATTTTAGGATGAAAAAACATGCCATAGTATTGTCTGATCAAATTGCCATAGAAACGGATGTTAAAAATGTAATATTTTAGCCGGAAAATGAAAAATTCATATTTTGGTCCGAAAAAAAACGACATAGTATACTATGTCGAAAATTTCAGATTTTAGGCTGAAAATAAAATTCAGATTTTAGGATGAAAAAACATGCCATAGTATTGTCTGATCAAATTGCCATAGAAACGGATGTTAAAAATGTAATATTTTAGACGGAAAATGAAAAATTCATATTTTGGTCCGAAAAAAAAACGACATAGTATACTATGTCGAAAATTTCAGATTTTAGGCTGAAAATAAAATTCAGATTTTAGGATGAAAAAACATGCCATAGTATTGTCTGATCAAATTGCCATAGAAACGGATGTTAAAAATGTAATATTTTAGCCGGAAAATGAAAAATTCATATTTTGGTCTGAAAAAAAACGACATAGTATACTATGTCGAAAATTTCAGATTTTAGGCTGAAAATAAAATTCTGATTTTAGGATGAAAAAACATGCCATAGTATTGTCTGATCACATTGCCATAGAAACGGATGTTAAAAATGTAATATTTTAGCTGGAAAATGAAAAATTCATATTTTGGTCCGAAAAAAACGACATAGTATACTATGTCGAAAATTTCAGATTTTAGGCTGAAAATAAAATTCAGATTTTAGGATGAAAAAACATGCCATAGTATTGTCTGATCACATTGCCATAGAAACGGATGTTAAAAATGTAATATTTTAGCTGGAAAATGAAAAATTCATATTTTGGTCCGAAAAAAAACGACATAGTATACTATGTCGAAAATTTCAGATTTTAGGCTGAAAATAAAATTTAGATTTTAGGATGAAAAAACATGCCATAGTATTGTCTGATCACATTGCCATAGAAACGGATGTTAAAAATGTAATATTTTAGCCGGAAAACGAAAAATTCATATTTTGGTCCGAAAAAAAACGACGTAGTATACTTTGTCGAAAATTTCAGATTTTAGGCTGAAAATAAAATTTAGATTTTAGGATGAAAAAACATGCCATAGTATTGTCTGATCAAATTGCCATAGAAACGGATGTTAAAACTGTAATATTTTAGCCGGAAAATGAAAAATTCATATTTTGGTCTGAAAAAAAAACGACATAGTATACTATGTCAAAAATTTCAGATTTTAGGCTGAAAATAAAATTCTGATTTTAGGATGAAAAAACATGCCATAGTATTGTCTGATCAAATTGCCATTGAAACAGATGTTAAAAATGTAATATTTTAGCCGGAAAACGAAAAATTCATATTTTGGTCCGAAAAAAAACGACATAGTATACTATGTCGAAAATTTCAGATTTTAGGCTGACAATGAAATTCAGATTTTAGGATGAAAAAACATGCCATAGTATTGTATGATCAAATTGCCATTGAAACAGATGTTAAAAATGTAATGTTTTAGCCGGAAAATGAAAAATTCATATTTTGGTCCGAAAAAAAAACGACATAGTATACTATGTCGAAAATTTCAGATTTTAGGCTGAAAATAAAATTCTGATTTTAGGATGAAAAAACATGCCATAGTATTGTCTGATCAAATTGCCATAGAAACGGATGTTAAAAATGTAATATTTTAGCTGGAAAATGAAAAATTCATATTTGGGTCCGAAAAAAAACGACAAAGTATATACTATGTCGAAAATTTCAGATTTTAGGCTTAAAATAAAATTCAGATTTTAGGATGAAAAAACATGCCATAGTATTGTCTGATCAAATTGCCATAGAAACGGATGTTAAAAATGTAATGTTTTAGCCGGAAAATGAAAAATTCATATTTTGGTCCAAAAAAAAACGACATAGTATACTATGTCGAAAATTTCAGCTTTTAGGCTGAAAATAAAATTCAGATTTTAGGATGAGAAAACATGCCATAGTATTGTCTGATCAAATTGCCATAGAAACGGATGTTAAAACTGTAATATTTTAGCCGGAAAATGAAAAATTCATATTTTGGTCCGAAAAAAAAACGACATAGTATACTATGTCGAAAATTTCAGATTTTAGGCTGAAAATAAAATTCTGATTTTAGGATGAAAAAACATGCCATAGTATTGTCTGATCAAATTGCCATAGAAACGGATGTTAAAACTGTAATATTTTAGCCGGAAAATGAAAAATTCATATTTTGGTCCGAAAAAAAACGACATAGTATACTATGTCGAAAATTTCAGATTTTAGGCTGAAAATAAAATTCAGATTTTAGGGATGAAAAAACATGCCATAGTATTGTCTGATCAAATTGCCATAGAAACGGATGTTAAAAATGTAATATTTAAGCCGGAAAATTAAAAATTCATATTTTGGTCCGCAAAAAAAACGACAGTATACTATGTCGAAATTTTCAGATTTTAGGCTGAAAATAAAATTCAGATTTTAGGATGAAAAAACATGCCATAGTATTGTCTGATCACATTGCCATAGAAACGGATGTTAAAAATGTAATATTTTAGCTGATAATGAAAAATTCATATTTTGGTCCGAAAAAAAACGACATAGTATACTATGTCGAAAATTTCAGATTTTAGGCTGAAAATAAAATTCAGATTTTAGGATGAAAAAACATGCCATAGTATTGTCTGATCACATTGCCATAGAAACGGATGTTAAAAATGTAATATTTTAGCCGGAAAACGAAAAATTCATATTTTGGTCCGAAAAAAAACGACATAGTATACTATGTCAAAAATTTCAGATTTTAGGCTGAAAATAAAATTCTGATTTTAGGATGAAAAAACATGCCATAGTATTGTCTTATCACATTGCCATAGAAACGGATGTTAAAAATGTAATATTTTAGCTGATAATGAAAAATTCATATTTTGGTCCGAAAAAAAAACGACATAGTATACTATGTCGAAAATTTCAGATTTTAGGCTGAAAATAAAATTCAGATTTTAGGATGAAAAAACATGCCATAGTATTGTCTGATCACATTGCCATAGAAACGGATGTTAAAAATGTAATATTTTAGCCGGAAAATGAAAAATTCATATTTTGGTCCGAAAAAAAACGACATAGTATACTATGTCAAAAAATTTCAGATTTTAGGCTGAAAATAAAATTCTGATTTTAGGATGAAAAAACATGCCATAGTATTGTCTGATCACATTGCCATAGAAACGGATGTTAAAAATGTAATATTTTAGCCGGAAAACGAAAAATTCATATTTTGGTCCGAAAAAAAACGACATAGTATACTATGTCAAAAATTTCAGATTTTAGGCTGAAAATAAAATTCTGATTTTAGGATGAAAAAACATGCCATAGTATTGTCTGATCACATTGCCATAGAAACGGATGTTAAAAATGTAATATTTTAGCTGTTAATGAAAAATTCATATTTTGGTCCGAAAAAAAAACGACATAGTATACTATGTCGAAAATTTCAGATTTTAGGCTGAAAATAAAATTCAGATTTTAGTATGAAAAAACATGCCATAGTATTGTCTGATCAAATTGCCATAGAAACGGATGTTAAAAATGTAATATTTTAGCTGGAAAATGAAAAATTCATATTTTGGTCCGAAAAAAAACGACATAGTATACTATCTTGAAAATTTCAGATTTTAGAATGAAAATAAATTTCAGATTTTAGGATGAAAAAACATGCCATAGTATTGTCTGATCACATTGCCATAGAAACGGATGTTAAAAATGTAATATTTTAGCCGGAAAACGAAAAATTCATATTTTGGTCCGAAAAAAAACGACATAGTATACTATGTCTAAAATTTCAGATTTTAGGCTGAAAATAAAATTCTGATTTTAGGATGAAAAAACATGCCATAGTATTGTCTGATCAAATTGCCATAGAAACGGATGTTAAAACTGTAATATTTTAGCTGGAAAATGAAAAATTCATATTTTGGTCCGAAAAAAAACGACATAGTATACTATGTTGAAAATTTCAGATTTTAGGCTGAAAATAAAATTCTGATTTTAGGATGAAAAAACATGCCATAGTATTGTCTGATCAAATTGCCATTGAAACGGATGTTAAAAATGTAATATTTTAGCCGGAAAATGAAAAATTCATATTTTGCTCTGCAAAAAAAAACACATAGTATACTATGTCGAAAATTTCAGATTTTAGGCTGAAAATAAAATTCAGATTTTAGGATGAAAAAACATGCCATAGTATTGTCTGATCAAATTGCCATAGAAACGGATGTTAAAACTGTAATATTTTAGCCGGAAAATGAAAATTCATATTTTGGTCCGAAAAAAAAATGACATAGTATACTATGTCGAAAATTTCAGATTTTAGGCTGAAAATAAAATTCTGATTTTAGGATTAAAAAACATGCCATTGTATTGTCTGATCACATTGCCATAGAAACAGATGTTAAAAATGTAATATTTTAGCCGGAAAACAAAAAATTCATATTTTGGTCCGAAAAAAAACGACATAGTATACTATGTCGAAAATTTCAGATTTTAGGCTGAAAATAAAATTCAGATTTTAGGATGAAAAAACATGCCATAGTATTGTCTGATCAAATTGCCATAGAAACGGATGTTAAAAATGTAATATTTTAGCTGATAATGAAAAATTCATATTTTGGTCCGAAAAAAAACCGACATAGTATACTATGTCGAAAATTTCAGATTTTAGGCTGAAAATAAAATTCTGATTTTAGGATGAAAAAACATGCCATAGTATTGTCTGATCACATTGCCATAGAAACAGATATTAAAAATGTAATATTTTAGCCGGAAAACAAAAAATTCATATTTTGGTCCGAAAAAAAACGACATAGTATACTATGTCGAAAATTTCAGATTTTAGGCTGAAAATAAAATTCAGATTTTAGGATCAAAAACATGCCATAGTATTGTCTGATCAAATTGCCATAGAAACGGATGTTAAAAATGTAATATTTTAGCTGATAATGAAAAATTCATATTTTGGTCCGAAAAAAAAACGACATAGTATACTATGTCGAAAATTTCAGATTTTAGGCTGAAAATAAAATTCTGATTTTAGGATGAAAAAACATGCCATAGTATTGTCTGATCACATTGCCATAGAAACGGATGTTAAAAATGTAATATTTTAGCCGGAAAACGAAAAATTCATATTTTGGTCCGAAAAAAAAACGACTTAGTATACTATGTCGAAAATTTCAGATTTTAGGCTGAAAAAACATGCCATAGTATTGTCTGATCAAATTGCCATAGAAACGGATGTTAAAACTGTAATATTTTAGCTGGAAAATGAAAAATTCATATTTTGGTCCGAAAAAAAACGACATAGTATACTATCTTGAAAATTTCAGATTTTAGAATGAAAATAAATTTCAGATTTTAGGATGAAAAAACATGCCATAGTATTGTCTGATCACATTGCCATAGAAACGGATGTTAAAAATGTAATATTTTAGCCAGAAAACGAAAAATTCATATTTTGGTCCAAAAAAAAACGACATAGTATACTATGTCGAAAATTTCAGATTTTAGGCTGAAAATACAATTCAGATTTTAGGATGAAAAAACATGCCATAGTATTGTCTGATCACATTGCCATAGAAACGGATGTTAAAAATGTAATATTTTAGCCGGAAAACGAAAAATTCATATTTTGGTCCGAAAAAAAACCACATAATGTCGAAAATTTCAGATTTTAGGCTGAAAATAAAATTCAGATTTTAGGATGAAAAAACATGCCATAGTATTGTCTGATCAAATTGCCATAGAAACGGATGTTAAAAATGTAATATTTTAGCCGGAAAACGAAAAATTCATATTTTGGTCCGAAAAAAAACGACATAGTATACTATGTCGAAAATTTCAGATTTTAGGCTGAAAATAAAATTCAGATTTTAGGATCAAAAAACATGCCATAGTATTGTCTGATCAAATTGCCATAGAAACAGATGTTAAAACTGTAATATTTTAGCTGGAAAATGAAAAATTCATATTTTGGTCCGAAAAAAAACGACATAGTATACTATCTTGAAAATTTCAGATTTTAGAATGAAAATAAATTTCAGATTTTAGGATGAAAAAACATGCCATCGTATTGTCTGATCACATTGCCATAGAAACGGATGTTAAAAATGTAATATTTTAGCCAGAAAACGAAAAATTCATATTTTGGTCCGAAAAAAAATGACATAGTATACTATGTCGAAAATTTCAGATTTCAGGCTGAAAATTAAATTCAGATTTTAGGATCAAAAAACATGCCATAGTATTGTCTGATCAAATTGCCATAGAAACGGATGTTAAAAATGTAATATTTTAGCTGATAATGAAAAATTCATATTTTGGTCCGAAAAAAAAACGACATAGTATACTATGTCGAAAATTTCAGATTTTAGGCTGAAAATAAAATTCAGATTTTAGGATGAAAAAACATGCCATAGTATTGTCTGATCAAATTGCCATAGAAACGGATGTTAAAACTGTAATATTTTAGACGGAAAATGAAAAATTCATATTTTGGTCCGAAAAAAAAACGACATAGTATACTATGTCGAAAATTTCAGATTTTAGGCTGAAAATAAAATTCAGATTTTAGGATGAAAAAACATGCCATAGTATTGTCTGATCACATTGCCATAGAAACGGATGTTAAAAATGTAATATTTTAGCTGGAAAATGAAAAATTCATATTTTGGTCCGAAAAAAAACGACATAGTATACGATGTCGAAAATTTCAGATTTTAGGCTGAAAATAAAATTCAGATTTTAGGATGAAAAAACATGCCATAGTATTGTCTGATCACATTGCCATAGAAATGGATGTTAAAAATGTAATATTTTAGCTGGAAAATGAAAAATTCATATTTTGGTACGAAAAAAAACGACATAGTATATACTATGTCGAAAATTTCAGATTTTAGGCTGAAAATAAAATTCTGATTTTAGGATGAAAAAACATGCCATAGTATTGTCTGATCAAATTGCCATAGAAACGGATGTTAAAAATGTAATATTTTAGCTGGAAAATGAAAAATTCATATTTGGGTCCGAAAAAAAACGACAAAGTATATACTATGTCGAAAATTTCAGATTTTAGGCTTAAAATAAAATTCTGATTTTAGGATGAAAAAACATGCCATAGTATTGTCTGATCAAATTGCCATTGAAACAGATGTTAAAAATGTAATGTTTTAGCCGGAAAATGAAAAATTCATATTTTGGTCCGAAAAAAAACGACATAGTATACTATGTCGAAAATTTCAGATTTTAGGCTGAAAATAAAATTCAGATTTTAGGATGAGAAAACATGCCATAGTATTGTCTGATCAAATTGCCATAGAAACGGATGTTAAAACTGTAATATTTTAGCCGGAAAACGAAAAATTCATATTTTGGTCCGAAAAAAAACGACATAGTATACTATGTCGAAAATTTCAGATTTTAGGCTGAAAATAAAATTCTGATTTTAGGATGAAAAAACATGCCATAGTATTGTCTGATCAAATTGCCATAGAAAGGGATGTTAAAACTGTAATATTTTAGCCGGAAAATGAAAAATTCATATTTTGGTCCGAAAAAAAACGACATAGTATACTATGTCGAAAATTTCAGATTTTAGGCTGAAAATAAAATTCAGATTTTAGGGATGAAAAAACATGCCATAGTATTGTCTGATCAAATTGCCATAGAAACGGATGTTAAAAATGTAATATTTAAGCCGGAAAATGAAAAATTCATATTTTGGTCCGCAAAAAAAACGACAGTATACTATGTCGAAATTTTCAGATTTTAGGCTGAAAATAAAATTCAGATTTTAGGATGAAAAAACATGCCATAGTATTGTCTGATCACATTGCCATAGAAACGGATGTTAAAAATGTAATATTTTTGCCGGAAAATGAAAAAATTCATATTTTTGTCCAAAAAAAAAACGACATAGTATACTATGTCGAAAATTTCAGATTTTAGGCTGAAAATAAAATTCAGATTTTAGGATGAAAAAACATGCCATAGTATTGTCTGATCAAATTGCCATAGAAACAGATGTTAAAACTGTAATATTTTAGCCTGAAAATGAAAAATTCATATTTTGATCCGAAAAAAAAACGACAGTATACTATGTCGAAAATTTCAGATTTTAGGCTGAAAATAAAATTCTGATTTCAGGATGAAAAAACATGCCATAGTATTGTCTGATCACATTGCCATAGAAACGGATGTTAAAAATGTAATATTTTAGCCGGAAAACGAAAAATTCATATTTTGGTCCGAAAAAAAACGACATAGTATACTATGTCGAAAATTTCAGATTTTAGGCAGAAAATAAAATTCTGATTTTAGGATGAAGAAACATGCCATAGTATTGTCTGATCAAATTGCCATAGAAACGGATGTTAAAACTGTAATATTTTAGCCGGAAAATGAAAAATTCATATTTTGGTCCGCAAAAAAAACGACATAGTATACTATGTCGAAAATTTCAGATTTTAGGCTGAAAATAAAATTCTGATTTTAGGATGAAAAAACATGCCATAGTATTGTCTGATCAAATTGCCATAGAAACGGATGTTAAAACTGTAATATTTTAGCTGGAAAACGAAAAATTCATATTTTGGTCTGAAAAAAAACGACATAGTATACTATCTTGAAAATTTCAGATTTTAGAATGAAAATAAATTTCAGATTTTAGGATGAAAAAACATGCCATAGTATTGTCTGATCACATTGCCATAGAAACGGATGTTAAAAATGTAATATTTTAGCCGGAAAACGAAAAATTCATATTTTGGTCCGAAAAAAAACGACATAGTATACTATGTCGAAAATTTCAGATTTTAGGCAGAAAATAAAATTCTGATTTTAGGATGAAGAAACATGCCATAGTATTGTCTGATCAAATTGCCATAGAAACGGATGTTAAAACTGTAATATTTTAGCCGGAAAATGAAAAATTCATATTTTGGTCCGAAAAAAAACGACATAGTATACTATGTCGAAAATTTCAGATTTTAGGCTGAAAATAAAATTCTGATTTTAGGATTAAAAAACATGCCATTGTATTGTCTGATCACATTGCCATAGAAACGGATGTTAAAAATGTAATATTTTAGCCGGAAAACGAAAAATTCATATTTTGGTCTGAAAAAAAACGACATAGTATACTATGTGGAAAATTTCAGATTTTAGGCTGAAAATAAAATTCAGATTTTAGGATCAAAAAACATGCCATAGTATTGTCTGATCAAATTGCCATAGAAACGGATGTTAAAAATGTAATATTTTAGCTGATAATGAAAAATTCATATTTTGGTCCGAAAAAATGTCGAAAATTTCAGATTTTAGGCTGAAAATAAAATTCTGATTTTAGGATGAAAAAACATGCCATAGTATTGTCTGATCAAATTGCCATAGAAACGGATGTTAAAACTGTAATATTTTAGCCGGAAAATGAAAAATTCATATTTTGGTCCGAAAAAAAACCCCACACAGTATACTATGTCGAAAATTTCAGATTTTAGGCTGAAAATAAAATTCAGATTTTAGGATGAAAAAACATGCCATAGTATTGTCTGATCAAATTGCCATAGAAACGGATGTTAAAAATTTAATATTTTAGCCGGAAAACGAAAAATTCATATTTTGGTCCGAAAAAAAAAGACATAGTATACTATGTCGAAAATTTCAGATTTTAGGCTGAAAATAAAATTCCTATTTTAGGATGAAAAAACATGCCATAGTATTGTCTGATCAAATTGCCATAGAAACGGATGTTAAAACTGTAATATTTTAGCCGGAAAATGAAAAATTCATATTTTGGTCCGAAAAAAAAACGACATAGTATACTATGTCGAAAATTTCAGATTTTAGGCTGAAAATAAAATTCAGATTTTAGGATGAAAAAACATGCCATAGTATTGTCTGATCAAATTGCCATAGAAACGGATGTTAAAACTGTAATATTTTAGCCGGAAAATAATAAAATTCATATTTTGGTCCGAAAAAAAAAACAACATAGTATACTATGTCGAAAATTTCAGATTTTAGGCTGAAAATAAAATTCTGATTTTAGGATGAAAAAACATGCCATAGTATTGTCTGATCAAATTGCCATAGAGACGGATGTTAAAACTGTAATATTTTAGCCGGAAAATGAAAAATTCATATTTTCGTCCGAAAAAAAAACGACATAGTATACTATGTCGAAAATTTCAGATTTTAGGCTGAAAATAAAATTCTGATTTTAGGATGAAAAAACATGCCATAGTATTGTCTGATCAAATTGCCATAGAAACGGATGTTAAAAATGTAATATTTTAGCCGGAAAACGAAAAATTCATATTTTGGTCGGAAAAAAAACGACATAGTATACTATGTCGAAAATTTCAGATTTTAGGCTGAAAATAAAATTCAGATTTTAGGATGAAAAAACATGCCATAGTATTGTCTGATCACATTGCCATAGAAACGGATGTTAAAAATGTAATATTTTAGCTGGAAAATGAAAAATTCATATTTTGGTCCGAAAAAAATCGACATAGTAAACTATGTCGAAAATTTCAGATTTTAGGCTGAAAATAAAATTCAGATTTTAGGATGAAAAAACATGCCATAGTATTTTATGATCAAATTGCCATTGAAACAGATGTTAAAACTGTAATATTTTAGCCGGAAAATGAAAAATTCATATTTTGGTCCGAAAAAAAAACGACATAGTATACTATGTCGAAAATTTCAGATTTTAGGCTGAAAATAAAATTCTGATTTTAGGATGAAAAAACATGCCATAGTATTGTCTGATCAAATTGCCATAGAAACGGATGTTAAAACTGTAATATTTTAGCCGGAAAATGAAAAATTCATATTTTGGTCCAAAAAAGAAATGACATAGTATACTATGTCGAAAATTTCAGATTTTAGGCTGAAAATAAAATTCTGATTTTAGGATGAAAAAACATGCCATAGTATTGTCTGATCACATTGCCATAGAAACGGATGTTAAAACTGTAATATTTTAGCCGGAAAACGAAAAATTCATATTTTGGTCCGAAAAAAAACCGACATAGTATACTATGTCGAAAATTTCAGATTTTAGGCTGAAAATAAAATTCAGATTTTAGGATGAAAAAACATGCCATAGTATTGTCTGATCAAATTGCCATAGAAACGGATGTTAAAAATGTAATATTTTAGCCGGAAAATGAAAAATTCATATTTTGGTCCGAAAAAAAACGACATAGTATACTATGTCGAAAATTTCAGATTTTAGGCTGAAAATAAAATTCAGATTTTAGGTTGAAAAAACATGCCATAGTATTGTCTGATCAACTTGCCATAGAAACGGATGTTAAAAATGTAATATTTTAGCTGGAAAATGAAAAATTCATATTTTGGTCCGAAAAAAAACGACATAGTATACTATGTCGAAAATTTCAGATTTTAGGCTGAAAATAAAATTCAGATTTTAGGATGAAAAAACATGCCATAGTATTGTCTGATCAATTGCCATAGAAACGGATGTTAAAACTGTAATATTTTAGCCGGAAAATGAAAAATTCATATTTTGGTCCGAAAAAAAACACGACATAGTATACTATGTCGAAAATTTCAGATTTTAGGCTGAAAATAACATTCTGATTTTAGGATGAATAGACATGCCATAGTATTGTCTGATCAAATTGCCATAGAAACGGATGTTAAAACTGTAATATTTTAGCCGGAAAATGAAAATTCATATTTTGGTCCGAAAAAAAAATGACATAGTATACTATGTCGAAAATTTCAGATTTTAGGCTGAAAATAACATTCTGATTTTAGGATGAAAAAACATGCCATAGTATTGTCTGATCAAATTGCCATAGAAACGGATGTTAAAAATGTAATATTTTAGCTGGAAAATGAAAAATTCATATTTTGGTCTGAAAAAAAAACGACATAGTATACTATGTCGAAAATTTCAGATTTTAGGCTGAAAATAAAATTCAGATTTTAGGATGAAAAAACATGCCATAGTATTGTCTGATCAAATTGCCATAGAAACGGATGTTAAAACTGTAATATTTTAGCTGGAAAATGAAAAATTCATATTTTGGTCCGAAAAAAAACGACAGTATACTATGTCGAAAATTTCAGATTTTAGGCTGAAAATAAAATTCAGATTTTAGGATGAAAAAACATGCCATAGTATTGTCTGATCACATTGCCATAGAAACGGATGTTAAAACTGTAATATTTTAGCCGTAAAATGAAAAATTCATATTTTGGTCCGAAAAAAAACGACATAGTATACTATGTCGAAAATTTCAGATTTTAGGCTGAAAATAAAATTCAGATTTTAGGATGAAAAAACATGCCATAGTATTGTCTGATCAAATTGCCATAGAAACGGATGTTAAAAATGTAATATTTTAGCCGGAAAATGAAAAATTCATATTTTGGTCCGAAAAAAAACGACATAGTATACTATGTCGAAAATTTCAGATTTTAGGCTGAAAATAAAATTCAGATTTTAGGATGAAAAAACATGCCATAGTATTGTCTGATCAAATTGCCATAGAAACGGATGTTAAAAATGTAATATTTTAGCCGGAAAATGAAAAATTCATATTTTGGTCCGAAAAAAAACGACATAGTATACTATGTCGAAAATTTCAGATTTTAGGCTGAAAATAAAATTCTGATTTTAGGATGAAAAAACATGCCATAGTATTGTCTGATCACATTGCCATAGAAACGGATGTTAAAACTGTAATATTTTAGCCGGAAAACGAAAAATTCATATTTTGGTCCAAAAAAAAACCGACATAGTATACTATGTCGAAAATTTCAGATTTTAGGCTGAAAATAAAATTCAGATTTTAGGATGAAAAAACATGCCATAGTATTGTCTGATCAAATTGCCATAGAAACGGATGTTAAAAATGTAATATTTTAGCCGGAAAATGAAAAATTCATATTTTGGTCTGAAAAAAAACGACATAGTATACTATGTCGAAAATTTCAGATTTTAGGCTGAAAATAAAATTCTGATTTTAGGATGAAAAAACATGCCATAGTATTGTCTGATCACATTGCCATAGAAACGGATGTTAAAACTGTAATATTTTAGCCGGAAAACGAAAAATTCATATTTTGGTCCGAAAAAAAACCGACATAGTATACTATGTCGAAAATTTCAGATTTTAGGCTGAAAATAAAATTCAGATTTTAGGATGAAAAAACATGCCATAGTATTGTCTGATCAAATTGCCATAGAAACGGATGTTAAAAATGTAATATTTTAGCCGGAAAATGAAAAATTCATATTTTGGTCTGAAAAAAAACGACAGTATACTATGTCGAAAATTTCAGATTTTAGGCTGAAAATAAAATTCAGATTTTAGGATGAAAAAACATGCCATAGTATTGTATGATCAAATTGCCATAGAAACGGATGTTAAAACTGTAATATTTTAGCTGGAAAATTAAAAATTCATATTTTGGTCTTAAAAAAAACGACAGTATACTATGTCGAAAATTTCAGATTTTAGGCTGAAAATAAAATTCAGATTTTAGGATGAAAAAACATGCCATAGTATTGTCTGATCACATTGCCATAGAAACGGATGTTAAAACTGTAATATTTTAGCCGGAAAACGAAAAATTCATATTTTGGTCCGAAAAAAAACGACATAGTATACTATGTCGAAAATTTCAGATTTTAGGCTGAAAATAACATTCTGATTTTAGGATGAATAGACATGCCATAGTATTGTCTGATCAAATTGCCATAGAAACGGATGTTAAAACTGTAATATTTTAGCCGGAAAATGAAAATTCATATTTTGGTCCGAAAAAAAAATGACATAGTATACTATGTCGAAAATTTCAGATTTTAGGCTGAAAATAACATTCTGATTTTAGGATGAAAAAACATGCCATAGTATTGTCTGATCACATTGCCATAGAAACGGATGTTAAAAATGTAATATTTTAGCTGGAAAATGAAAAATTCATATTTTGGTCCGAAAAAAAAACGACATAGTATACTATGTCGAAAATTTCAGATTTTAGGCTGAAAATAAAATTCAGATTTTAGGATGAAAAAACATGCCATAGTATTGTCTGATCAAATTGCCATAGAAACGGATGTTAAAACTGTAATATTTTAGCTGGAAAATGAAAAATTCATATTTTGGTCCGAAAAAAAACGACAGTATACTATGTCGAAAATTTCAGATTTTAGGCTGAAAATAAAATTCAGATTTTAGGATGAAAAAACATGCCATAGTATTGTCTGATCACATTGCCATAGAAACGGATGTTAAAACTGTAATATTTTAGCCGGAAAATGAAAAATTCATATTTTGGTCCGAAAAAAAACGACATAGTATACTATGTCGAAAATTTCAGATTTTAGGCTGAAAATAAAATTCAGATTTTAGGATGAAAAAACATGCCATAGTATTGTCTGATAAAATTGCCATAGAAACGGATGTTAAAAATTTAATATTTTAGCCGGAAAACGAAAAATTCATATTTTGGTCCGAAAAAAAACGACATAGTATACTATGTCGAAAATTTCAGATTTTAGGCTGAAAATAAAATTCAGATTTTAGGATGAAAAAACATGCCATAGTATTGTCTGATCAAATTGCCATAGAAACGGATGTTAAAAATGTAATATTTTAGCCGGAAAACGAAAAATTCGTATTTTGGTACGAAAAAAAACCGACATAGTATACTATGTCGAAAATTTCAGATTTTAGGCTGAAAATAAAATTCTGATTTTAGGATGAAAAAACATGCCATAGTATTGTCTGATCACATTGCCATAGAAACGGATGTTAAAACTGTAATATTTTAGCCGGAAAACGAAAAATTCATATTTTGGTCCGAAAAAAAACCGACATAGTATACTATGTCGAAAATTTCAGATTTTAGGCTGAAAATAAAATTCAGATTTTAGGATGAAAAAACATGCCATAGTATTGTCTGATCAAATTGCCATAGAAACGGATGTTAAAAATGTAATATTTTAGCCGGAAAATGAAAAATTCATATTTTGGTCTGAAAAAAAACGACATAGTATACTATGTCGAAAATTTCAGATTTTAGGCTGAAAATAAAATTCAGATTTTAGGTTGAAAAAACATGCCATAGTATTGTCTGATCAACTTGCCATAGAAACGGATGTTAAAACTGTAATATTTTAGCTGGAAAATAAAAAATTCATATTTTGGTCCGAAAAAAAACGACAGTATACTATGTCGAAAATTTCAGATTTTAGGCTGAAAATAAAATTCAGATTTTAGGATGAAAAAACATGCCATAGTATTGTCTGATCACATTGCCATAGAAACGGATGTTAAAACTGTAATATTTTAGCCGGAAAACGAAAAATTCATATTTTGGTCCGAAAAAAAACGACATAGTATACTATGTCGAAAATTTCAGATTTTAGGCTGAAAATAACATTCTGATTTTAGGATGAATAGACATGCCATAGTATTGTCTGATCAAATTGCCATAGAAACGGATGTTAAAACTGTAATATTTTAGCCGGAAAATGAAAATTCATATTTTGGTCCGAAAAAAAAATGACATAGTATACTATGTCGAAAATTTCAGATTTTAGGCTGAAAATAACATTCTGATTTTAGGATGAAAAAACATGCCATAGTATTGTCTGATCAAATTGCCATAGAAACGGATGTTAAAAATGTAATATTTTAGCTGGAAAATGAAAAATTCATATTTTGGTCTGAAAAAAAAACGACATAGTATATATACTATGTCGAAAATTTCAGATTTTAGGCTGAAAATAAAATTCAGATTTTAGGATGAAAAAACATGCCATAGTATTGTCTGATCAAATTGCCATAGAAACGGATGTTAAAACTGTAATATTTTAGCTGGAAAATGAAAAATTCATATTTTGGTCCGAAAAAAAACGACAGTATACTATGTCGAAAATTTCAGATTTTAGGCTGAAAATAAAATTCAGATTTTAGGATGAAAAAACATGCCATAGTATTGTCTGATCACATTGCCATAGAAACGGATGTTAAAACTGTAATATTTTAGCCGGAAAATGAAAAATTCATATTTTGGTCCGAAAAAAAACGACATAGTATACTATGTCGAAAATTTCAGATTTTAGGCTGAAAATAAAATTCAGATTTTAGGATGAAAAAACATGCCATAGTATTGTCTGATAAAATTGCCATAGAAACGGATGTTAAAAATTTAATATTTTAGCCGTAAAAAGAAAAATTCATATTTTGGTCCGAAAAAAAACGACATAGTATACTATGTCGAAAATTTCAGATTTTAGGCTGAAAATAAAATTCAGATTTTAGGATGAAAAAACATGCCATAGTATTGTCTGATCAAATTGCCATAGAAACGGATGTTAAAAATGTAATATTTTAGCCGGAAAATGAAAAATTCATATTTTGGTCCGAAAAAAAACCGACATAGTATACTATGTCGAAAATTTCAGATTTTAGGCTGAAAATAAAATTCAGATTTTAGGATGAAAAAACATGCCATAGTATTGTCTGATCACATTGCCATAGAAACGGATGTTAAAAATGTAATATTTTAGCTGGAAAACGAAAAATTCATATTTTGGTCCGAAAAAGAAACGACATAGTATACTATGTCGAAAATTTCAGATTTTAGGCTGAAAATAAAATTCAGATTTTAGGATGAAAAAACATGCCATAGTATTGTCTGATAAAATTGCCATAGAAACGGATGTTAAAAATTTAATATTTTAGCCGGAAAACTAAAAATTCATATTTTGGTCCGAAAAAAAACGACATAGTATACTATGTCGAAAATTTCAGATTTTAGGCTGAAAATAAAATTCAGATTTTAGGATGAAAAAACATGCCATAGTATTGTCTGATCAAATTGCCATAGAAACGGATGTTAAAAATGTAATATTTTAGCCGGAAAATGAAAAATTCATATTTTGGTCCGAAAAAAAACGACATAGTATACTATGTCGAAAATTTCAGATTTTAGGCTGAAAATAAAATTCTGATTTTAGGATGAAAAAACATGCCATAGTATTGTCTGATCACATTGCCATAGAAACGGATGTTAAAAATGTAATATTTTAGCCGGAAAACGAAAAATTCATATTTTGGTCCGAAAAAAAACGACATAGTATACTATGTCGAAAATTTCAGATTTTAGGCTGAAAATAAAATTCTGATTTTAGGATGAAAAAACATGCCATAGTATTGTCTGATCAAATTGCCATAGAAACGGATGTTAAAAATGTAATATTTTAGCTGGAAAATGAAAAATTCATATTTTGGTCCGAAAAAGAAACGACATAGTATACTATGTCGAAAATTTCAGATTTTAGGCTGAAAATAAAATTCTGATTTTAGGATGAAAAAACATGCCATAGTATTGTCTGATCAAATTGCCATAGAAACGAATGTTAAAAATGTAATATTTTAGACGGAAAACGAAAAATTCATATTTTGGTCCGAAAAAAAAATGACATAGTATACTATGTCGAAAATTTCAGATTTTAGGCTGAAAATAAAATTCAGATTTTAGGATGAAAAAACATGCCATAGTATTGTCTGATCAAATTGCCATAGAAACGGATGTTAAAAATGTAATATTTTAGCCGGAAAATGAAAAATTCATATTTTGGTCCGAAAAAAAACGACATAGTATACTATGTCGAAAATTTCAGATTTTAGGCTGAAAATAAAATTCTGATTTTAGGATGAAAAAACATGCCATAGTATTGTCTGATCAAATTGCCATAGAAACGGATGTTAAAACTGTAATATTTTAGCCGGAAAATGAAAAATTCATATTTTGGTCCGAAAAAAAAATGACATAGTATACTATGTCGAAAATTTCAGATTTTAGGCTGAAAATAAAATTCTGATTTTAGGATGAAAAAACATGCCATAGTATTGTCTGATCAAATTGCCATAGAAACGGATGTTAAAAATGTAATATTTTAGCCGGAAAATGAAAAATTCATATTTTGGTCCGAAAAAAACGACATAGTATACTATGTCGAAAATTTCAGATTTTAGGCTGAAAATAAAATTCAGATTTTAGGATGAAAAAACATGCCATAGTATTGTCTGATCAAATTGCCATAGAAACGGATGTTAAAAACTGTAATATTTTAGCTGGAAAATGAAAAATTCATATTTTGGTCCGAAAAAAAACGACATAGTATACTATGTCGAAAATTTCAGATTTTAGGCTGAAAATAAAATTCAGATTTTAGGATGAAAAAACATGCCATAGTATTGTCTGATCACATTGCCATAGAAACGGATGTTAAAAATGTAATATTTTAGCCGGAAAACGAAAAATTCATATTTTGGTCAGCAAAAAAAACGACATAGTATACTATGTCTCTTTTTTTTCGGACCAAAATATTAATTTTTCATTTTTCCGCTAAAATACTACATTTTTAACATCCCCTTCTATGGCAATTTGATCAGACAATACTATGGCATGTTTTTTCATCCTAAAATCTGAATTTTATTTTCACTCTAAAATCTGATATTTTCGACATAGTATACTATGTCGTTTTTTTTCGGACCAAAATATGAATTTTTCATTTTCCCGCTAAAATATAATATTTTTAACATCCTATTCTATGGCAATTTGATCAGACAATACTATGGCATGTTTTTTCATCCTAAAATTAGAATTTTTTTTTCAGCCTAAAATCTGAAATTTTCGACATAGTATATACTATGTCGTTTTTTTTCGGACCAAAATATGAATTTTTCATTTTCCCGCTAAAATACCACATTTTTAACATCCTATTCTATGGCAATTTGATCAGACAATATTATGGCATGTTTTTTCATCTTAAAATTTGAATTTTATTTTCCAGCCTAAAATCTGAAATTTTCGACATAGTATACTATGTCGTTTTTTTTCGGACCAAAATATGAATTTCTCATTTTCCCGCTAAAATATTACATTTTTAACATCCTATTCTATGG